CACACTATATTCTTACATTCTGCACCTTTAATAATATCATAATGTTAACATTTGCCTGGGCTTTTTACAAAAACAGAACATGCTTAACAACAAGAGGCTCTTGTATTGAGGCTGATTGCACGTAGATGTTACGTTTAATTTCAGATATTTGAAGAGCTGCTTTCCTGTTCAGCCTCAGCTGTTGAAGTCACAGGGAACACCACCACACACAGCATCACATCACATTTCCAGCTACATCTGGCTCTGTTTGTTTTTGTTTTTGTTTTCTCCCAGGAGGGGGTGTTATCACTGACCTGTCCTGTCCTGCAGCAGCGCTACAGGTGTTTTATAGAAACACAGACTTTAGAACTTTAGATCTAAAACGGATGTGAAATAAAAAATAGATAAATCTCTTACTTTAAGGGAAACTGATTATGAAAGGAATGAGATTTTCTTGGAATTTATAATCATGTTTAAAAAAGCATTGCATAATATTACAACAGGATGAGCTATAAAGCCTGTAAATGTGTGTGTAAAGATTACATTCTCTGTTATGGATGCAGTGCTTCAGGACTTGCATTTACAGTTAAAAAAGGGTATGGATTACTGGTTTTGCCACATTAAACAGAACTAGAAATGCTTCTGAACTTATTCTGCAGTAACCATAAAAATATCCTGATAAGATGTTGACTTATGTGGAATAAACTGCGACGGTGGCACATGAGTTAAGTGCTTACCCCGTAATCGGAAGGTTGCAGGTTTGAGCCCCGCCCAGTCAGTCGCAGTCGTTGTGTTCTTGGGCAAGACACTTAACTCTCCTTGCCTGCTGGTGGTGTTCGGACAGACCGGTGGTGCCTGTGTGCGTCAGACTCGCCTTTGTCAGTGCGCCCCAGGGCAGCTGTGGCTACAGTGTAGCTGATCACCACCAGCGTGTGAATGGGTGAATGACTGATTGTTCTGTAAAGCACGTTGGAGGGTTCCAGGACTCTAGAAGGCGCTATATCAGATACAGGCCATTTACCATTGATACGTTACAGGAAAAACGTTGTTTATCAGCATAAAACACTGCTGTGGTTGAAGTGTACTTGGTGGTTTAGATGATGAAAGGCTGTCTAAATAGTTATCCTATTCTCACAATCAGTTAATCTGAGTAATGTCGACATCACAAAGGACTGCAATAAATCACAGACACAAACTGCATGTTAATGAAGTAGTTGTCTGTAAATGATCAAAATGTTAAAGCATGTGAGAAGACGCATCATGCAGGGTATCCGCGGGTCCTTAAAAAGGTCTTAAATTTGGCTCCCTTAAACCTGCAGATACCCTGTCATGGCAAAATCATTGTCCACAATATCGATACAGAAAAAACTCATCTTTGAAAATGACACAGAATAGAAAAAGGAGTAGCCAATTTTCTAAAGTCACCATTCCACATTTTTCTAATATCATGCAGCCTCTGTGAAAGTGTGCTTGCATAGAAAATTGAAAAGATTAAATACAGTTTTATTACATCAGGGATCTTTAGGAGAATGTCTCGGTTGTTATTTTCCAAAGCATGTGCTCTGCAGCAGTACCTATAGACCAGCCTCAAAGATGTGTCCCTTGTGTTCCAGTATTGAGCTAACATTCATTATTCACATGTCATTAGGGCATTGATCAGTCAGCTATAAAATAAACACAGAAGAAACAGAGGATCAGAAATGCGGTGTAAATAAACACAGAAGCAGTTGTTTTTCAGGGATCCATCTTTGCTGACGACGTGTTTTCATGCTCTCTGCATATAACGAGGACAGATGCCAACACAACGTAGCACCACTGTCAGAAGAGTTACACTCCTGTTTGAATTTTTAGAGAAAAATGAAATAAAATGCTGCATTGAAGCTACTAAGATACTTTTTGTCTTTTGGTTGTGTTTATTTACTGTAACAGCCTGGGTAAGAAGAATACTTGCATATTTGGTTTTGCTTGTCTAGTTGAAAATTGGTTGGTAGTGCCTTTCTCTCTGGCAGTGCCCCTTGTTCTAAGCCCTAATCTGTAGTAATCTTGTCCCAAAAAATATAATGTAAGTGCTCAGTCCCCTCCCCCCTTGGCTTCTAAAGTGACCCTCAATCCTTTAGTGCAATTCAGAGTTTAAAAAGCACTTCATTCAGGAAAGGATAAAAGGGTCAAATGTTGTTGCCTGTTAAAAGGGATGAGTTTGGGATGGAGCCTCATGGTGGTTGGGGATCATCTTGTACCCTCATCCTTACAAAAACCTCATCTATGACCTTGAAACACAGTTGGATCAAAATGGGTAAACTTTATCTTTGGCTAAGAGAGCATCTTTTGTGAGGTCAGCATTATATCAAAATCAAAGACTGGAGGAGAATTAAAGGAAGCAGAATTCAAAAAGAGGCTGAGGTAGATGGAGATTTGATCATTACCGGTTTTAATGGCTACCTTGGTAAATTTTACAGAAATAGTCTTTGAAAAACTTTTTGGTAATATTATTATTATTGTTTTTAGTATTGTTATAGTACACTTTCCAATAGACCGCTCTTCAGAAAGAAAAACAAATCTTTACAACTACAGCCCTGGACAAAAGATGCACTTAAGAAAAAATAAACAGTGCATTTGGCGGTCATTAAAAATTGTGAATTCAGCTCTTTGTAAAGCAAAACACACCTAATGCAGGGTGCATCTTGTTTTCATTGTGCAGACAATAATCAGCCTGTTGACTATTTTTGTCTTCAGCACCTGATGTATTAATACACTTTCCAGCTGAAAGTGAGGTATCCTATGAAATAATCATGCTTTGAAACATTTGTCAGCTTGACGTACACCCACTCCTTTCTCAGAGCTGAACAAACATAGAATTTAGTGTGAAAAGGGTAATGGGAGAAGACTGGACAGATTAGCCTGGCTTTGCAGAAAGTGTTTGGAACATGATGCCTTGACATTAGGTCCTGAATGTGAAGAGCCGCCTTCAGAAAGCATCTGGAATTGCGACTGAATACTCATCAGCTAATGGAAAGTTATAAAAAGCTGTCTCGAGTTAGATGCTCACTTCGAGTGGGAACAATTTTGGTGTAGTCGGATTGGTCCCTTGTTTGCGAGTTTGTGGTTGTCTTGTTTTCTGAGAGCTATAATGTTGCATAATGAACCTAATCTTCAGCCTGCAGCTGCAGTGGAGGGACACTTGTTAAGAAGTGGCTACGAGATCACTGACCTGGAGGAAAAGGCGTGATCGGAAAGTTTAGAAATGTTTGAGTTCAAGCTAGCAACTGTGATGAATCGGTTCTCTTTTCTCCGTCTTGTCTGACATCGAGTTTGTGAAATAAATAAGAACAAAATGACAAATTGTGAGTGAAGAGTGACTCATACAGCTGTTTTGATGCTTTTTCTCATCCTCGTCAGGTTGCTCTGACATTAGAAAGAGCTCAAGTCAATCTTTATCGAATGAAAACAGTGTGCAACGTAACAGTTGGTAAAACCAAAACAATGTTTAGAGACTGCAGACGTCCACTAAGAAGATTCGTTCTTGTTGCAGGCTTTATTATGGTAATATGTTATCCATTTGTCCTCAGAAATACTATCAGTAGATGAATTATAATGCATCGGGCTATCAGCTCTGATGTAAAAGTGGAAAGACACTGTGCTCCATTTAGAGATCTGACTGCAGCAAGTGGCCTGATTTCACCGAGCCAGGAGGAACTGTGGCACCATGTCTCTGGTTGATAATAAAGTTATTGTCTCTGATCTTTCAAAGAGAACCTGAAGGCTGCTGTTCCTGTGCAGGAACAGCAACATGCTTGTGCTGGTCATCTTATTCATCTGGGGTTTATTTTAAAAGAAGACAGAGTAGAGACCTTAACTGGGGTTAAAATAATAATTTGTCAAATTCTCAGTAAGTTTCTTTTAAAAGATTTTTAAAAAGTCATGGCTGAGTAAGAGAATTATGGAAATGGTCCTAATTCCATTTATTTTAATCAATATGAAAATCATGATTTTTAACAATTACTTATTGAGTTGGGAAACACACATTTATTTATTTTCAACTGAAAACACTGCTGTGATGCAGCCTATCAAAATAAGAGCCTGGAATTACGCCCTAAACACAAAACAAAATAATCCCTCCTCTGCACTATGACCTGTATTCTTTTTACTAACATCTCCATCTATGATAAACTTCAGAAACATGCGGTTTCCTGATCATTTGAGGACTAAAATATTGAGTTCACATTTTAGGAAGAGTGCTGTTTCCAGCTGATGCTAGCAGGTTGCAGAGTTTAGCATTTAGTGATGATTAAAACCTATGAGACTAAATTACAAGACCAGAATTGCTTTTATTGTTCTAAAATCAATACTATGAACATACTTTAAAGAAACAAATAAATAACATTTAGATAGTTTAAACCATGTTTGTTAACACCAACTATATAAACTTAAACATATAGTTGATTGATCAGTCACACTAAGAAAACATTGACCAAGGGTATTTAATTCCAGGCCTCAAGGACCAGTATCCAACATGTTTTGGTTTTAACCCTGCTTCAGCACACCTGATTTCAGTCAGCAGGTGATTAACAGGCTTCTGCAGAGCCTGATGAGCTGCTGCGCAGGTGATTCAACCACTGAATCAAGTGTGTTGGACCAGAGAAACCACTAAAACATGCTGGACACTGGCCCTTCAGGACCGGCATATAACCCTGGCATAGACGGAGTGCTGCTATAAAATCATTGACGATCTGCCACGGAAGCCCGGACGTCCAAACAGGGATTGAAGAACATATAAAAATATTATGATTTGAGGAGTTTTGATACTCCAGTGGTGGAAAAAAATGGCTGAATGCTGAATCACCAAACAAGTGGTGGTCATAACAGAAAATTATGGCGGTTTAATTTTAATGAGTCATATGCTGCCATTGTTTCCCCCTTATTCTGCCATCTTTATTGCTTGTGCTGTCTAAGTTGTGTGTGGATATTTAAATGTAATGTCCCAGTTCTGATGTCTCTGCTCCTGCTCTCTCCATCACCTACAGATCCAGTTTGCTGACCAGAAACAGGAGTTCAACAAGCGACCCTCCAAGATCGGCCGGCGCTCTCTGTCCCGCTCCATCTCCCAGTCCTCCACAGACAGCTACAGCTCAGGTTTGGCCCTTACTCAATCAGATCGCCGCTTATTGGACATTCCGGAGTATATGACACTTTTCCGTTGGATTCCACTTGGATGAATGGTTGACTGACCTTACCTCTCTCCTCACTAACCGCCTCTGTCCTCGTGCCTCTGGCTCTCACACCACAAATCTGCTGTTCATGTGAAACTGTGGGGTCTGTGTGAAGGGATTAGCTGAGCAACGCTTGAGGAAATTTAATGAAATGACAGACACAAATCCATCCCTCTCTCTTTCTCCAAACCAGAGTGCTGAGAAGCTATGGAGTTGTAGAGTGTGGCAAAAGAACATTTGTGGCTATATTGATTGAGGACGAGGTGCAGAAGTTGCTCTCATCATTTAACAAGTTTGTTTTTCTATAAGACATCTTGTAAAATGTGTTGCCATAGAAATGATGGAACCGGTTTTATCACTAACCAGAGTAGTAAAATGACTCAAGAGAACCACACCGCAGTGAAAGATTACTGAGATATTTCTGGGAAACGGTTGTTTGCTTTGGTGTTTGGACTCAAACAGAAGGGTTAATGTAAACACCTGTGTGATGAATGAAAAACTAAAGCCGGGGGGGGGGGGGGGGGGGGGGGGGGTCTGAGGATATTTACTGGCTTTAGGAGGCAAATACTATTAAAAGATGCTCTTCATGGTGCTTTCTCATTCCCACTAAACTTTTGACCTCTTTGTTGATGAGTGTTTGAGCTCTAGCTGTTTTCTGCATCTCAGGAATGAAACCATTAACATGATAACTTCATCTGCGCGGACTACTCCGTTCACACTGCAGGCCTTGATGCTCAATTCCGAATTATTATTTTTTGAGTAAATCTGATGGGGTTTTTTGGTGTGGCTGTTCACACTGCGCATCAAACTCTCTCCAGTGCGGACGCTCCATGGCACCAAAGCGACACGCATGAGCAGAAGAGAAAAAGTCACACTCAGTGGAGTCGGAACCAGGAGCGGCGGAGTTGTGATGGGAAAGTTTTCACTGACAGTTCTTCCACAGGATTACACCTGTTAATTCTTCCGTTTTGCGCTGGAAAGTGTTTTAAAAACTGTAAACTATTTTAATCCTTCCGCCGTCTTCCTGAATTATTTTTCACTGAAAATGTTACGGTATTGGCTAATTCATTCACAGAGAATCCCCCACCCTTGTGGAGACCCCTCCTCCTTCCCTCCCTTCACGGAGACAGACCGGTGAAACACTTCTCTCCAGCAGCACCTCCTGCTCCCGTTCTCATGTTCTCCTGTATTTTTAATTCCTAAACCTAAAACAGGATATCCCGACAGACTCCTGAACCCTTCAGTCAGCGCTTCTCTTCAGGAACATTCACACACGACGCTCACCTCTGCTGACTCAATGACATAGGAGACTGATTTAATGCGACATGACCATTCCGACTACGGTCGCTTTCAAAAACATCAGATATGTGTCGGAATTGGTACGACATTTTCGAGTGACGCAGATTGCATTTGAAAAAGTCGGATCTGTGCCATTCAGACTGTCATAAAAAGATCAGATGGGAGTCTCATGTAAGAGAAAAGGCTCATTTGATGCGCGTTTGCCTGCAGTGTGAATGTAGCCTAGACACCATCGTCTCTGGATGCAGAGTGTGATGGACAGTTGGGTGACAGATTGACTCTTGACATTTGGGATTAAAAGATTTGTATTGATTTACAAACAGGCAGGTGTGCACAAGCAGCCAAGTACCAGTAAAGATGCAGGTTCAATCCTTGATGTAATAAAATCTAATCTATGTAACAAACAGGTGAAGGGTCCCGTTTTTCAACTGTCCACATAAAAAAAATTGCAGGAAAGTTGGCAAAGTGTAGTTTGTAAATATTGAATGGTGTACAACTCCTCTGCTGCCATTCCTGCGGTTCGAATCTGGGTGTTAAATCATTGTTTGATGAAGAGTTTAGCTGGTTAAAGCTGTTGGCTGTATATCAAGATGCAGAACCCTACTGGGTGTGTGTGTGTGTGCGTGCGTGCCTGCCTGCCTGCCTGCCTGCATGCGTGCGTGCCTGCGTGCGTGCGTGTGTGTGTGTGTGTGTGTTCGTACATACATACAGACATGTGCGTGCATGGGTGATATTTTTCAATTCAATTCAGTTCAAGTTTATTTATATAGCGCCAAATCACGACAAGAGTCATTTCAAGGCACTTCACATAATAAACATTCCAAACAGTTCATTAAGCCAATCAGGAAAACGTTTCCTATATAAGGAACCCAGCAAATTACATCAAGTCACTGACTAGTGTCGGAGTCTATACAGCAATCCTCATACTAAGCAAGCATAAAGCGACAGTGGAGAGGAAAACTCCCTTTTAACAGGAAGAAACCTCCAGAGGATCCTGGCTCAGTATAAGCAGCCATCCACCACGACTCACTGGGGATCTAGAAGACAGAGCAGACACACACACACACACACACACACACACACACACACACACACACACACACACACACACATTTTTTTAATTAAAATTTTGCACAGAAATTTTACACTGATGAAAAACATGAATATTTTCTGAGGTCTAAACCTCGGTTATAGGAGCAAAGCAGCAAGTAGAAGAATAAATGGAATCATTTACCAAACGGTTGGGCATTGGTGACAAGATAACATAACTGTAGAGAGGTATCTGCTCCTGTATCCTACCCTCTATGTTCACTATAGAAAACTGAACCTTACACCAATAAGCTCCTACGTTGTAGCATTGATTCTGAGTCTGAAGTGTTTCAAAAATATCTCCACGTCTTGTTAACCTTATCAGAGTTTTCAACCAATCAACGGACCTTTTCAAGGTTTTAACAGGACTCGAGCTCTCAGCGTGAGTTGATGGATTCACGTTCGTCTGTTTTAGTAAAAATTCTACATCCAGCCACAAAAGAAGAAATAGATCTGGCATTCTGCCCATATCAAAACGAGTGTCAACCTTTCTGATGGTGCTGAAGGCTCAATGTTGCAATTAAAGACCGAAGATTGGTTTTAAAAAAATATCTGTCCAGTTTTCCTGAGAGGCGGCATTGTGACATCATATGGTACCAGATAATGTGATAGTGTACCTCTTAGCCAATAGCGGTGGAAGATTTAAATTCAAATGTAGTGCAGAGTTTTTACCTAAAGAAGGCGCAACACTGACAGCTTTAGGCAGAATGTTCAAATTTTACCTATGATGCACTAAAGTACCAAATTGTTGACTACATGTGTCTACAGCACGATTAGACACTCACTTATATAGTTTATCAGCAAAAAAAACGTTGATTTGGGGTGACTTGCTCTTTTAACAGCAGCAGGTGAGCTTTGATTTTTAACAAAAAAGATCATTTAAAATCTGCCATAATGGCTGACCCCACCCCTTTACTCATATTTTAAAATGTTGTTTTGTAACCAGTAAAATGGATTATTTTATGCATGTCATCATTATGCACTGTGCTGGAGAGGAGAGGGAGGACGAAAATCCGAGGGAGGAAAGGAAAATGGTTTGGACTTTGAAGTAAAATAGCTAACAAAGTAACCAGGTTTGGCTGGAAAACTCCACAGAACAGCTTAGTGAAAACCATGTTCCTGAACAAAAAGGTACAGATTGTAATTTGAACTCTTTCTGCTACCCTCCGTGCTCGGTTCTGGTCCTCGTTGTTCTGGAGCAAGTGGGAAGGTGGTGCTGATATAGCTATTCTACACATGAAGTCTAATCAATGAATCTGACATAAGAACGTGAACCACGCGTTGACTTTTTTTAATATCAACAATTATTAAATTATATATTTTCAGCTCCAAACGGGCTTGATTTGTTCAGAAGTTGGTCTGAAAACGGTGTACCCATTCTCTGCTGACCCCAACCAGATATTTTCACCCAAACAGCTGCTGCTCCCTAGATATTTTCTTTTCACACCATCCTGTGTAAACCCTAGAGGGGGTTGTGGGTGAAATTCCCAGTAGATCAGCTGTTTCTGAAGTACTCAGTCCAGCCTGTCTGGTTCTTACACTCATGTCACTAAAATCCTCTGCCTTTATTCTGATGCTCTGTTCCAGCTTCAGATTTTGTGAGGTTATTGTGTTTTTTGTTTTGTTTTGCTGCAGCGGCGTCGTACACAGACAGCTCTGATGATGAGACATCTCCTCGAGACAAACAACAGAAAAACTCCAAAGGAAACGGAGATTTCTGTATCAAAAACATCAAACAGGCCGACTTCGGGCGCAGAGAGATTGAGATTGCTGAACAAGGTAAACCCTCTGACCCTCCCTGAACAGCACAGGAGATCCAGCAGAGCAAGATTAACCTTAAAAAAAGGAAATAAATATTTTATGCACTTATTATTTTTGTGTTACAATTTATTTATTTTACTGTGATGCAAATATTAGAAACTGGGTTCATCGGGAAATGAGTGAGTTATTGAAAACCCCAAACAGAGTTCACATGAACCCTGCAGGCTCCACAGACTCATTTAATCCACAGCATCTGTAACTCCTTCAGCTGGATGAGTGAGTGGATTAGTGTTGAAAGTATTAGTAGGTGCTGGAGCTGTTTGGGTTACTTACAGTTGTTGGGTTATTTATAAGGTTTAGTTGTTGGTTAATGATAATTTTATTTATTTATTTTTGGTTTGCCTGTGAGAATCAGCCAGGAAGAAAGGAGGTGTTTTGTTTTACTGTATATATGGGGACTGGTATTGGACCAGCATGCACTGGGGTGGGCCTATAGTTTTTTACCAGAGCAGGAAAAGCAGCAGGAAATGGAGATGTATATAATACTTTCCATTTTGGATGAATAAACACCCAAAACATTCAACAGTTAAGATCGTTTGGACATTGGACATCTTTTGCCTGCATACAAGATGTTCACTTCAGTGCAGCAGTGGCTTAAAGATTTAAAAACCTAAGGAAATATGTTGGACAAACACGGAATCGCCACTGCAGTAGGATTAAAAGATGGGAATTCCTTAACCATCCAACTCCCTTCATGTTTTTTGGCTCCTCTTGCAGAGATGCCAGCTCTTATGGCTCTGAGGAAGCGAGCTCAGGGGGAGAAACCCCTAGCTGGTGCCAAGGTGGTGGGCTGCACTCACATCACCGCCCAGACGGCTGTGAGTTACACTAAAAATAAAACGCACAGCGCCGAACCACACCAGCTACAATAATCTGTGTTTGGATCTGGTCCTCAGGTTCTAATGGAGACTCTGTCAGCTCTGGGGGCTCAGTGCAGGTGGGCAGCTTGTAACATCTACTCCACTCAGAATGAAGTGGCAGCAGCTCTGGCAGAAGGAGGTAAGAATCGGTTTGGATAATTTCTTTTTCACTTCCTGTCCTTCAGCTGTGCATTCAGGTTTTTCTTTCTTCTAGGTTTCAGCGTATTTGCGTGGAAGGGTGAGTCAGAGGATGACTTCTGGTGGTGCATCGATCGCTGCGTCAACGTGGAAGGCTGGCAACCTAACATGGTAACAAACCAACTCTCTTTTTTTTATTATCTTTTTGTCATCTGATGTGTGCGTTTGTACTGTTTCATTAACTAGATCTCATTTTCTCCATTTTTTTAAAGTGTTGTTTATTTGTGGCCTGATTTTCAGATCCTGGATGATGGTGGAGACCTGACTCACTGGATTTATAAAAAATATCCCAACATGTTCAAGAAGATCAAGGGCATTGTAGAGGAGAGCGTTACTGGTGTGCACAGGTATGAGGAGAAGCTTCATTCCCTTTCTCTTTCAATGTTCCTGTAAAAGTTCGTCTGATGTCATCTATTCCACTGGGTTAAATCCATGTATGTGTCTTTGAACTAGAGACTGTATTTATTTATGCAAACCTGCACAATAAACCCTCAAGTCACGCTGTGGTTTTTCAAGTGTGACAATACTGCCACCTAGTGGTGAAATCATGTCTCAGCTGAATTACTGTATAGCTTTATCTGCAAATGAACTGAAAAATAGTTCATGCTCAGTTTTTTTATTTATCTAAAACAAATATTTTCACCATCAAATAGTTTTTTGTGTATCTGATTTGACTGTTTTAATGTGCTTGTTGTGTGTTTGCAGGTTGTATCAGCTGTCCAAAGCAGGAAAGCTGTGTGTTCCAGCAATGAACGTCAACGACTCCGTCACCAAACAAAAGTTTGACAACCTTTACTGCTGCAGAGAGTCCATCTTAGATGGGTATGAAAAGCCACACACACACACACACACACACACACACACAAAGGGGTTCAGGGTTCCTGTTGAGTTTTTTTAAAGGCATACATTTAATTATCTAAATTTAAAGTCTTAAAAAGTTTTCATTGTGTCTGGATTTTTATTTCCAGGTCTTAAATTGCATTCCTTAACTCATCACTCAACCTCCTCTGTTGTTGTTTTTGTTTATATATTTAATAAAAGAAATAATAATTTACAAAAAAAACTTTTTTATATTATAATTTCAAGAAAACCAGCAAAAAGAAAACAGTTGCTTTTAAAAAATTCTGGAGTTCAGTTTTTAATTTGCGTATGAAATGTTTTGTTAATTTATGTCCATTTCAGAAACACTTTTGGTTTTTAAACACATGGTACCTTCTATACACTCAAACTACTGGTAGTAAAAAATAACATTAATAGCATTTCTGTCACCAGCTTGAAGAGGACCACTGACGTCATGTTTGGAGGCAAACAGGTGGTGGTGTGTGGATACGGAGAGGTACGGATACACTCTTCTGGTTAGGAATTGTGCTAAAATGTGAATTAAGGCATGAACTTGTGTTTAGGTTCAACACAATGAATAACAGATGATATATTATTAAATGTCAAATGTGTCTAATTTGCTAAATGTGATTTTTGTTTACCTCCCTCAGGTTGGTAAAGGCTGCTGCGCTGCCCTCAAAGCGATGGGCTCCATCGTCTACGTCACAGAGATCGACCCCATCTGTGCCTTGCAGGCCTGGTTGGTTGTCACAGTTTACCTTAAAGGTCCCTTTTAATGCTCCAGTGATCTCACTCACTTTGTTTTCTTTAATTTGATCGCAGCATGGACGGCTTCAGGTTGGTGAAGCTCAGTGAAGTCATCAGACAGGTGGACATCGTCATCACCTGCACAGGTTGGTTTGCCTCATTCGTGCTTGGTGACTGTCGGGTTGCATTCTGGAGCTGCACCGCCTCCACTCCTCTGTTGTTCAGAGTGACTAGTCAGCGATTCACAAATGAGTCTGCAGCTAATCAAGTTCTCAGCCCAGCAGCCGGGGAAAATTACTTGTGTCTACTTCATTACCTGATGCTGCTGGCAGGCCTGAGGCTTTCTTGGGAGTGATGCTCTATTCGGAGGGAGGTGGTGACACATTTTAAAATGTGAGGAAAGGAGGCCACAGAGGAGCCCCTGTGCTTTTAGACCAGACCGTCTGAGAGTCCTCTCAAAGGATGAAGGACAGAACCCCTGAGGACATTTCAGATGCTGATGGGCTTTTCCAGCGTGTGGTAGAATTAAAATCAGGAATATCTCATAAGGACTTTTAAAAGCCAGTGTCAGCATCTTCTTGTCCATATGTCAAACATCTTACTTATATTTACTTTTCTTTGCGTTGGATTTTGGTGGTGCCCTCGTGGCCTTAACCTGTTGTTGTAACCCGTCTGAGCCAGGCGCCAATGTGTCATGGTGTGGCATTTAGATCAGTGGCAATAGAGCTGCTTCACACATTACATTCATCATTTAAGAGGGTGTGTGTATTTTCCCTGGCGATGGGGAGCAGTGCATACCTAAATCATTGAAAGGAAGCGGCATTTTTGTTTGAGTAAGACCTTACCAACAGAAGGCTATTGGGGTAAAAAATTCCTGGGTGCACGATTTTCAGACGTGGATTCGTCAGATCGTTCAACCTCCAATAAACTAACTAACTAACAGACTTCCTTTCATCACTGGAAATGAGCGAGGAGGTAAATGTGTAAAACCACGTTTATGAATGGCAAAAGTTTTGTAACCGTTTGTTACAAATCAGTAAATTTGTTTTTTCCTCATGGGTTCCTGTAGAAGGAAACAGACCCGCTCCCACGTATTTCAGACCTGATTTTTATGGTTATATGTTAGGAAGCCACCAATATTTTTCAACAACTGGACATCATTTAATTCATTTTCAACAACATTTTGATGGATATTTCCAGATATTAATGTTAAGAACTACACATTGTCACTTTAAGAGGGTGTGTATTCTGAAAAGTGTTTTTTGAGATTGTTTGCATCATAAAGTTTTACAGTGCAGATCCTTTTTAGGGTGGATCTTAAATTTCTTAAAGGGGGCATTATGAAAAACTCACATTTTGCATCCTATTTTGCTGCCACATAGTCCTCTACCGCCTTTATAAACACCCCAAATATGGAAAAGACCCGTCGGCATCTGTTTTCTATCAGTGTGTAGTTTTAGAAATTAGTTACCTAAAATAAGCTGTTTCAAAAAGTCCCCCGATTGTGATGTCACAAACAGGATCATTAAAATGGAGCAACCTCACAAACAAGAGAGTGCTGCTGCTGGAGGGGCTGCAGCAACTCCAAGCCCCTCCCAGATAGCGGAGTTTCTTGGCTAATAGCAGACTGAGCGGGGAATCGGTGGGCGTGGCCAGCTCCAGCTTGTTTTTTTTAAAGTGACAGAGCCCTGAAACATTTCTTTCTGGAAGTGCTGAAAATGTCAAGAATAAACTGCTGAAATCAGTTTGTGTGAGAGAGATTTATTGCAAATAACTTAATGATTGTGTTTAGTGTCGATCATAGGACCATTGCAACGTAAGAAAAAAAGTCATATGTCCACTTAAAGCTAGTGACACCACGAGTGGCGCAGCCTCCTCTGATTTTCCTTCTCAGACTTCCTGTAAAGCCCCTCTAACCAGATCTTTTTGTTTCCTCCCCATCAGGCAATAAGAACGTGGTGGTGAGGGATCACCTGGACCGCATGAAGAACAGCTGCATCGTCTGCAACATGGGGCACTCCAACACCGAGATCGACGTGGTCAGTTAGCCGCTGCGTCACTGGCTTTTCCTTCTGCAGGTTTAGGATGTAAACAAAACAGATCGCATCATTCTAGGAGACAAAATCCCATGCACGCTGTGAACTCCAGCTTGGACCGTGCACTGTTGTCATGGTAACTAAAAGGTTGCTGTGAAGGACCTGATCCTTTACCTTTGAGCTAACATTCCAAAGGTAGTTTTTATATATAACTAATTGAGTGTTTGCTAATTAGACTCATTTGTCCTCTGAGGCCATCAACTTTTTCTTTTTTGTTACAACTGGGTTCATTTTACATGGAGTATGACAGCGGTTAAGACATCCTTTATGTTTTCACACCTGACCCTCACTCATTATTTGTTAAACTCAGTAAAATTGATTATAAAATATTACTGGAGACAAAATCCTATCCTAAATTTAAACAGTTGGTCAGTCAGTATAACTGTTGTCTCTTGTAGGCCTCAATCATCAATGTATGTAAAGATCTAATTATTATATTATGTAATTATTATAGTCTGAGATGAGTCGTAAATGTCTAAGAAACTAATGTGCCCCGTAGTTACGGCCTCATTTACGTAAGTAACAGACATCAGAGTTACAATAAATGTATCTCTTGTTTTCTCAGTGTGGACATTAAATCAGTCAATCAAATCAAAGATACTTTATTAATCCCAGAGGGAAATTAGAGATGTTAGAAATTAGAAATGTTACTGATTCTTACTGTGTGAGTTTCTAAAGATGCTTTTATGCTGAGTAAATAAATATGAGACGTTAAAATGACAAAGATGAAGGTTGTAGATGCAAGAGAATTAGCAGAAATGTACTCGATAAAACGCAGTTGTTTATTTGTAGTGGAGGGAATGGTTTACATGTCAAAGGAAATTACTGACTTCACCACTGGTGATATAGACTTGCTAAAATGGTTCAGTCCAATAATAATAATAAAGTGTGCTAATTTTACAGGCGAGTCTGCGGACTCCTGAACTCACCTGGGAGAGAGTTAGATCACAGGTGGACCATGTCATCTGGCCTGATGGGAAAAGGGTAGTCCTGCTGGCAGAGGTACCTACACACGCACACACACACACACACACACCACCCCCCAAAAAAGACTTTAGTGGACCAAACATCAATATTTAACTTGCTTCAATATATCAGTAATGGTAATGGCCATCTGTGTAAATAGTGGTTTGTTTATTAAAATGAATGAGAATAGGAGGTTCTGCATGTGTGGCTGCACTTTTTACTCTCATGCTCAGTTTGATCCAGAAAGACAAATAACACGCTCATATTTATGTTCTAATGCTTTTTGTATCGTCTAACCCTCTACCTTCAATACAAAAGAGATGAGGTGTTTTAGCTGTGATGGCCTCTCTACCACCAGGGGGTTTACATCCATGGTCAGGTCTGAAGGTGTTGAATTGTCACACACCATTTGAATCTTCTTTTCTGTCTTTACATTAAATGTCTCAAAACAAACAAGTTGTTGAATACATTTAAAGAGGACCCAGCCTGGACACACACACACACATACACACACACACACACGGCAGCAGAAGTGTGTGTTTATGAGCCATGACAGAATGAGAGCAGCTCAGCAGAGGTCACACCACCTGCCAGTCTGAAGATGCACGCTCTTCAATGTCCTGAAGAAGTGCTCCGCAGGGCCTTTGTAGTTTATGTTACTAACATCCTCTTCGTGTTACGGATGAAAAGAAACTTGGTTTTATTTCCTGTGGATTTGTGTAAATTCACTAGAAGGGTTTGGTTTTGTTGCAGTGGAACTTTTCTTTCCTCTTCCTGAAAAACCTTGTCGATCTGGTTCCACAGGGCAATAACCAAATCAGAGAAGTGTTCCTAGAAGATCTGAGCTGCTGAGTGTCCATCAGATGATTTCCTCCCATCTTTTCTCATCGTTGTTTCTGTTTTCTCCAGGGCCGTTTGCTGAATCTCAGCTGCTCCACCGTGCCCACTTTTGTTCTGTCAATCACCGCCACAACCCAGGTAAAAACCCTCTTTCTGAATATCACACTCTAAACTTCTGTGCTTTGTTGAGCCACAGTTAAGGAAGAGCTTTCTGTTCTAGTGTGTTTATAAGTCTTGTGTTTGTCTCCTCCCAGGCTCTGGCTCTGATAGAGCTCTACAATGCCCCCGAGGGACGCTACAAGCAGGATGTTTATCTGCTGCCCAAAAAGATGGGTAAGATTCCCTCTAGTTCACAAGCCTAGACAGAAAAATACAACTGAAGAAATCGATTTAAAAGCATTAGTGAGGCACATCAGATCAGACACACAAGTCATCACCAATCGTGGATCCGTTTCAGCCCAGAAGTCCTGCAGACTCTGTTCTCCTCATCTGATGCTTCAGCTCGTCTGTTCAGTCCAGCATCAGCTCCCTGGGTGGCGAATCATTGACAGTAGAGCGAGTCCTGTCTGTGTGCATATATGCGTGCTCGTCTGCAGCGCTGCCAGTAACGTTTGTTAGCTCGCTGGCTGAAAGCAGAGCCTAGCAAAGAAATGTAGGTCACCTTGTAAGCGTCAAACACCAGAGAGAGAAGGGCTTATGTGAGGTCAGAGAGGGGAAAACCAGGTAAATTCCTCCCTGGTGCTTCCTGTTTCCTCATCACTAAATAGAGATGCAGAAGGATGCGGACCCGTTGTTTTTGTTTTCCAGATGAGTATGTGGCCAGCTTACATCTCCTTACATTCGACGCACATCTCACAGAGCTGACTGACGAACAGGCCAAGTACCTGGGCTTGAATAAAAACGGGCCCTTTAAGCCAAACTACTACAGGTATTCACTCAAGTCTGCTCTGCGTTTTAGTCTGCCTCGTTTCTACTGCTGATTTAATGTGAACCATGTTTTTTAAATTTTATTTTAAAGGTATTAAACAAGTGTGATGGCCAAGCTGAGGAAATATCCAAACTCCATAAATCGCACGCACACAGGGAGCGGAGGATAGAAGGAAGGACAAATGGAATAATCAACACCTGCTTAACATCTGGAGGAAGGAGACGGAGGTGTTTCCCTGCATCGTGGTTTTATTTATTCACACCCAACTACAGTAATAATAATAATAATAATAATAATAATAACTCAAACTGCTCCTTTAATTTAGATCTAGCTCCTCTTCTGTTCCTCATTTCTCCATCATTCTCTTCCGTTTCCATGGCAATATGTCCTTCACCTTGCCATTTCTTTCATTTTTTTATCAAAAAAATATAAAATGGACTCTTTAAATAAAGTTGTGATTTCAAAAGAAGAAAATGAAGCAAATGAAGATGTTTGCTGTTTTGTCTTTTTCTACTTGTGATTTCTGTTGTGTATGATTTGGAAAGGGGAGGGGCTATACTCTGGCCGGGGTCTCAGGGTCCAATCATATCTTGTGTTTTATTTCAGCGAGATTTGTTCTGTTTTTAAGTGTTCTTTTCCTTCTTTTTTTGTAATGAAGCATTCTGTTTCTTTGGTTTTCTCCTGGTAAAAGTGACTAGATCTTTTCCTCCCATCAGTGAAACCGTTTCAGTGGCTGCTGCTGCTTTTCTTTTCTTTCTGCTGCTCAAACCTGTCAGTGTTGAAGTAAGTATTTCACCATGACTTTCCTTCAATAACAACCACCATACTGTATTAGAAGCATGACATTTTTTTCAATCATTACAGAAATATACTGTATATTTAGATATTTAAATAGATTTTAAGAATATTTTCTATCTTTTACTGTTTGTTTCACCGTCTGATATCATTAATTTTGACCACAGAGAAGCAATTAAATGTCCTAATAATCTGTAATAAACAAACTCCTACTCTTATTTTGAAAACTGACACAAAATGACGTTGAAGTGGATTTCCTCTTTCAGGTTCTCTATAAAAAGTATGGTGCTGTTTTACTGTACTTGCCATAAACACACAAACTCAGAAATTAGTTTTTCGTCTCTTTGTAAGAAGCACAGTCGCTCTCGTCTCTGTAGTCAGCCTTTGTAGTGAGTTCCCATCCACGTTTTAAAAGGTTTTAACTCCTGCACAAAGATCTCTCAAATGCTAAACACACCTGCAGGTGTGCCAGTTCTCAGCCGCACGGCATGCTGGGAGATGCCGCCACACCGCGATGATGCTGAAATCAAACGCATGTCTCATCTGTTGGCTCACAGTCCAGATGTGGAACCACCCTGTTCTGTGATGCACATGAAAAAACAAACGGTTTAACCTGCTGAATGAACCTTCCCCAAAAGACAACAGTCTTTGCTAATTTCTCCCAAATTAAATATTCCCTTGGAACATCGAAGACGTCAAAAATGGAATTTAAAGGTGTAAGATAACCAAACAGAAAATGAATGCAACCATGAAACTGTTTTTGTGTTCTCGTCTTTGTGCAGTTGAAAGTTTCCATGCAAATTGTGTCTTACACTCCCTGATCTTTTCTGTTTGAATGTGCATTCAAAACAAGATAAATCCAAAGTGATTATGGGTGATTTGTACGTTTCTGTCTATGTGCAGTGTCTTTTTTTTTCTATCTTGCGGGCCATAGTTGCTTTTGTTATCAGCTGCCTCAGGATCCTAGCCTGTGATGTAGAACTGTTATTTTGTTTTTTGTTTTTTGTGGGTCATAAGCTGAATGACACGTTGTTAGGCGAGGGGGACACCAGCATCGTAAGTGTATTTACATACTATATACAAAAAGACAAGTCAGAGTGTATAGGAAGGTTAAACAGACTCCTGTATTTATTGATGTAAATCCTCATTCAGTTCAAACTGACTAAATTCTCTAATATGTTTAAAGTTGTCTAATGAAAACTTGTTCTGTTATTAAAAATGATCATGTTAGATGATGAGCAATAATCTAATAATAAATAAAAGGGTAATAAGTGGAAGCATTTGTGGATGTTTTTCTTGTATAGGTTTGTTAAAGGGATACCAGGCAGTGTTGCTTGCTTTTAGCACCCCCTAGTGTCTATTATTTTTAGTTAAACTGAAAATGAAACTTATCTCCATGATCTTGCTGTGCATTATTTTTATTTTTTTTTTACATTTTAGCAGCTGAAATGTCTCCCCAGCCTTACTTAGTGTCAACAGGAGTGATTCATTGCTAAATGAACACATCAGCTGTGTTCATGATCTTAAACAAGCTGGAAGCAGACTTCAGCGCCAGGTATGTCAGCTCCATTTTTGTCTAAGGCCTAGTCCACACGTAGCTGGCTTTTTTTTTAAACGAATATCCGCCCCTCCAAAAACTTGCATCCACTCCACCTCATTTGAAAAAAACTCCACACGTACCCGGATAAATACGTTGTTAAGGACATGCCAGACCTGTAGGCGGCAGTACTTCCTCCGTTCTTAACCTCGTCCTTCGTCTGTGGTCTTTCGCAAGGAGCAGTAATTCTGCTTGCAAAAACAAACCAGCAAAAAGCGCTTGGACAATTGATAAAGCGAGCACAGCTCTGAGGGCATCCATGCTGTCGGCTAGTGTAAACACAGGTCGCACACGTGATGTCAGCATTTTTTTGTCGCGGAAAGTGACGTTGCGGACCTTGAAACTCCGGTTTTGTCTGTCCACACGCAGACACCCAAAACGGAGATAACGCAGATCTTCACTTTGGCCGGAGTTTTTAAAAAGATCCGTTTTCGTGTGAAAAAACTCCGTTTTCATGTGGATGACGGGCCAAAACGTAGAAAAATATCTACGTTTTGGCAGATCCCTGGCTACGTGTGGACAGGGCCTCAGTCTTAACTGGTGGCAGCCTGCCACACAAGTGCAATATTCTGGCCACATTGGTACGTGTATGAGTGACATTTCAATAACCTTGTAAAGAGTCAAGTTAGAAAATGATTTAAAAATATGAAAAAGTTGCCTAGTATCCCTTTAAACTGGAGGGTTCTGTTACTGTTTGGAGCTGCCTTGATGAGCTCATCCAATCCAGACGGAGACGTCTCCCACTTAAATGTGGTAGACTCCTCTTTATCAGTGTAAATAAAGATGTATTGTTTTGTTAGATCATGGATATCACTATGGTTCTGGAGGTTGTTAGGGTTCAAGGCATTTTATTTATTTAGCACATTTCATACACGGGCAATCCAATGTGCTTTCCATTAGCCAGAATAGCAAGAACATTTAAAATCAATGTGACAGCACAATTAAAATACGCAAATTTATTTCAGATTTAAGAATCGGATAATGGGCAGTTTAAGAGTGAGCAGTTACAGTGCAGCATAAGAAACATTCATTCAAAAGCAGATGAATACATGAAATATGTCATTTTTGAGTTAAAAGTTACTAAAGTTGGGGCACACATGAGGTCACAATGAAGCTGACTGCATCTGTGTGCAGCACAGCAGCTTCCCCCTGTCCGGTTCTGACCCGAGGTTCTACCAGCTGACTGTTTCCTAAGGATCTCAGAGCCCTGCTGGGCCCGTATACAGGAAGGAGATACAACATTTATTCTGGTCACATGCCACTGAGTGATTTATACTAGTAGAAGCACTTTGAAATTGATTCTGTAGTTTACTGGTAACCAGTGAGATTTAAGAACAGGAGTGATGTGCTCTCTTGGTTCATGTTGAGACTCCAGCAGCAGCATTATGAATAAGCTGCAGCTTCACAGCTTTTTTGGGAAGACCAGCCAAAAGACCACTGCAGTAGTTCAACCTGCTGGAGATGAACGCATGAATGAGTTTCTCTAGGTCTTGTCCGGACATGAGATCTCTAAGACTTGCTATTTGATGCAGATGATTAAAACCAGGTTGGAAGAATGTCACCCATCAGTGGATGCATACAACTTTGACCAAGTAAGGAAGCACATTGGTGCAGAAATAAACACTTTTATAAAATATAAACTAAGAAAATGTGCAAAATTGATGCATTAAAAAAATCAGGAAAAATTCTACCCAGAATCCTTAGACAAAATCAGAGGTTTGTCACCATTTTTGATTGCGATCACCTTGTTTTTGTTAGTTTACTGGCTATTTTTCACGTAAATTTTTGTTTTCTTTAAGGAGTGAATCACTTTTAAGAAAATTAATTCTTTGAACTTTACTTTATTTTTTAACCAACGAGACACCAGCCTCTCTGGAGGCGTGAGGTGGACCCGCTGGGTGCACCCATCGACATAGGTGCACCTCATCCACTGGTGCTGACACCGTCTCAGCTCCATGGGGTCAGCTCTGCTGTCTGTCTCTAACCCCGCCCACCGGGGCATGAGGGGAGAGCGAATCGAGACAATTTTGGGGGGCGTAGCAGCAGCAGGGGGTGGGGAGGAGGAGGAGACCCTCAGCTTGGCTCAGGAGTGAAGCTGCTCCTCCTGGCGCGGTGCAGTCTCAGTTCTCCAACGGACCGGTATGCAGCACTCACGCCCCCCGAGGAGGAAGTGAGCCGGGTCGAACGTGAAAGATGCAACCGGAGGACATGGAGGTCCCCCTCATTAACAACCTGAACGATAACGGAGACCGAGCCAGACCGAAGGGGAAAGATGTGTTCAAAGACCAGCAGAAGGAGTCGGAGGTACGCGCTGATTAACAGCTCATGAGTGTGTGTTGTTGCTGGGGAGCTTTCACACCCGCTGGATGTCCTTCACCATGCAGCTTCTTGGCTCAAAGGCATGCGGGCAGACAGCGAGGTGTTATTTTGGCTGCTGAGTCCTAAAAATAACCCGGTAATCCTACAGTGGTTCTGAAATGTGACTGCTGCTGCTGGCAGGACCCTTCAGCTCAACACACACACACACACACACACACACACACACACACACACACACACACACACACACACACACACACACACACCTTCTGTTTCAGGTGCAGCCTCACTTGAAAAGCTCAGGAATCATTTGGGTTTTCTGTTAAATTGATCATTGCAGGTTAAGAAAAAAGTGCTTGTTTTAAACAATAAGTAGTTAAACCTGCAGACTTTTGTTGCTTTAAGCAAAAATATTTTTCATCAAATTTAGATTAATAGGATTTTAGAAGTTAAACTTGCCTTCCTTCTAGTTTATATATATATATATATATATATATATATATATATATATATATATATATATATATATATATATAATCTCCAAGCTTAGGTCCTCTACCAGAGGTTTGGGCTGATGACCAGAGGCACCACCGATGTCTTTACTCTCCAGGCTTTTTCAAGTTCTTCTTTGAGGCCCTGGTACTTCTCTAGTTTCCCATGTTCCCTTATTATGATGCTGCATCACTTGGTATTGCCACGTCAACCACAACAGCTGTCCTCTGTTGTTTATCTACCACCAAAATGTCCGGTTAGTTTGCCATCACCCTTTTGTCAATCCGGATCCGGAAGTCCCACAGGATCTTAGCTTTCTTAACCACCTTAGGGGGTGTTACCCACTGTGACCTTGGGGCTTCCAGTCCATACTCTGCACAGATGTTTCTGTACACGATGCCAGCCACCTGGTTGTGGTGTTCCATGTAAACTTTCCCTGCCAGCATCTTCCACCCTGCAGTTACGTGGAGGATTGTCTCAGGGGCCTCTTGGCATAGTCTACACCTTGGGTCTTGTCTGGTGTGGTAGATCTTGGCCTCTGTTGCTCTGGTGTTCAGGGCCTGTTCCTGTGCAGCCATGATGAGTTCCTCTGTGCTGTCCTTCAGACCAGCTCTTTCTAGTTATTTGTAAGATTGTAAGATCTGTCTGTGGTACACCCCATGTAGGGGGTTGTCCTCCCATAATGGTGTTTTCAACGTCTCCTCCTTTGTTTGCCATTGTCTGAGACATTCATTGAGCACATGTGTAAAAAGATTTTGACATGAATAAAATGTTTGTGTCATGCTCAAAATATTTGCTCATCTTTTGAAATATAAGATTCTGCTCATTTAGTCTGTTGTTTAACACTAAAAACTTCTTCATGGTTTTATGTTTCTTATTTAAGTAGGAATACCACATAAATTCTTCTGTCAGCATGTCCTAAATGTTTAATTCATCATTAGACAATAACATAAAAATTCATACAGACTTTTAAATGTTCATCCAATTGATGTCATTCAACTTTGAAAAAATAATTTTATTCAGCGCCGGTCAACTATGGGGAAAATAGCATTTTTTTGGGTCAATGTTAAAACCCTTTATGGCAGTAAATCCTATCAATCAAGAATTCAAATTTTAAGGATCCTGCAGGCAGGTAGTTACATTTGCAGGCAGAGTTAGCATGTTTATAGGCAATTAGAACCAATTGTGAAATCCAGATGACTTTTCTCATAGATATATTTAAACAATTAAAATACATATAGGCTGTTAAAAATGTCTAATTCTTCACTTTTAGACATAAATTTAAAATTCATTTGGACACAAACTAATTCTACTGAATATTTTATGTTATTCATAAATTACATGAAGAGAACATGGACAGAAAAAGCCTGCTTAAAAGCTGAGAAGAGCTGCTACGGGAGCCTGAAGGTTCAAGCATAGAGTCCACAAGTACGACAATTTGTTTTTTCCAGGGTGTTGATGTTTGGAAATTAAAAAAAAACCTCTTGGGAAAATATCACTGGATGCTCCAACACAGCGTGAGGGTCTTAAATGAAGGTAATGGAGTCTTATCTTTTGTGTCCAAAGCCCAGGTACTTGGCCTTTTTTGTGTCAAATGCAGCCCGTGTGTTTAGCTCTTTTTCTACCCCCAGAAGATGAGCATGCTTCCGAGGCTGAACATGACACAAAAGTTCAAAAAATTCATTTTCATCCATTGTGTTGTTTTTGTGGTGTTCAGACCTGTGATCTGAACTGAATTAAAACTTAGATTAATTATGCAGAACTAAATTTATTAGCATTAAAAGTATATATTGTTGTTGTTGTTGTTGTTGTTAGTCCTGCATGGTATTAGAAGAACAAAAAGACAAACAGGCAGAAGATATTAAGTTAAACAAGTTGTATTTATTATTTTGTCTTAATTTATGACTGTGGGTCAGAAATGTTGAATGGTCTTGAAGGCATCACACTGGAGTTTGAGTCACTCTGAAACCAGCACGGCTCAGTTTTAAGTCTTCTAAGGGGACTTTTTTTAAAGAGCAATGCTGCTACAAATCCGTCTCCTCATTAAAAAATTATAGGAGGGTCTTTATTTCTGGGCTCGCTACATAAAAGATGTTGGTGACTCAGTCAGAGCTGTCACTCAGGGTGCTTGGAGAAGAGGAAGAATGGGGTTTTTGAGGGAATTGGAGCATATTCATCACACAGCTGCTGGGACAGGTGGGGGGAGGTTGTGGGCGTTAATTGTGTCTCAGAGATTAAGAAGTAATTTTCTCATTCATCTTCACTCCAGAGTGGACTTTATTTCCTGCCTTACAAACGCTGTAACAACATCACGTTGTTTAGCTGGCATTCCTGCTGCTGCTGACGGGGTACTCTTAGGAGACGGTTAAACATCTACGTAAAGTCGTTTAACCGGGAAATCTGAGTCAGAGTCCTTATTTACAGATCTGGGCTTTGCCCTCTGGGGGTGTCTGGGCTAAGTGGAGCTTGAGGAGATGTCAGGAGTGGCTCTTTGGTCTCATAAAGGAAATCTTGTATTAGTTCTTGGGTAAAATCTCAGCTTGCATCTTTCTTCAAAAAGCAATGATCAAGTTGTTTTACCTTATTTTTTGCTCATTTTAGTAATCACACATGCATCTACCAAATAGGGAAAGCCTTGATGCAACTCATCGTGTTGTTTATTTTCAAATGTTGTCTTAATGTGAGTTGCGGAACCAGTTATCTCTCAAACGGGGGAGAGTTTTCTCGCACGTCGTGAGCTCGGCAGAGTCTTAGGTGTGTGTTTTATCTGTTCACTTCCTTCATGAACGTGCTTCCTGCTTGGATGTTACTCTTCTAAAGAGAAACATTACTTTGTTGTCATCAGGCTCGCATAAGAAAGGTTTGTTGTTTCCCTTTTTGACTCCAGAAACTTAAACTGCATGTGTCTCGTGTGCCGATCAGAGGATGAGACTCAGACCGGAACCGATCATTCTGCCTGACTACATCAGCTAAATCCTCTGTGAAATGGAGCCCATTTTAGTTTCTCGCTGCTGTTTTCAGACCACTCTGTCGGAGAGAGGCTTCTGTACCTGTTCAGTTAGGCTGATTAAAGCAGAAGCTGCTTGTCTCATCGAGAGAACACCTGTAACTGGGAAAGAAGATCTGAAATATGCAAATGGTTTATCAGCTCCATCTGGAGCTGCAGCGACCAATGATAACCTGAGAATCTACACAAAGAGGCAAAAAGAGTGTGTGATGGCAAGTGAGCTGACAAGTAGTGGTCATACATGTTATCATCTGTTTGTACTCATGTCTGGTGATTAATTATAGTCACTCGGGATGATTCATGTGTGTTTTGTTCTTTTTGTTTCCACAGAGCTCCATGGAGTCTCCGAACCTGGAGTTTGAGTACGGAGACTCGGACACCCTCAGCGCTGAGCTCTCTGGTAGGACTTGAGGGATTTTGTTTCACCTGCAAAGAGAAAGATTAAGAAACCAGTAGCATTTTTTTATTTTCTTGAATTTTTCTTAGAAATAAAAATTTTATTCAAGAAACTGTGACAAGCAAAAAGCATTTTGAAAGTAAAAGTACAACGTATCCATCTTTTATCAACCATAATTCTTTGCCAAGTTGAGCTGAATTTAAACAGCATTTTTCTTTACCACAGACTGCTGTGTAACCCTCAATCAAGCCAAAATATATTAAGATGAAGGAGGGGTCCATAACTCGCTCTAAATACCGACGATTACAAAATAATTTTTATCAGGCCAAGAAAACAGAAAGAAAGTAAGCCCAACAAACACGGTTTTCTGCCGACCTCACAAACTAGAAACAAAATAAAAATGTAAAAGTTTAGAGAGACACACGCAATATTTTGTATCTAAATATTTTTTGGGAATAATCAGAATAATCTTTATGCTTCCTTCTTTTTATTGGGATACTGTGTGGTTATTTTATAGTTGAGTAAGTCAAAATAAAATCCTGATATGATCTTTAGATTTTATTTAATGTAAACGTTAACTCTCCATCTACCACTGATGGTGGTCTACAGTCCAGACCAAATCTTTCTGCGAGAGACTTAGTAAGTTTGTCTGATGCTGACTTACTAACTTTGGTCTCGAAGTTTGAAGTCATTTAATCCGGGACTGCTAGTGCTAACATGTTTGGCGGTTTCTGGGCTTGTAGCAACATGTTTGGCATTCAGAACGTAGAGTTGAACAGCTTTGGTGGTACGCAAACTCCTTTTTACACAGTTTGCACAAAACCACATGTTTTGTTCAGCTTTGTACCAGGAAATCATGCGCTGACAAACGTGCAGCTTTGCTTTTATATTATGATTTATCGTAACTAACGCGTTCAACTCCCACCCCTGGGAGTTCAAGCTTTTGAGCTTACAGTGCAGCTTTGTTTGTTTTATGGATTAACATAAGCTAATTTTGTAACAAATGGGGGCTTGTCCAGGATCTATGGATCTAGGTAAATGACATGTATTTGTATAGCACCTTCTAGAATCCCAGAACCAACCAAGGTGCTTCACAACACAACAGTCATTCACCCATGCACACACACATTCACACACTGGTGGTGGTGAGCTACAAGATAGCCACAGCAGCACTGGGGCTGCCCTACACACTAGACACCATTGGTTCCCTCCGACCACCAGCAGCAGGCAAAGAGGGTGAAGAGTCTTGCTCAAGGACACAATGGTGATGGTTGACGGTGACGTGCCAGTTGTTTTTCATCAATAAGTGAAATCTGCTTTAACACCAAGTCACAGGACACATGACAGAAAAGTGTTTAATTATTTTAGTTCAGTTAAAACCTGGACCTATCACCGAATTTTAATCCGTCTACAAGATTAAACTCTGCAACAGTCTGTATAACACGTGTTCGAACGAATGGCATTGATTTATTGTTTTAGACAAAATAATATTGTCCTTCTGGTAATCTGGAGCCACTTTGCCAGATTTCTTAGTCACACTGACAAACAAAGAGTCAGAGCAGCTCTGTAGTGACGGTACCTCAGGGTCAAAGGAAGATGACTGATCTAAGAGGAGGAGGAGGAGGAGATGCGCAACACTGTGACAAATGGTTAGATGGCCATGAAAAAGATTAAATCCATAGAGACAGGAGTCCAAATCTACAACGTCTTTGTCTGTCCATGGATGAATTTTAATCAAATCTACAAATGATTAACTTTGGGAGTTAACCCAATTCATGATGGCTGCCCCAGCCAACTGACCTTAGCAAATTCTTTCAGTTTTACAGATATTGGGCTAAAACTTGGTGAGATAGTAGCTGAGCGCTATCGTTGTCCATACTTCACAGAGTTACAACCACTGAGGGGTGAGGGCTTGGTCTTTATTCTTTTGTCTGTTTTGTCCTCAGAGCTCTACAGTTACACGGAGGAACCAGAGTTTGCCCTGAACAGAGACAACTTTGAGGAGGACTTCAGGAGTCACGGTGTGTTTGTGTTGCATATAACCAAATTTTGTTCATATTGTTAGTACGGCTACACAAAATATAAAAAAAATGCATCATCATAGTGATATCTGCATGTCAGTAATGTATTTAATGACTCACATGGAGCTATTTAGAGAAGATCTCAGTAAGCTGATGAATAACTTCTGGCTAATTACAGTAGCCTCGCCTGTTCCTCTAAGATGTGGTTCACACAGCAGGATGTATAAATAATTGGTAGTTTTTCAAAACATGAGACCCTACAAGTAGTGATAAAAAAATCACAGATCTACTAGATTTGGAACACGAACATTCTCCATTCACACTGGAAATCTTGCGAGATCAGACGTGATTTCGGAGTAAACAAACACGACAGAGGAGGAGCGTGGCTACACGTCACTTTCAACAGGCAGCATGATCATTTGTCTTCAAAATGGACCAAGACAATTGATCTCACCGATTTTTAGTCGGAGTGGTCCTGACGTGCTTTCAAGTTGACAATAGGTCTTTACACACAACACGTGGTAGGAATATCTGATGACTTTATTTATTTTTAGTAATTACGGTAATTGGGCGTGTCGTTTGTGATCGTCAGAAGGAAAGGATTGGGTCAAAAATCAGCATGATTATCTTGCTGTGTGAACCAGGCCTAATAATGAGACTGAAGGTTAACAAAACTTACTTGAAGAGGTTATTAATGAAGAAAAGACAGTAATTGGCTAATGCAAAAGACAAACAAGTACATCAGACGGATAGTGGGTGCCTAGAGGATAGGTTACTGTGGTGACCCTTGAAGAGAAGAAGCTCCATCTAGCATTTAGGAGAAACTAGATGGAGGAAAAATGGTTTCAAGGAGGTTTCTAAACTGGAAAAACCCAAGTGGGCCTCCATGGTCTCAAATCTCTGGAAGCTGAAGGCACTGAAGAATCGAATCATGATACCTGAAGGGTGTTGTACATATGGGGGATTGGTGAAAAAAGACATATGGCCGTTTTTTCTTAAGTTATAATAGTTTTATCATCTGTTGTCTCCATAATCAAACACCCAATCTGGGACACACGCTCGACATAATCATAACCAAAGATGTGGATGTGTCGAACATCTGACCATTTGTGTTTTTCCTAATATGTCCATTTCACCAGCTACACATTACACCTCTGTTGTACTCAAGTAAAGGTATCTGGGTGATCACACTGCATCAGTTTTTATAGAACGCAGCTTCACTGGTCACATTAGGGCTATAACTAGACCATCTGCATCAAATAGCACGACTCAGGGTTCCCATGTCCAGTCAAGACCTAGAGAAACTCATTCATGTGTTCACCTACAGCAGGCTAGACTATTGCTATGGTCTTTTGACTGGTCTCCCCAAAAAAGCTGTGAAGCTGCAGCTTATTCAGAATGCTGCTGCTAGAGTCTCAACAAGAACCAAGAGAACAGAGCACATCACTCCTGTTCTTAAATCTCAACACTGGTTACCAGTAAACTACAGAATTTATTTCAAAGTGCTTCTACTAGAAAAAAGAAAACAATCTTTTATATATTTATTTATATATAAAAAATAATAATAATATAAGAAAAGGGAGAGAGAAAATGAACAGGAAAGAGGGAAATCAGTGGATCGCGGGGAAAGGCGGAATAAGTAGAAAGAGCAGAATAAGGAGAGGGTGGTGATGAAGGTCACGCTAAAGCCAGCTTCAACAAGTGAGTTTTCAGCTGCTTCTTAAAGGAGACCACCGAGTCCACTGATCTCAGGCTCAGGGGGAGAGAGTTCCAGAGTCTGGGGGCCACAGCAGCAAATGATCTGTCACCGTTGGTCTTTAGCCTGGTGCGCTGCACAACCAGTAGTACTAGTACTAGTGTTTAAGTCACTCAATGGCATGGGGCCAGAATACATGTTGGATCTCCTTCCTGTATACACACCCAGCAGGGCTCTGAGATCCTTAGGAAGCGGTCAGCTGGTAGAACCTCGGGTCAGAACCAAACAGGGTGAAGCTGCTTTTAGCTACTATGCCGCTCATGGATACAATCAGCTTCCTTATGACCTCAAATGTGCCCCATCTCTAGTAACTTTTAAATCAAAATTGAAAACCTTCATGTTTTCATCAGCCTTTGAATAAATGTTCTTATGCTGTACCGTCTGTACTGTAACCGCTCACCCTTTAACTTTGTTTCTTTGTCACTTTTAAATTGTATTTTCTGTCACGCCGATTTTAAAGTTCTTGCTAATCTTGCTAATGGAAAGCACAATGAATTGTCTTTGTGTATGAGATGTGCTATATGAATAAAGCTGCCTTGCCTGTACAAAACACAAGTATAGGGAGCCTAAGTCAGTTCCACATCATGGGTCCCCAGAAGAACGAAAAAATGAATGCAAGTCAATGGGGCCAAAAACGCTATTTTCTAACGCCGCTTGTTTTGTGCCATGGATTCACGTATGATGTCCGTGAATTTTAAAGGCACATTTTGATACCAAGAATGCGCTTATTTTCGAACGGGGGGAATGATATTTTAGGTTTTGTGTGAAAATAAGTCCAGGACTACAAATGCGCTTCACGAACATGACGTCATCGAACCAGACACGGAGAAAAGTGAGGGAAAAGGGCCGTAAGTTCAGCAAACTTCCCACAGGAGGAAAGAACCACCATAAATCTGGTCAATTGGTAAGTAGCAGCTACATTAGGGGAGAGGAGATTATGTGGTGACGTCACATATGCGACGTGTCGATGTAGTCATGTTAATTACGAACTTTTACAAGCTAATCTCAAAGTACGTGACTGGCGTGGTCGAAACACACATCATTACTTTTCATTTAAATTGCAGTACAACATATGTGCGATCCAGGGCGTAAGGCAAAGCGGATTAGAAAGTATCGCTTTTAGCTCCGTTGACTTGTATTCATTTTTTCGTTCTTCTGGAGACCCATCATGCGAAAGTGACTGAGGCTCCCTATGATGTTCTTTAGACAAAGTCCCAAAGCAGTTTTATTCTTGACTCTTTCAGTACCTTCCAGAATGAGCCGTTACAGGGCTCTGTCACTAAAGAAAAACAAGCTCGAGCTGGCCACGCCCACCTGCCCAGGGTTAGAAACTTTGATATCCAGGGAGGGGCTCAGAGTAGAGCCGCTGCTCCTCTAGCCCGGAAAGGTGAGAGGGAGTTCTATGCAAATTTCTTTGCTTTAATTTTTGTAACCGCTTGTTTTAGGCATGTAATTTAGAAAACTAAACATTGACAGAGAACAGTTTTTTTTCCACGTTTGGAGTGTTTATAGAGCCTTTAGAGACCCACAAGGCAGCACAAAAAGATGCAAAAAATCAGATTTGCTTAATATATCTCAACTTTTATTGAATGAGATCATTTTCTAATTCTAAGTTAAATACATTTTTTTGCCACTTTAATGTCTGGTTACAACAAAATCACAATTTTTTTCCTCCTGAATAGGCAAAATTGCGATGTGTCCAGAGCATAAAGAATAACCATGAAGGCAGCGTCTCAGGCCTCTCATTTTGAAGCATCAATCATTAATACTAGCCTGAGTGAGAGCCTCTTTATTTGTTACCTCCTCTGCAAGCTGCAGGATAATAAATAGGAGAATTAGAGAAGGGCCTCCTGCTTCACAGAGATACAGCACAGAGCCGCCGCTTCACATCACGTCCTTTTCATTAGTGTGTGTGTGTGTGTGTGTGTGTGTGTGTGTGTGTGTGTGTGTGTGTGTGTGTGTGTGTGTGTGTGTCCAACAGCTTGACGTGCTCTTTGTGTTTAAACTGTACATGAGGGGCTCTGACTTGTGAATCTTTTGTGTCACTTCCCCTAATTTCCCAGCGAGTGACTCGAATCAATTACAGCAATTATGGAGTCATGCTATTTTTTTAGCTCTTCTGTGGTTAGAAAAGGATTTTTCTTTTTGTCTGGAATTAGAAAAGCCTTTTTTAGCACGTGTGATTTGAGTAGACAAGCCATGGGTATCCGTAATAGAATCTCAGCGTTGTTTAATGTCTATTTCCATCTTCTTAATCAAATGAGTCCAGGAATAGAATAGGATCAAGAACTAGCCTGAATCCATTGGCAGGCGCATGGTGAGCTGTTTTTCCCTCCACGTGCTGTGTTGTTATTCTAGAAGGTTCACTCAGTTATGTTTTAGTATTTGTCAACACACACACACACACGCACACACACACACCAGCTTTTTCCCTATCGTGATTAAAGATTTATCTCAGTCAATTGTTTGTATTATTTAACCTGCCGACAACAACCCACAAGTATTTGAGTGAAATTAGTCCATGAGTGAGTTTCTGCTGAGGATCACAGTGTAGGGAGACAGTCCATCTGTCTTGTTTCTGCAGCATGTCCTAATATGAGCAGTCCAATGTAGAAGTGTGTTTTTTAAATGACAGCTGGTGTTTGTGAATGCTCTCCACACACACCTCTGTTCAACACAAGCTGGTGACATCAGGAGAGGATTGTAAAGAACAGATGATGTTTGAGGCTGCTCTGCTATTTGACCATTAGGCCATCTTGAAATCTGTATTTTCACCAATTTTTTCCCCAAATTAAATTTCTTCTCGTAATTCAGTGTTTCTTGACAGCACTAGAAACAAAACTGAGTGTTTTGTCTGAAATCAAACGGTGTAAAAATGAAACCAACTCAGAGATTTTAAAGGAGACATAACATGAAAAACCCACTTTTTTATCCATTAACACAGTGTGTTTCACATTTTAAGTATCTAAGTGAGCAAAAAGGCTTATATTATTCACTGGAGTTGCTATTTAGATATTTAATAATTAAGTTTTGGGCATATTTGTCCACCCGTTCAGTTTTTACATAATCTATTACATCAGTAATTAATTTAGTGAGGATAACTACCAAATATGGTAATGGCCCTCGGCTAAACACAGAGCCAATCCGCCATTTTTTCTTCTCGCTAAGATTTTTTGTAGTCCTATTGGAAAAATGCAGAATGTCTGGTTATTTTAGCCACACACAGCTCAAAACTGTTCCTCGTTTTAAGGAAGGGTGGTGTGGCAGTATTTAAACCCAGGAGCTGATGACACTACTGCTAAAAAAACACAGAAGAAAAAGTAGTGTGTTTGTGTTTGTGTTTGTGTGTGTGTGTGCGCGCGCGTGGTTCGTTCTTTCGTGTCTTCAGGCTAGTAAGTACTGAGGGCTTCATCTATCTAAAAGGAGTCATTTTTATCTGAATGTGGCAGCACCGGGACACAGCAGCAGAGCGGTAAGCTTCATATCACTCTAAAATGTCGACAAACTTTACTTTAGATTTACGGGCATTAGCAGCACTAAAGCGTTAGCATCCGGCTTGCTATCGCTAGCACAGTATGCTAGTAAAGTTAGCACCCAGATTAATGCGGATTTGGCTGATTTTCGTGGAATAAAACGTGATTTCTGATCAACGCCTTCTTTTACACCAGATGATAACCTCCCACTGATTGTAACAGCAGAGAGCCTGTGTGTTATTCTATGTGAGTGTGATGTAATCTTAGCATCCAGTAAATAAAGTCCCATATCAGCTAAAATGCAGCGTGACAAAGTCATTAAAGTGCGTCAACACAGTGGATTTAATAGAGTAGTAAGTCTGTCTGCACTGCTCTCTAATGAGCTTCCTTTCATAAGGAATCATTTGTATAATTTTAGTGTCACTATTTTATTACATTTGTAAGAATATGAAGTCACTGCAGCAACACAAACATGACTATAAACATGAAAGCTAAAGAAACGACTTTCCTAAAGCTGCTTGTAAACAAAATATGTCATTAAAGTTATCGTCTATCATTGCAGAATATGACGATGACATCATGGAACTGGTCTTTGGAAAAGTTTTCCCTGAACCAACTCCATTTCTAGATGAGGTAGAGAAGATCTGCATCTCACCAACTCTCTGATCTCAGTATTCAGACAACGGAGGTCTCCCACTGTTATCCAGGACCAGTTTGAAGCCCACATACTGCCCCTCCCTCATCATCAGGAAACATCAATCCGTATCCTGAGGACAACAGAAGACGGCAGGAGGACAGGAACTCTGAGACCTAGACACCACCAGCACCGAGACACAAATTACCTGTGTGCACAACGCCTGTTTTAACTACTAAAGCCTGTTTATTATATTGTTCTACTTATTTGCTGTGAGGTTAATACTTAGAAAATTTGTATATTAATGTAAACAATTAAAAAAAATCACTGATTGTATGTTTTCTTTTAGATGTAATGGTCCAAACTCCGCCTTGTAGACATTTATTGCATCCTGTAGGTAAATACACAGAACAGGCTCAGGTCCAGGATGACCCAGCATGCTCTTCTTCCATTCTGGCTGTTAGGGATTGTATCAATAACTCAATGCCTACTGATGTTTTCACCTAACGGTATTTATTTAGAATGCAGGTAAGATTTAACTATATTTGTTAGCAAAGCAGACTGATCTTGGGAATTTCACTGCAGCACTGATGGCCACCTCTCTGTACACATTAGAGAGAATTACCACTTTACAGCTAAACACATTTAATAAAGATATAGGCTACGCATTGCAGACAATAAAAACAAAGTTGTAAGCATTAGAATTATAATGATCACATTAAAGAACATTTGGAGGAATGTTCTTTATTTTTGACTAGAATCTCAAATCTTTAAATTAAAATGTAACTGCTTTTTATCCATTTTCAGCCATTAAGACACCCAATATTAAATAAGACTACTTATAAAATTATTTATAATTATATGTATGTATATATATATAGATAGAGATCTTAAAAAAATGTATTCTTTTAATGGTGTTTTAATGAGCTGTATCATTTTTTAAAACATTTTTTATAGAAATAAATAAGCAAGCAGCATTCCTTGTGTGTGTGTGTGTGTGTGCGCGCGCACATGTGCCTGCTAGCTTGTCCCTCCATCGGCCGTGACGGGTGTGAGTGAGTGACTACAGACAAATGCATGAGAGAGTTAGCAGCCTTGAAACAGCTTGATGAACTACCCTCCCCACATGTTTTAAAAATGCTAATATGCTATGCTAAATCTGCTATGCTAAATAATGATTTCTCTATAGAACTACAAAGTCCGACTGGGGGAGGAGAGTACAGGTCTGCACTATGGAGGGGGCGGAGTTTACAGCTCCTCCTCCAGTTTAAAGAGACAGTACCCAAAAACGGCTCGTTCTCAAGACTCTCCTCAGAACAGGGGTAGATGAGGGTCTGTAGAGCAACAATAATGAGGAAATCAGACCAAAGAACTGCAGTTCCACTGTATTTAGACCCCAACTGAAGGATTTAGATGTAAAAAGGAATAACTTAAAAGCATGTTATGTCTCCTTTAAGCTTGGTTCTCTTAACCTTTCATTTGTTGCTGGCCTTCTTGAGCCCGCCTCTAGCACTGGAATGGAATGATATTACTGGACAAAAGCTTTTCTTTCCTCCAGCCTGGAAGGCTTAGTGGAAATAAAAGAAACAACACCATTTGTAACAGCTGATAAACGTTTGTGTTGTGTTATTGTTGTCCACGCAGCTAAAGGAAGGAGGTGGACTGAGCTGCCGATGGAGGAGCAGAAGGCGTATGTGATGAGTCTGCTGGACGCACTGGAGGTGACAGACCGGGACAAGAGGCTGAAGGTGGCCAGGGCCATCCTCTACCTGACTCAGGGTGGGTGACATCAAGGGCGGAAATCCCATTTCAATTTTGGGGGGGGCAATAAACAGTAAAACTTCAGAGAGTAATTTTTGAGGGGGACATGAAAAAAAATGCTCTCTACATACAACACTGTATGTCCTTATAAGAGACTGACCTGAGACTCTGTGCCTGTGTCTGACAGGCTCTGGCTGCCTGTGCTCAAGTGACTGGACTTTGCCTAATGAAACCATTTAGAAACAATTTCATTTCTTTCTTATAGATGTCTTTATCAAAATGCAAGTTTCTACTTACTTGACGTTCTGGAGCATTAAAAAACAACCTGATGTCTGCCGTTTTTCATTTCTCTGCCATTTCAACTGACCTGGTCTGCTGACAGTTGGACAGCAACACACACACAGACGGGATATTGTCAGTTGAACGGAGCTGGAGGATATTGATCATCAATAATATCTTGCCAGTTTTGTACATCTCCATAAGCATCCTTTCTTTTTGTTTTCATTTCAATAACAAGACTGTGGCCTAAAACGGAATAAGCAATTCAGAATAAAGATTTAAAAGTAGATCGTTAATAGTTGAAGCAACATGTCCTGAAATGACACGGCTATTAGCTGACCAACAGCTACACGTGTGGACGGATGCAAAGCATTAAACATATCTAACTTTTTCACAACAAAGAGAGAGAACATAAAATGTCAAATTAAAATTTTATTAAATCACATAACATGAAAGCTACTAAAATCCAAATAGTTCCATATTGATTTTAATATATTTGAAATTTTCCTTCTAAATATGTCTAGAAAAAATAACAAACTTCAAATCAGCTTTCACAAGTCGAGTATCAAATGACTGAAATCTCTTTAAATCATAGAAATGTTTGTAGGCTATTAGAGAATAACTGTAATATTTAATAACTTTATCTAAGTCCTACTGAACGAAAAGATACACAAAATCTAAAAATATATTCTTGAAATATTTGTTTCATTTTAATAATAAAAGTTAAAAACATTTACTTTACAAATACACTAAACATATACATTCTCTATAGTTTATCTTTCAGTTTAATCAATCTCTCACTTTTCTCAGTTTTCATAGTGTTTTTGGGTCTGTGTGTCCAACGGGATCTTTGGCTTTTACACTGAGAGCTTTGAGCAACGTGCCTCCACCACACATTTGCTGCAACCAGCTCATCCCTAAGCTGCACGGTGCACCTGCTCTTTGACATATTGTAAACGACTGCAGAGCCTGGGGAAGACGGGATAAGAGCGGTTAAACGCTGTGGTTTTCCATACATCGGACCAATTAGTTTTGATTCTACCAAATTCTTCTGCTAAATAGGATGAAACGCAAACATTTTCATCGATCTATAAATGCTCCGCAGATTCCAGGGGCAGACCGTGAAAGCGTACGTGTCCGGAAAAAGGAACATTTGGTCACCTTGCTAAATGGAATAATAATAGTGGAATAATCCTGGAATGACCAGAGAACATGAAGTGACAACTTTTTTTTTCTTACTGTGGTGGTGGAGGTCTGTCATAAAGGGATCTCTGACCGGTGATCAAAATCTAAAGATAATCGGTGTCTGTGTTTGACATTTATGACCACATTTGACACACATATTTAAGTTTGTAGAACAAGCGTGTGATAAATGACTTACTGCTGGAAACCGCTCAGGGGCGTGTCCAGGGAGTAGCCTGGGGTAGCACATGCCACCCTTGGAATCTGATTGGCCACCCCAGGGGCCAACACACTAATTTACCTTTGAACAGGCTTTTCATTGTCCACAAAAGGCTTGGGGGTGAAACAAAAGAGGCATAAGCATTGGTGCCACCCATGCATAAAGTTGTGCCTCACCTGGGCCACCCCATTTTAAAAGATCTGGACACGCCACTGAAACCGCTGGCTTTTTGATTCCCGCCTCCTGTGAGCCTGCGGGCTGCTGTGAAGCTGTGAGCGGGGCAGAGCCGGCAGCCCCGCCCGTTGGAAACTTGAGGAATTGGGGGTGGGGGTGGGGGGGGGGGTGGAGGACTATAATTTCTCAACAATTAAAAACACATTGTTTTGTATTTGCAGACTAACTTTTACGTTGTGGTTTTAGAAGACAATACAGGTTCACTGATAGCATTTATGTGTTTTTTACAATAACTTTTGTGTGTGTGTGTGGGGGGGGGGGGTCAACTTTCCCCGTCCCCCCTGGGATCTCCGCCTATGGCTGACATGCTTCTTTTTCTGCACATATAAAAATATTTGAATGAGAGGATCAATTTTTATGTCCCACTTTCCTTCTAGGAGTGTTTGATGAGTGCGACACCGAGGTGGACGTGCTCCACTGGTCCAGACACAACATCTTCCTGCTCTATGACATGGGCCTCTTCACGGCGCTGTTGGAGCTGCTCAGCATGGAGATAGAGTGAGTCTCTTACCAAATAATCAGGTTTGAGTGTGACATCTCTGGCTGTTATTTCACACCTTCCACTGAGCCGGCAGAGTGGCAGCGGCACCCTGCTTTTCCACTGCTGGTGTCTGCCTCCTTTGGGATCCGACGCTTGTTTTGTTGTTATGTAAGCTTCTCTGAGGCATCATGGCACAGTCTGCACAACAATGCAGTGCAACCAAAGCAATCAGGCAAATACACGCACGGCATTCAGCGGATTAGGTTGTGGAATGAAAATGGCATTGTGTGCATCTACAAGCTCCAGATTATAATCTGATTTACTGGTTGTTCAGCTGCATCTGTTTTTACTTTAACTCTGCTGTTTTTATTTTTGTTGTTTTGTAAGCAAACCATTAAAACAGTAACATTGATGATATCTGCAGTAACAGCCAGGCGTGCAGCAGTGCAGTGAGGAAGCCGGCCATCTCTCTCGCAGACAGCACAGAGCTCAGGTGAGTGGGGTTAAGCACGCCACTCACATCTTCTTGTGCTGCAGACGCAGAAGAAAATCCACCTGATGTTTAATGAAATCCACCTGATGAGTTAGTCTTCAGCCCATTCCTTTTGATTCAGTCTCAGCTTCCGCTTAATGAGTTTAGAGTCACACACAGCCAAGGTGACAGACCCAAGCCTCCTTCTGTGCATCCCCTGGACGACAAACACACATAATTACCAGCTGATGAGCTGAGAAATGGAAACTGTAGATGAGTGTGGAGCGACAGGAGAGGGGGACAGTCTGTCAGGAGGGTCTCATGACTGTTATATTCATTCACAATGAAAATCGACTAGATTAAAATTAAAGAACAAAACAATTGTCTATGATATAACTCTGGGCCTCAATGGACATGGGTAAAAAAATGTTCAATAAGACCCATTAATTATTTTCTTTACACTCTGAGATCCACATGAAGCACAAAGGCTTAGAAAATAGTTTGTTGAAAAATAACAAGAAAAATACAGTTAGTGCTTTTTTCATTATGATATTTACTTTTGTGGGTTAAAAAGAGAAATAGTATTTTTTGCTTATAAATTGTTGGCACTGATGCATGTGCTCTACGTGACTAAAATGTATACAAATGAGTTTGTACTAGATCACTGAGAATTTCCATGTTGTTTTCACACAACTTTGATTAGTCACGCTCGTGAGATAATGGCTTTAGTGCTGTTGGCTTTAAAGGGGATGTTTTTAGCATATTTTTCTTAACTTATAATAGTTCTATGGTCGATACCGAACGTGTTTGTGAAGTGCTTTGCACTAGATCCCTCTCACATAAAACAATCTCGGCTGTTTTATTCTTGACAGTTTCAGTACCTTCCAGAATGAGCCGTTTCAGGGCCCTGTCACTTTAAGAAAACAAACAGGAGCTGGCCACGCCTACCTATCCCCCGCTCAGGCTGCTATTAGCTGAGAAGCTCCGATATCTGGGAAGAGCTCTTCCAGCAGCAGATCTCTTGCACATGAAAGGCGGTTCTTTTGTAATTTCCCGTTTGTGATGTCACAAATGGGGACTTTTTGAAACCGCTTGTTTTAGACGTATAATTCCTAAAACAAAACACTAACAGAAAATGGCTGGATGGATTTTATTTTTATTTTTTGCCGACTTCATGTTTGGAGTGTTTATAGGAGCAGTAGAGACCCACATGGAAGCCTAAGTTTTACACAATATACCGTCATTAAAAATCTGTCTGTTTTCAATACCTGCTTGTCCATGCAGGGTCATGGGGGGCTGGTGCCCATCTCCAGCAGTCTTTGGGTAAACCGGGAGGGTACACCCTGGACAGGCTGCCAGTCTTTAAAAATCAAAGAGATAAATTGTCCTAATTAATCTGTTGGTCTGCTTCTGAAAACCTCCCCTTTAACTGGGTTTGCTCTTTTCCTTGCAGAGTGTTATTGAGCATCATGTACCTGATGGTGGAGACCGTTAGAGTCCAAACTGAGGACGACCGACCTGAGTGGAGAGAAGCCAGAGAGGCGTTTAAGAACGAGCTTGGTGTGTCTACAGACTGTGTGTGCAGGATTCTGTTAGCACTGATCGTTACGTCTTCAAATCCTGTAACGTTCCCGTGAACTTCCAGGCTCACCTCTTTACAACGGAGAGCCCTTCGCTCTGCTCCTCTTCACCATGGTGACCAAGTTCTGCAGTATGAACGCGCCACACTTCCCCATGAAGAAGGTTCTGCTGCTGCTGTGGAAAACAATCCTGGTTAGTGTGTCAGTTAGAGCCGAAGTAAGGAAGCACCATGGAGCTGGCTAACAGGCACAACTGCTTGATCGACTGTCAGCTCATCTGAAACTGATATCAGATGCTTGCTCACAACAATCAGTCTGCTTAAACTATCACGCCAATAGTTCTATTCCTCCATGTTTATAATGAACAGACCGTGTAACGTTCACAGTGCAGGTGGAAAGAGTACGTGATTGTGGATTTAATAACTGGTTGAACCTCTTTTGGCAGCAATAACGTTTCCTGTAGTTGCAGATCAGACCTGCACAACAGTCAGGAGTAATTTTTGACCTTTCCTCCTTACAGAACTATTTCAGTTCTTCAGGGTTCATTTCAAGATCCTGGTTCTGGTCTATAGGGCCTTACATGGACAAGCACCATCTTACATTGGTGATCTTCTTAGTCCCTACACCCCCAGCAGGTCCCTGAGGTCCAGTGATCAAAGCCTACTGGTTGTGCAGCGCACCAGGCTAAAGACCAAAGGTGACAGATCATTTGCTGCTGTGGCCCCCAGACTCTGGAATTCTCTCCCCCTGAGCCTGAGATCAGTGGACTCAGTGAACTCCTTTAAAAAGCAGCTGAAGATTCACTTGTTCAAGCTGGCTTTTGTATGACCTTCTTCACCACTCTCTCTTTATTCTGCTCTCCCCACCTATTCCACCTTCCTCAGGATCCACTGATTTCCCTCTTTCCTGTTCACTCTCTCTCTTTCTTAACATTTTTTCTTTTAAATCACAATTGCCTATTTTGGAGTCCCTGGGACGAGTGCTAGATAGTGCTCCATCAGGGGACTCCATTGTCCTGCTGGGGGACTTCAATGCTCACGTGGGCAATGACAGCTTGACCTGGAGGGGTGTGATTGGGAGGAACGGCCCACCTGATCAGAACTCGAGCGGTGTTTTGTTATTGGACTTCTGTGCAAGCCGCAGTTTGGCCATAACGAACACCATGTTCGAACATAAGGATGCCCACCGGTACACTTGGTACCAGGGCAGCCTAGGTCACAGGTCGATGATAGATTTTGTAGTCGTATCATCTGACCTGCGGCCGTATGTTTTGGACACCCGAGTGAAGAGAGGGGCGGAGCTGTCAACTGATCACCACCTGGTGGTGAGTTGGATCAGATGGCAAGGGAACATGCCGCGTAGACCTGGCAGACCCAAACGCATAGTGAGGGTCTGCTGGGAACGCCTGGCAGAAGAACCTGTCAAGACGGTCTTCAACTCCCACCTCCGGCAGAGCTTTGACCACGTCCCGAGAGCAGTGGGGGACATTGAGTCCGAGTGGGCCTTGTTCCACTCTGCGATTGTCGAGGCGGCTGTTGTTAGCTGTGGTCGTAAGGTGGCCGGTGCCAGTCGTGGTGGCAACCCCCGTACCCGCTGGTGGACACCAGAGGTTCGGGGAGCCGTCAGGCTGAAGAAGGAGGCCTACAGGGCGTGGCTGGTCTGTGGGTCTCCGGAGGCAGCAGACAGGTACCGGATAGCCAAGCGGGGTGCAGCAGTGGCAGTTGCCGAGGCAAAATCTCGGGCGTGGGAGGAGTTTGGTGAGGCCATGGAGAAAGACTATCGATCGGCTCCAAAGAGGTTCTGGCAAACTGTCCGGCGCCTCAGGAGAGGAAGGCAGCAACTCGCTCACACTGTTTACAGTGGGGATGGGGAGCTGCTGACGTCAACTGAGGCTATAGTCGGACGGTGGAAGGAATACTTTGAGGAGCTCCTCAATCCCACCAATGCGCATTCCGAGGAGGAACCAGAGCTGGGAGGCCTGGGGATGGACTGTCCGATCTCGGGGGCAGAAGTTGCTGAGGTAGTCAAACAACTACACAGCGGCGGAGCCCCGGGGGCGGATGAGGTTCGTCCTGGGTATCTCAAGGCTATGGATGTTGTAGGGCTGTCATGGTTGACACGTCTCTACAACATTGCGTGGTCATCGGGGGCAGTTCCTAGGGAGTGGCAGACCGGGGTGGTGGTCCCCATCTTTAAGAAGGGTGACCTGAGGGTGTGTTCCAACTATAGGGGGATCACACTCCTCAGCCTCCCTGGAAAGGTCTACTCCAAGGTACTGGAGAGGAGGGTCCGATCGATAGTTGAATCTCAGATAGAGGAGGAGCAATGTGGTTTTCGTCCTGGCCGTGGAACTGTGGACCAGCTCTATACCCTTGCAAGGGTGATGGAGGGGGCATGGGAGTTTGCCCAACCAATCCACATGTGCTTTGTGGATTTGGAGAAGGCTTATGACCGTGTCCCCAGGGGCACCCTGTGGGGGACGCTCCAGGAGTATGGGGTGGGTGGCTTTCTGTTAAGGGCCATTCAGTCCCTTTACCAGAGGAGCGTGAGTTTGGTCCGCATAGCCGGTAGTAAGTCGGACCTGTTCCCAGTGAGGGTTGGACTCCGCCAGGGCTGCCCTTTGTCACCGGTTCTGTTCATCACTTTTATGGACAGAATTTCTAGACGCAGCCGTGGTGTGGAGTGTGTCGAGTTTGGTGGCAGGAGAATCTCGTCTCTGCTTTTTGCGGATGATGTGGTTCTCCTAGCTTCATCCAGCTCTGACCTTCAGCTCTTGCTGGGTAGGTTCGCGGCCGAATGTGAAGCGGCTGGGATGAGGATCAGCACCTCCAAATCTGAGACCATGGTTCTCGACCGGAAAAGGGTGGCTTGCCACCTCCGGGTCGGGGGAGAGGTCCTACCTCAAGTGGAGGAGTTTAAGTATCTCGGGGTCTTGTTCACGAGTGAGGGTAGGAGGGATCGGGAGATCGACAGGTGGATTGGTTCGGCGTCTGCAGTGATGCGGACGCTGAGCCGATCTGTCGTGGGGAAGAGGGAGCTGAGCCAGAAAGCCAGGCTCTCGATTTACCGGTCGATCTACGTCCCAATCCTCACCTATGGGCATGAGCTTTGGGTAATGACCGAAAGAACGAGATCGCGGATACAAGCGGCCGAAATGAGTTTCCTCCGTAGGGTGGCCGGGCTCAGCCTTAGAGATAGGGTGAGGAGCTCGGACATTCGGGAGGGACTCGGAGTAGAACCGCTGCTCCTCCGGATCGAAAGGAGCCAGTTGAGGTGGTTTGGGCATCTGGTCAGGATGCCTCCTGGACGCCTCCCCGGGGAGGTGTTTCGGGCATGTCCTGCCGGCAGAAGGCCCCCGGGTCGACCCAGGACACGTTGGAGAGGTTACATCTCCAATCTGGTCCGGGAACGCCTTGGGGTCCTGCCGGAGGAGCTGGTGGACAAGGCCGGGGAGAGGACGGCCTGGAGCTCCCTAATTGGGATGCTGCCCCCGCGACCCGGACCCGGATAAGCGGAGGAAGACGACGACGACGACGACGACGAATTGCCTATTTTTGCTCATTTTAAATATATTTTTAAACATTTTCTAAATGCTTTTTTTATATTTTTACTTTCTTTGTTTTGTTTTTGTGAAGTGCCTCGTGATTTTTTATCTTGAGAGGCGCTATAGAAATGATATTTTCTTCTTCTTCTTCTTCTTCTTCAGTTCTTGCGATGTCTGGTATGAATCGATTTCTTGAGGTCTTTGGATCATTGTCCTGTTGCATCGTCCCATCTTCTGTTGAGCTTCAGCTGGTGGACAAAAAGCCTTAAGTTCTCCTGCAAAATGTCCTGGTGCAGCAAAGCAACCCCGAACCATGATGCCCCCACCACCATACTTCAGTTGTGATAATGTTTTGGTGTTTGTGTGGTGTGCCTCTTTTTCTCCACACACCCCAAACAACTCAAGTTTGGTTTCATCTGTCCACAAAATGTTTTGCCAGTACTGCTGTGGAAGATCCAGGTGCTCTTTTGCAAACTTTAAATGTGCAGCAGTGGCTTCCTCTGTGGTGTCCTCCCATGAACTCTGTTCTTGTTTAGAGTCTCACTTACAGTATATTCGCCAACAGGGATGTTCGCATATGCCAGAGATATTTTCTAAGTCTTTAGCTGACACTAGGATTCCTCTTCACCTCACTTCTGCAGTCAGGACGGCCCCTTCTACAGGGAAGAGTAGCAACAGTGCTGAACTTTCTCCACTCATAAACAATTTCTGTTACGGTGGACTGATGAACATCAAGGCATTTTGGAGATACATTTATAACCCTTTCCAGTTTTATGCAAGTTAACAACTCTTAATCATTGGTCTTTTGAGAGCTTCTTTTGTGCGTGGCATCAGGCAGTGCTTCTGGACAAAAGCAGGTGTGTGTTCTTTATTGGTCAGGGCAGCTTTAATCAAGACTTCTAATCTCATCACACTGATTGGACTCCTGTTGGCTGACACCTGACACCACTTAGCTCTTGGAGATGTCATTTGTCTAGGGTTGTCATACTTCTCCCACATGCACTGTGAATGTGTACTTGGTGTGTTCCATAAAAACATGGAAACGTATAACTGTTCGTGCGTTAGTTTAAGCAGACTGTGACTGTCTAGTGCTGTGACCTAAATGAAGATCAGGTCACATTTTATGACCAGTTTGTGCAGAAATGTATTTAATCCCAAAGGGTTCACATACTTTTTCTTGCTTCTTCTTCCTCAAATCTCTGATCATGCTTGTGTTCTAGTTTACGTTGGGGGGGTTTGAGGAGCTGCAGGAGATGAAGGTGCGTGGCCGAGAGCGTCTCTGCCTGACCCCCCTCCCAGAGGACAGTATCAAGGTGGTCAGAGCCATGAGAGCAGCCTCGCCTCCCGCCTCAGCCATGGAGCTGATCGAGCAGCAGCAGCAGCAGCAGAAGAGAGGCCGTCGCAGCCGCAGGGTACAACACACACACACACACACACATTTAGAACATGTTGGGTTTGATTGTGAACATTTCCGCTCATACACAACAACGTATGAGAGCCTGAGCAGTTTTCTCCTGAATCTTCCGTTGACGCGCTGATAAACATGAAAGCTTTGCCCGTTCAGACGGGGAAGCTTGGTGCTACGTTGATTTACTGTTGTGTTTCATCATGCAAATAAAACACGAGTAGGATGATGACGGATCAAAAAGAACACAAAGCCAAACACTGAAAGTCCAATCAGACCAGCAGTTAGGACCACATTTGGGTGTAAGCGCATTTTTATTTGTGGCTAAATGAAAAAACTTTCTAAAATCACTTCATTAGCGATGTGAATTGTTTGAAAATCAAACTTATACATCTCGACAAGTAATCATCAGAGGATTTCTAATTATTTCTAACAATGACTAGAAAATACAAAAAATATATGTAACACTCGCTTTTCTGTGACAGGTCATGAAAAATCAATGACTTTGTTGTCTTCACTCTGGTAAACAGTTTCATGCATTGTTCTCTTTGTAGGTCAAAGCTGTACGATGCTGTGTCCTCCTGAGGTCCTCATAAAGCTTTATCCCAGAGATTGTCCACAGATCACAGATGCTGATAATAAAAGCTACTTAAATTGAAATTTGAAGGTGAACATTTAGTCTAGGGTTAGGGTTAGAGAAGGAAATCTGTCAGTAAGAGAAACCCTCTGCAAGATCAGAATAAATATTTGTTTTATAGCAAATGAACGTGTTTTCAGTGTTATTTAAATCTGAGCCAACAGGGCTGAGTGCTTTTCTAAGAGAAGAAATCTAACGATGCAAAGCGTGAAGTCAGCTAATAACCAGCGTGATGCAAAGAAGGAGATTATTGCACTAAAGGAGTGACCGCTGCTGATCAAAACCACATTTCTTGTTACTAAGAGAAGGTCAATAACATTTAGGCATATTAGATGTTGCAGCTGTTTGTGAAGCATTTAGGTTTTCTATTAAAAAAAAAGAAAAACGGGTACTAGCTAATTTCTGATTATTTACCTTTTTATTAACACAGAACAGGTCATTTTGCTCCTAACACAGCAGACATAGAAATCCTGCTGTAACTCATCACAGTTTTGGGCTTTTGGAGCTAACATCATCCATTCCCCTCAGTGACCACAGATGGTCTTGGTGCTCCGCTTTGGGAATCCCAGCTTTCTTTCTTTCTTTTCTTTCTCTTTCTTTCTTTTTTCTCTTTTTCTTTCTTTCTTTCTTTCTTTCTTTCTCTTTCTTTCTTTTTCTTTCTTTTTCTTTCTTTCTCTTTCTTTCTTCTTTCTTTCCATTTCATTTTTCCAGTTTGAGCTCTAACTGCCCTCTGGTTTTTTACTCTCCCTCTCCCTTGTGTCCCTACAGAGTGCCTTTGTTGATAGCTTGGAAGGAGACAGTCCCTTTCCCAAGAAGCAGGTCTTTACCCACAAATTCCCTCTTCTGCACTTTGCACCTAGCTGGACTTTTTGTGCTCCTCTCCTTTCTCCCCGCAGTCCCACAGTGTCCCCGCCTTCTTTCTGTCTCTTATGTTACTTCATTTCTAATGTTTCTTCTACTTCTCCCCTCTTGTTCTCTGTAATCCTCCCCATCCTCCCAACTTTCCCAGTCTTTATCCATCCTCACTGCTCTGATTCCCTCCCCCCCCCTTCACTGTGGGACGCCTGTTAGTGGGCAGTAGCGGGTTGGGGGGACAGGACTGACTTGCTGGCTGTAATCATCGGCTCTGGAGTGGTCACGTTCCACTCTTCCACCTCAGATATCCACAGTAGGAGCATCTCCCCTGTAGCTGTCATCACATCGCTACTAGATTTGGTCACTGTAGAGTCCAGAGAAGAGGCCACTGTCTTTAAATTACATTCACTGAGACGATGAACCAACTGCATTTGCCCCCTGCTCGCAGATGGATGTCGTTGAAGACAGTCGCCCTCTAACCCTGAGAGAAGAGCAGTTGCTTTAGAGAATGGCTTCTCCATAGAGAATGGCTCACAGCACCAGTTCCACCCTCTCCTCATCCTCTGTCCCACCGTACGCTCACCGTGCCCGTCACTTAACCCGGCATCAGTATGGCGACCAACACGGCACACATCAGCTGCAGTAGCTCAGCTAATGGCCAGAAATCTTACTCATGCCTGATGCTTGCACCGTTGTCAGTCATTCATTAGAAAGCTCGTCTGACTAGAAGCACGTGTGGGTTTGTGTGTTTTTCACTTGGAATGGGATTGTTTCTGGATAAGAACTTAAACATCACAACAGTCTTAATGGGCTTGTTTTTCCCAATATGCAGACGAGTGGTAAGTGGATTATGACCTTTTGTTTGTGGTTGCAGTGAAAGCTTCCATTTTAATGCCTCACTTGCTTTGCTAATTTCAGTTGTCCTCTCTAGATCGGGAGAATTTCATTGTTCTTTAATCTGTTTATGTTCAGATCTGTTTGGGAGGCACCTATTAGGTCAGTAGGGACATTATATTATGTATTGTGTCACATCACATGTTATCAGATCCGTCTTCGTTTCATAGGGGCAGAATTGAACTGTTGGTCCCAATGTTTTTAAAAAGGAAGACACAAGTTATTATTATTAATAAATAGGATCAAATGTAAAAGTATATTACAGAAAATATTTTAACGCAGGACATAGGAAAACCCTCTAAACCGAAGCAGCTCTGGTAAAAGCTCAAACCACACAGCTGGCATTGTTTCTTTTCTTAAGCTCTTTGGGATCTGGGATCGGGGAAATGTGTGAAAAATCTTCAGACTGAACTAAGGAGCAACAGTGGGGTGAAACCTGATTTTGATCTCGGAGAGTGTTGCTCACATGTTTCTGTTCAGGAGGACCCAAAAACCTGCAGCTCACTGTCATCTTAAAGTAATCAGTTTTCCTTCTTTCGGGAATTACAGTATGTTAGCCTGGTGAGCCATCTTATATATTTATAGTCTGTCCTCAAATCATTGAAACAGCTCACTCATAGGGGTTTGTCTTTGTACACACACACACACACACACACACACACACACACACACACACACACACACACACGCACACGCACACCCACACACACACACACACACACACACACACACACACACACACACACACACACACACGCGCACACACACACGCACACACAGTGACACAATGACACACTGTGGTCATCGGGGCAGTAACCCCCAAACTGGAGGAGTGGCTAAAGCAGATCCCAGGAAAAACATCAGACATCTCAGTCCAGAAAAGTGCAGTTCTAGGAACAGCTAAGACACTACGCAGAACCGTCAAGCTCCCAGCTCACAGGAGTCGAGCTTGGAAGGATGACACCACCTGCAGAGGGTGAGATGGGAATTTTTTAAAACATACAGTCAGGTCCATAAATATTGGGACATCGACACAATGCTAAAAGTTTTGGCTCTATACACCACCACAATGGATATCAAATGAAACAAATAAGATGTGCCTTAACTGCAGACTGTCAGCTTTTATTTGAGGGTATTTACATCCAAATCAGGTGAACGGTGTAGGAATCACTACAGTTTGTATATGTGCCTCCCACTTGTTAAGGGACCAGCAGTCATGGGACATTTGGCTTCTCAGCTGTTCCATGGCCAGGTGTGTGTCATTCCCTCATTATCCCAATTACAATGAGCAGATAAAAGGTCCAGAGGTCATTTCAAGTGTGCTATTTGCATTTGGTATTTGCTGTCAACTGTCAAGATGAGATCCAAAGAGCTGTCACTATCAGTGAAGCAAGCCTTCATTAGGCTGAAAAAAACAAAAGAAACCTTTCAGAGAGATAGCAACAACATTAGGCGTGGCCAAAACAACAGCTTGGAACATTCTCAAAAAGAAGGAACGCACCGGTGAGCTCAGCAACACCAAAAGACCCGGAAGACCACAGAAAACAACTGTGGTGGATGACCGAAGAACCCTTTCCCTGGTGAAGAAAACACCCTTCACAACAGTTGGCCAGATCAAGAACACTCTCCAGGAAGTAGGTGTATCTGTGTCAAAGTCAACAATCAAGAGAAGACTCCACCAGTGTGAATACAGAGGGTTCACCACAAGATGTAAACCATTGGTGAGCCCCAAAAACAGGAAGGCCAGATTAGAGTTTGTCAAACAACATCTAAAAATGCCTTCACAGTTCTGGAACAACATCCTATGGACAGATGAGACCAAGATCAACTTGTACCAGCGTGATGGGAAGAGAAGAGTATGGAGATGGAAAGGAACTGCTCATGATCCTGAGCATACCACCTCATCAGTGAAGCATGGTGCTGGAAGTGTCATGGCGTGGGCATGTATGGCTGCCAGTGGAACTGGTTCTCTTGTATTTATTGATGATGTGACTGCTGACAAAAGCAGCACGATGAAGTCTGAAGTGTTTTGGGCAATATTATCTGCTCATATTCAGCCAACAGCCTCAGAACTCATTGGAAGGCGCTTCACAGTGCAGATGGACAATGACCCAAAGCATACCGCAAAAGCAACCAAAGAGGTTTTGAAGGGAAAGAAGTGGACTGTTTTGCAATGGCCAAGCCAGTCACCTGACCTGAATCCGATTGAGCATGCATTTCACTTGCTGAAGACAAAACTGAAGGGAAAATGCCCCAGGAACAAGCAGGAACTGAAGACTGTTGCAGTAGACGCCTGGCAGAGCATCATCAGGGATAACCCAACGTCTGGTGGTGTCTACGTGTTCCAGACTTCAGGCTGTAATTGACTGCAAAGGATTTGCAACCAAGTATTGAAATGTATAAGTTTGATTTATGGTTCTTATTCTGTACCATTACTGCTGGTCCCTTAACAAGTGGAGACACATGTGCAAACTGTTGTAATTCCTACACCGTTCACCTGATTTGGATGTAAATACCCTCAAAAGCTGACAGTCTGCAGTTAAAGCACATCTTGTTCGTTTCATTTGTTATCCATTGTGGTGGTGTATAGAGCCAAACATGTTAGCATTGTGTCGATGTCCCAATATTTATGGACCTGGCTGCATACACATGAATAAACGCCATATCATGAAAAGTCACGTCATGTTGTATAGGATCATCCAATCGTATTGTCATGTATGGGATTGAATCAGGACACAAGGCCTTTAAAGAGTTCAATGTAGATTTTTTTCAGACAAATGTCTGTTTGCACTTTGTGATAATTCAATAAGAGGAACGAAACCACTCTGAGTCCACTACTAGCAGGTTGTTGGTTTTCTTCTTGTTCCCTACACTCCATGACTGATGTCAAGTTGTTGTAGTTGTTGTTAGCCTCAAGGACAATATGCCGATTATCACTTGTAAGTCGCTTTGGACAAACGTGTCTGCTAAATACATAAACATAAATGGATTCACGTAGATGTAGCCTACAGCACACTGGTCAATTTGTGCATCATATAATTAACTGAGATTGTAAAATTCTATGCTTCGGCACAGTGGTGGCAGCATTATACTCTGGGAATGTTTCACTGCTGCAGGGAAAAGGGATAGATGGAGGCTGACACACAACTTCATGGCAATCGAATTGCTGGAGATTCTTCTTTGGTTGACTCCTGTCTACAGCTCACTCACATTCCCATCTCTAAATATGAACCGAAGTCATCGTTGAGCTTTAGAAGAGCCGGTGGCTGAATTTGCCTTTTTACCTTTTATGCAAATCTAAGAAAATCTCCTGTGGGTAATTTGACATGTGGTCCAGCCAAACAGGTGTTCTAATTCAGTCCTCCTTTCAGATCTGTGTGAGTGTGGGCTTGTTTGTTTAGTTTCACCTGTTAGAAAGCAACCAGTTTACACCTTCCTAGCGTGAAAGTGAAGCCCGCTGACACACAACTTCACCCCAGTCTCCACTTGTTTAGTGCTTAATCCGTCTTTCTGTCAGAGAACAAGCAAGTGGGCTGGAGAGTTGGGAGCGGAGTCGATCTTCTCACCTTGTTTTTATCCAAAAAGCAAACCTGCTCTGGGAATGTCTGTTAATCACAGGCTAACTTTAGCTTCTCATGTAAACAACAGCTGGTGGCAGAGCTGCCTCCATCAGCAGCTTCCTGAGGGGAAAAGTCAGCAAAAATCTACCTGAACTCTGCAGTCAGCTTAAGCTTGTGAGGACTGAGGATTCATTGTGTTAATAATTTTGTTTCTGGATAAATTCTGTTCATGGACACGGTTTTCTCCCAAAGCACCGACCTGGTCAGATTCAGTAAGTGGCGTCAGTAAAAAGGGCAGCTTAACGCGGCATCGGTATTAAGAGGCTGAGGTTTAACCCATGAGAATGAGTTTTCTTGTTTTTAATAAGAATTCTAGAATGAAGGATTTGGATGCTCATCTTTTATTTAACTGGAATTTCCACAAGAAGGAGTTCAAATGTCCTAATTACAGATGACCTAAGTAGCTTGTCCAATCTCAGTTGACTCCCTGTCCTCTGTGTCCCCCTCCCCAGCCCTTGGTCAAGCAGGACAGTCTGGACACATACAATGAGCGGGACCCCTTCAAGAACGATGATGCCCGGGATGAAGAGGAGGACCCCGAGGACACGGACAGCGGGATCGAGGGTGAAGTGGACCCTCTGGACCGTGATGTCATCATCCAGCCGCCACCACCGCCGCCTCCACTGAGACCCCCGACAGAAAGAGTCAATTTCCCAAAAGGCCTACCCTGGGCTCCTAAAGTCAGGTTAATAGCAGAACACTTTCTAACTTTTTAAGCATTTCGGAGCTTTTAGAAAAATTCTAATGAGTTTGTGGACAAATTCTGCTCACCGGAGCAGTTTTCACTCCATGCACCAGCATTCATGGAGTTGAGTGAAAAGGATGGTTTGAGCTGGTATCAGGGACAAACATCTAAACCTGACTCTGCACCAGCATTTACGTGGTTAAAAGAGGACCTAAAAAATCTTACAGTTGTCTCTCCTCACTCCCATGCAGCAATATGGTCTCCATCTGTGTGTGTCTCTGCAGGGTGCTGCTGCCTGGAGGACATAAATAATGCATCTTGCGCTACAGTTATCGTGTGTTAATCATTAGAAAACATCTTTTCTGCATCACTGTTAGCAAACCGTACGTTTATAGATGTGCAGATTTCTGTGTTTGGATCTGTTAAATTCTGATTCTCAGAGGTGTGATGGATGAGCTTTTAGAGAGCCAAGGCAGATGTGTGTGTGTGTGTGTGTGTGTGCGTGTGTGTGTGTGTGCGCGTGTGTGTGTGTGTGTGTGTGGGGGGGGGGGGGGGGTGAGAGAGAAACCGTTTCAGATCTGTGAGGTTTGCTCACACAAACCTACTCATGTTGTATTTATAGAGAAAAAGATATCGAGCATTTCTTGGAGACCAGCAGAAACAAGTTTATTGGTTTCACTCTGGGAAAGTAAGTGTCCCAATCAGCATGTGTCCTCGTCATGTCCATCAGTGATGTCTAACTAGTCCTCCTTTTTTAGTGATACCGAGACCCTGGTAGGCTTACCCAGACCCATTCACGAGAGTGTCAAGACCCTCAAACTGGTGAGCAGGTCCTTTTTGGTTTTATTGGACTTATTAAAAGCCCGGGCACAGATGGAGTGAGGTTTTCCGGCCACGTCCAGCTGGGAGGAGACCCGAGGGAAGACCCGGGACACGCTGGAGGGACTATGTCTCTCGGCTGGTCAAGGAACACTTTGGCATTCCCCCAGAAGAGCTGGCTCGAGTAGCTGAGGAGAGGGAAGTCTGGGCGTCTCGGCTTAAGCTGCATGCCTCCACGACCCAACTCCGCATAAGCGGCTGAAAATGGATGGATGGATTATTAAAAGATTAATATTCTTTTGTTTCATTTGCTTTTCTGTATTATGGATTAAGTGTCTGCTAATCAATACTCACACGCTGTTGAATCCTCTCCTAATGGCACCCCTCCATTATAAATCCATACCTCCCAGAGTGAGAAGTGTGCAAAGAAATGCCCCTCTGGGTGTCAGCGAGCTGCGGTAATTATCCATTGCTGTAAATCTCTTGTTTACGGCAACATTTCTATCATTTCCAGCACAAGTATGTGTCTATAGCTGAAGTCCAGATCAAGAAAGAAGAGGAGCTGCAGCAGTGTCCGCTGAGCCTGGTGAGCTCCCGCTTTTACTTTTTGGCTTTATTTAAATAAACTCCAGCGTTTCTCTAATTGAGGCTGCGGGTGCTAAATGGAGGTGCTGTGCTGACAGGGTGAGGAGGAGGTGGAGGAGACGCCTGCTGAGATCTTATACGTGGGAATGCTTCCAAACCTCTCACAGTATGTGGTGAGTGGATCTTTTTCTACTTCCTCATTAGCGAGAGGCTCTTCTGAAAAATCTGACCTTTGTCACACGAGGATACCTCAGACAAAACAAAATAATTAGCAACAAATGTCTCAAAGAGGCACCAGAAAACCCGACCTTGGAGTCGGCACGGTCCTGCGTGCTGCTCTGTCCAGTCATTATACAGATTTAGTTAGGGATGTAAGAAAATATTGCAATATTTTCTGTTACAATACTGGGTTAATATTTAAAAGCAGTGTATCAACATATGTATTGAGAATTTACAATCAAACATTTAGTGTATTTCTTTTGTCTGGTGCAATTCAAACCCTGACTGCTAGGGGGCAGCAGATTTTACCGTCTTCATTCTGATGATCTCTCAGTGAAACTGGACGTGTCTTACAGGCTTCTAGCCACAGTTTTCTGAATAAATTCAGTCTTAAAAACCGCTTTTATCATCTGGATTTTATTATCGCAAAGTATTGTATTATCTCCTCTGTACTGTGACGTTTATGGTAAAGCCGGATTCTTGTTAATGCAAACCCCTTTGAAAGTGCATTCCTCTGTGGATTATGAGAAATTTTTTAAATCATTATCTTTTCATTTTATGTACATCGTTGCATCATCAGCACCATGAAGCAGCCCTAGAATTTCATTGTGCTAATGAGGTGACATTGTGCAATGACAAAGAAAGCTTCCTATTATATTCCATTCTTTAAAAGGCCTTTTGATTCTTTGCTGCACCAGATTTGTTGTCTCCCCCTGAAATCATCTGTTGTTTATTTGCATTATTATTCTCCTCCACCGGTGAAACGTCCTTGAGCCACTGATTGCTACAGAAACACAAATCATGGTTTATTGAAAACCCATTTTATAAAGATTAATTCTAATTATTTTTCATGCAGGCTGAACATGAAAATAGTCTCCTACACCATTCTCCTGCATTCATCAGCTTCTGATAGAAAATGGTGAAAAGCCTGACAGATCTACGTCACAGTTACTTAACATTTATGGACGTTCCCATTTTGACTCGCGACAGGGAAGGCTGTTGCTGTTTTAGCATCCAAGAATCAACAGAGAATGCCTCAACTAGTAGAAGCTAACCGTTAGCATGATCAACTTCACCACACAGCAGAACTCCTCCCGGCTTGTGTTAATCGTGGAGATAAAACCAACGTTGCAAGTCGATGATGGTCGTGTTGCTTTTATTCAATCCTGAGCGAGATGTCCAAATATCAGGAAATAAGAGCTCAAAGCCTGCTGTCTGAAGCTCAGCTGTGATGTGAGTCACTTCTAGTGTCTGGAAAGGGTGCGCCGATTTGACCCCCCCCCCCCCCCCCCCCCCCCAGTACGGGTTACAAGGCATTCATTCCTACTAGAGACCACTGAAATGAATTTATTAAACGAGCGTCCCACACTTTTAAAGAAGTGAACTTTGGGGCATCTTTTTATTGCACGTACCTTGCAACATGGAATTAATTTAATGTCTGCTATAGCTCTTTCTAGTACTTTCTTCCTGTGCAGGTATTAGTTGTTAGTGCTAAGCTGTGAAGGCGCCTGTACAGGTGGACATCTGTATGTACTCATTTGTTTTTTTTTAACTAAGCTTCCCTTTCTTTCTTTTGCCAGATTGCTCTCCTGAAGCTCCTGCTAGCTGCAGCTCCAACCTCCAAAGCTAAAACCGACTCCATCAACATTCTGGCGGATGTGCTGCCTGAGGAGATGCCGTGAGTGATCAAGCCCTTCTCAGCTGTTTTTGTCTTTTGTCATTATTATGTCCTCCATGTCAACATAGAGCAGCTTTCCCCTTGTTGATCGACACTTGAGCTGGTGAGAAAGTGTAAAAACACAGATGAGAGAATCAGCTTGTTTTACAAGCAGGTTGTGGGTGTGTGTTGGTTGTTGAGTCTGTTCCTGACCAAACAGTTGCAGGATAACTGTTGGATGTGTGTGTCCTCCAGGATCACCGTTCTCCAGAGCATGAAGCTGGGGATCGACGTAAACCGTCACAAAGAAATCATCGTCAAGGCCATCTCTGCTCTGCTGTTGCTGCTCCTCAAGCATTTGAAACTCAGCCACATCTATCAGGTAACACCCAGCTCAGGGTATTATCATTGCCTTCACTTCTGAGTTATTGTGATTCCTCTGAGTTTTACCTTCCAGGTCCTTTCAAAGATTGTATGTCTTCTCCTGAATCACGGGAACAAGATTACATTTGGAATTCTTGGTGCTAAAATCAACGTTGGTCCCTTTGCTATTGGGAGGGGGACACCGATGCAGATATTTGCTGTTGCTATGGAAGAAACATGCTTCACACTCCTGCAGCTTTCTGTTGTGTAGAGCTGTGATAATGGCTCCACCTGCTGACCAAAACTGGAGTTGCACCCACAAACAACTGCTACTTTTTCACATTTTAAAGTTATTTTCTTGAGCCAGTGTGTGCTAAAATGGCCCTTTACAGAGGTAATGAAAGGACACCTAGACCCTATCCAGAATATTCCACTTGCCACTTCAGACTGGCGGGCCGCTTTGTTGGGGCTTGGAAAAAATAGAGCTTACCCCCAAATTCCACTACCTCCGCTCCGCTCCGACACGAACGCCGGAGCAAAATCGGTCCCGTTGTAGTCAATCAGAGCAATTCCACTACTGCGGCCGTGCTCCGGCAGTGCGGCGCCGTGCACCGCCCTCTGTTCCGGCGTCCGGCAAAAATAGAATCGATCCTATTTTTGCCGGACGCCGGAGCACCTCCGCAGTCAATGGACAGAAATCACCACCGCCCAACAGGAAAATGAGCAAGCAGAACTTCCGTTTTTCACAATAAATCGATAAACAAAAGGCGTTTTTTGTTTCATATGCACAGGTTTAACAACTTTTAACAACTATCAATGGCGGCTGAACTTTAAATGCACAAAAGTAAGCCATAAATACAGTTTCCACTATCAAAGTAGTCACACTTTGTTGATCCAAACACTGCTGATCTCTACACAAATGATGGGCAGATTAAACAGTTCATGTCATGCTTCTCCCACACAACGGGTGTTTGGATCTAACTTCCGCGTTTATTGCTCGGACTGTATCGCAAGATCTTGAAAATCCCGCGCATGCCTGTTTGCCCACCTCAGGTCTCCGCACCGGAGCGGAGCCGTTGTAGAGCGCGTACCAGTAAAAATTGAGTTCGGAAGCAAGCGGCTGCGGAAGGCGGGGGCGGACCGCAGCGGAGCGGAGCGGAGGTAGTGGAATTTGGGGGTTACAGTCTGCTTCCTGCATGTTTTAGATCATGAACACAGCTTATTTAATTTAATGATGAATCACTCCTGTAGACACTAAGGAAGGCTGGGGAGACGTTTCAGCTGTGTTAAAAAGACGAATGCACAGCGAGGAGATACGTTTTGCTTTCGGTGCTACACACGGACACTAGGGGGTGCTAAAAGCAAACCAAAACTGCCCAGTTCCCTCTTTAAATGAACTTATGCAATTAATAATTCCCAACACCTAGCTATATTTTAGTTAGAATAAACAAATAAATAGTAAATCTAGCTTGAAATTTCTTGAGTATGTATTCTTTGTCTTTTTTGAGTAAAATTCCATGTAAATTTAGGACCAGAATTAAAGCATCAAAGAGAATCATTAGATAAAGGATTCTTTTTCTCTTATAATCTTTCTGCCTTGTTCCCTTCCACCAAAAGTATGACTGCATGAAATAAACCCTAAAACTTAAGAATAGAAATGTCTAACATGTACTCATTCTCCCTGCCACATCCTATTTTTCTGTAGTTTGAAGTAGTCTCCCAGCACTTGGTGTTCGCCAACTGCATCCCACTCATCCTGAAGTTCTTCAACCAGAACATCATGTCCTACATCAGTGCCAAGAACAGGTAAGGATGATCTGCTCATCTGGATCAGCATCAGGACCAAAACTCAAACCTCAGCTCTTCTGCTAGATGTGTTCGATCACACGTGTCTTTGTTGTAGCATCTGTGTGCTGGACTTTCCTCACTGCGTGGTCCATGAGATGCCTGAGCTGACAGCTGAGAGCCTGGTCAGTTTTATTGACCTTGTCTGGATGAAGGTCCTCCTCCAGCATCCCTGTCTCAGTCTGACCTCCCTCTCTGTGTGTCCTCAGGAAGCAGGAGACTGCAGCCAGTTCTGCTGGAGGAATCTGTTTTCCTGCATCAATCTGCTGAGGATCCTCAACAAGCTTACCAAGTGGAAACACTCCAGGACTATGGTGCGTAAATCACAGAAGCTTATATTTTTAAGTGACACTATTCTTTCAACATGTTCTTTTTTTATGTCCATTTCTCAGATGTTGGTTGTCTTCAAGTCGGCCCCCATCCTGAAGAGAGCCCTGAAGGTGAAGCAGGCCATGATGCAGCTCTATGTACTCAAGCTGCTTAAGATCCAGACCAAGTACCTGGGTCGCCAGTGGAGGAAGAGCAACATGAAGACCATGTCAGCTATCTACCAGAAGGTCCGCCACAGGCTCAACGATGACTGGGCCTACGGGAACGGTAAACCGGAGCTTCGTTTTGCTTCACTCTGAAGATGTTTTCATGTTAAAGGTTTTATTCAGATCTGTACCTTCAGGATAAACGGCCCAAAGATCAAATGATTTAAGGGATATTTGTCAGTAAGCAGGGGTTACCATGGCGGCACCGTTGTACGTGGACACTTTACACCTTTGGCACTAAAATTTCATGTGTTCGTAGCTGGACGTCATTCATCATGCTAATGTCAAGTTTATTTATATAGCACATTTCCAACAATCAGTGATTGCACAACGTGCTGTACACAGACAAACTGTAAAAAATAAAATGATAAAACACTGAGAAACATCCAGTATACCCTATGTAAAATAAATGAACGAAGAAATCATTTTTTTCATTTAAAAGCAAGGGTAAAAAGGTAGGTTTTTAAAAGAGACTTAAAGGTAGAAGGGCTGTTGGCAGACCTAATCTGTAGGGGAAGGCTGTTCCAGAGCTTGGGAGCGGCCACAGAAAAAGCTCTTGTCGCCTCTGGGCTTCAGCCTAGACTGGTGAACAGATAAAAGATGTACAGAGGATGATCGCAAGTTTCTTTTGGGGACATGAGTGTTTAAGAGTTCCGACAGATAGGGAGGGGCCAAATTGTGTAGTGCCTTAAAACAGAGCAGTAGCATTTTAAATAGAATCCTGTAAGTGATTGGGAGCCAGTGAAGAGCTTGTTAGCCCGGAGTTATGTGATCCCTGCATCTCCTACCCGTCAGCAAGTGAGCTGCCGCATTCTGAGCCACCTGCAAGCGGTGAATTGACGACTGCTCCAGTCCATTATATAGAGAGTTGCAGTAGTCGAGTCTCGACATGATTAGCAGGTGTATAACCTTTTCAAAGTCTTTACTTGGTAAATAGGGCTTGACTTTACTAAGAACACGCAAATGAATGAACACGCTCTGGACCACAGAACTTATCTGTTTATCAAGCTTAAAATGACCATCAATGGAAAAACCCAGATTTCTTGCCTGAGACACGCAAAAGGATTTTTCTTCTGACCCTAACCCTAACCCAAATACACTGTTTACCCCGTGCAACAGCCCAGGGTCCCCGAAAACGACAATTTCACTTTTTTTGTCATTTAAAGTGAGAAGGTTAAATTGTAGCCAGTTTTTAAAGTCTTTTAGACAATTCAGTAAATTATCAAACGACGGCCTTCGAGAATGTTGTGGGACATAAAGAAGTGGTATGAGATGCCATGCTTATGAAAGATGGCGCCAAGGGGCAACATATACAGTGAGAACAAGAGTGGGTCCAAAACTGAACCTTGAGGGACACCACAAGTTTCGCTGGAGACGAACAACACTGCCCCATATTTACAGTAAAAGTCCTGTCTGACAGGTGGGACTTAAACCACTGCAACACTGTGCCCCGGATGCCAATGTCATGCTCTAGGCGGGATAAAAGGATCTGATGGCCCACTGTATCACGCCGTTAGGTCTAAAAGGATCAATACAGCTGATTGACCATAGTCGATAGTTAAAAAAATATTGTTAAATATTCTTAAAAGAGCAGTCTCTGTACTGTGGTATTGCTTAAAACCTGATTGAAACGTCTCTAAAATACCATAATGGTCGAGGTAGTCCTGCAGCTGCCTGTAGACAATTTTCTCCATGACTCTAGAAAGGAAAGGGAATTTGGAGATAGGCCTGTAGTTGGAGAGTGCCATGGGATCGAGATTAGGTTTCTTAAGACCAGCTGATTAACAGCACGTTTTAAGGCGGCAGGGACATAACCAGCAGATAAGCAAGTGTTTATAATAAGTAAACTAATGGGCCCAATAGTGGAAAACACATTTTTTAAAAGTGATGGGTGGATACTATCCAGTGGGCAACAGCTCAAACTGGTCAAAAGCAGTTGAGCATGGCTGTGAAGAAGCTGTGCCCACCAGAGAGGAAGGGCAAGATGATCTATGTGAGTATGTGTGAGATCATAGAAGACCAGACCCGCTCTGGCTGAAACGAGAGTCCTCCATAGGGTGTCTGGGATCAGTAAGAGGAGGAGCTTTATCCTCCAGAGGAAGCTTTGAGTAGAGTAGCTGCTCCTGCTTGTTAGGAGCGCCTTTTTAGTACATGACTTGTAACTTTGGTGCACTTTTTGAACGAGCAACAAATTTTAGAACTCACAGGATGTGATCTGGGTCTGTGACTAATACAAAACAATTAAATATTTTATGTTTAAAAACATATTTCAGTTACAGCAGATAATCAGTTTGCCTCTGGGATTAATAAAGTATTTTTGAATTTGAATAAGACTCACTTGTCATTCCGCTGATCAGTGTAGTCTGAGATGGTAGGATTATGGGTTATTTAAATGAGCAACACTGGTTGTTCTTTGTCTCAGCTCACATTTGCCCTTTTGATCTGCAAAGATGAAGCACTCATAGAGCTAATTAGCCTCATTAGTGCTCCTCTGTCTTTACACAGATCTGTTATGAAGAGATGGAGCAGAAATGCACTTAAGGCTGCAGCACAGGGCAGGCTTATACACGCACATTGTGTTCTTGTGTCAGAGTAAATGATTCCTGAAAGTGTGTGTGTGTGTGTGTGTGTGTGTGTGTGTGTGTGTGTGTGTGTGTGTGTGTGTGTGTGTGTGTGTGTGTGTGTGTGTGTGTGTGTGTGTGTGTGTGTGTGTGTACTTGTTCAACTATCCTACTTAACACCAAAACAGGCATATTCACTAATCTTCTGAAAACCGATGGGCCTTATTAGAACCAAAACCCAGTCCTAATATGGTCGAGCCCCTGTTTTAGACTTAGGGGTGAGGTGTAGAGGTAAGATGTGAATTGACTTTTTGTTACGGTTAGGTTTAGGAATGCACTGGTTATGGGTTTGGGTTAGGCATAAATGCAGTTAGTAAATGGATGGAAGTCGATGCAAAGTCCTAATATGGATAGAAAAACGTGTGTGTGTGTGTGTGTGTGTGTGTGTGCATTTTGACGGAGAGGTAGAGGCTGTGCTCCAGCAATCAGGATTTTGTTGCCATAGCAACATGGATGGGGGACTTTTTAGGATCACATGCCCTCATGGGAGAGCAAGTGATCTGTCACTGTTGGAGAGAGAAGGACAGAAAGAGGTCAAACTGGTGGGGATGGAGACAGATGAATACACACTTTTATGGACAGGTGAATTTTATATAGGCAGAAAAAAAGTCTTGCACACAAATCCACATATTGTCTTTTGTACTTTATTTTAATTTCCATATTGTTTTGTCTCAATGGTGTTCCCTTTTTTCTGCACACACACACCCCCCCCCACCCCCACCCCCCAGCTGCTTCTTTTCTCTCTTTTGAAAATAATTTTTGACTCTCGTCTCTCTCTGCCTTTCTACTCAGTTGGTGCCGCCCATAGAACCATAAATTCAATAAAGTCAAAGCAACACTAAAGAGGGCAACAGTAGCTCAGGAGGTAGAGTGGGTTGTCCAGTTATCGGAAGGTTGTAGCTTCGATCCCGTCTCCCACCAGAGAATGCTGCTGTTGTGTCCTTGGGCAAGACCCTTAACACACCTTACCTGCTGGTGGTGGTCAGAGGGTCCGGTGACGCCAGAGTTCGGCAGACCTCGCCTTTGTCAGCTTGCTCTAGGGCAGCTGTAGCTACATAGTAGCTCATCCCCAGCAGAGTGTGTGTGTGTGTGTGTGTGTGTGTGTGTGTGTGTGTGTGTGTGTGTGTGTGTGTGACTGGCTGAATGACTGATTGTGTTGTGAAGCGCCTTGGGGGGTTGTAGAACCCTAAGAAGGTGCTATAAAAATACAGTCAATTACCAATTACCAGTGTCCTGCTTCTCCCTCCTACTGGTTGAAAGCAGAATTACAACTGTCATAAGCAATGCTGCGGTGGCAGCTGTAGCTAGCACTAACAGCAGGCTGACGCTAACAAGAGCCAGCTGATGCTAAAATAAGCCACTAAGTGAACAGATCCTCACTGTTGGACAGAAAATTTTATTACTCACAAGTCCAGTAGTAACAAAGCCAGGTCACCATCAGTCCATGATTTTGTAGCCTCCTTTAGCTCCCTCAAACTAGCGTAGGCTGTGTCAGTGTTCACACTTTTAGCTCTTTGCTTCACCTCTAAAGACATTACTCTCTTACGTATACTTCCAGGCTCTGCCAGGATGCCAACAAAAAAAAATTCTAAAAATTCTTCTTCTCTTTCTTGTACTTTTTACTGACGGTTGGTGGTTTTTACTGATGGTCGGTGAACTGAAAATGCTAACTGATTGCCTTTATTTGAGCTATTGGCTGAATAAACAGCTAAAAGCAGTCAAGCAGGTGGAGACCTCCCACTAGTGCACCTACTCATCCCACAAGGTCAGCAGAGAGCTGCAGAATTGTCTTAAATCTGAAGTTGATGAAGTTTCTACCTCAAGAATTCCTGAAACCCACTTTGAAAGCAATAGTTTAAAGCATTAAAAACTCTTTAGTGTTGCTTTTACTGCACAACAGAAGGATGTCACATTCCATCATGTTGTGGGGTAAATCTTTTGTGACACACACATCCACTTTTCTAACTGCCTAAACCTACAGAACAGGTTAGATTAATGCAAATAAAATGTTCTTGATCTGCTCCCTCTTCCAGACATCGATGCCCGGCCCTGGGACTTCCAGGCCGAGGAGTGCGCCTTGCGGGAAAACATCGAGAAGTTCAACAGCCGCCGCTACGACAACAGCAGGAACAGCGACTTCACGCCCGTGGACAACTGCCTGCAGAGCATTTTGGGCCAGCGTGTGGAGCTGCCCGAGGACTTCCACTATAGCTATGAGATCTGGCTGGAGCGAGAGGTGTTCTCACAGCCCATCCAGTGGGAGGGGCTTCTGCAGAATCCGTAACGCTCACCAGGAGGAAGAGGGTAGGATTATACTGGAGGATGGTTGTGGAAGGCAAAGGGGATCACGACACGCAGCAACATAATGATGGGTGGATTTGATGCAGCTTACACGTGCCTCTGAATACTTGAACATGCAAAACAGGTGAGAAGAGAAGTAGCAGCATGAAGAACATCTGGTTGTGGTAGCAGGACGCTGTTGTACTGCCCTAAAAACCCTTCAGTTTACACCTTCGGTTCCCTCCTTTAATATGTCGGCGTTTTTCTGATTCCTTCTTGACGTTTTTATCGATTCCTAACAGCGCATGTGGAAATACTTTTATGACAAATGGCTTTTTAAGAAGGCTTATTAATCTTTTTCAATTTTAAAATGAAACCTGATTAGAAATTGTCAGCGTCTAATTGAAATAAAAACTTTTTTAATACATTTTTTGTTATTTAAGTGACCTGACAAATCACAGGGTTAGGGTTTGTCTGAATGTTCATAAAAGTCTGTGCAGAAAGAGTTTAGAAGCTAGAATAGAAATGAGTTGGAGTGGAAAATATTACACGACCTCATAAGAAACTACTTACACAGGAAAGTTCAGGATAATCCGATGGATTCCAGGCTTCTTGGAAACACTTGGCATGAACAATATATCATCATTCATTACATCATTCAGGGTAAAAAGTCTTTTATGACAAAACACTCTAAAAAGAGATTCTATATTGTGCTAATTTACATGTTGGATATTTTGATGTGGTCCATTGTTTAAATGACATTCTACTTTTCTCAGAACATTGTTGCAGATGCACCGATTCAGATCTTGTGGGCCGATATCGGGTTCAGATTTGGTTTTAGGATTTATCTCAAAGAGTTTTCTCAACTTTTTTTCAGGTCACTTCTTCGCAACGATGCCTTGATAGACTAAATAAAATCAGAGTTTTTAAGTATCATATTGGCTAATTAGGCCATGTTTTGGTGCATCTCTAGTTGTACCTTTAGTCCCTCGCAGACTGAAAATTCAGAAGTTAGATCTGGGAATGGAAACACGAATTGAAATTAGCCTGAAGAGGAACTCGTCTTTAACTCATTCACTGCCAGCCGTTTCCTGATCACTAACGGCCTTCGCTGCCAGCGTTTCTCACCGTTTTTACTGTTTTTTTTAAGAGTCACAGAACGTTGCGCGCTTGCATGATCTCGACACCAAAACAACTAAAACAAAGGAGACTCACCTCTTACATCAGGAAGAATCCGTGTGTTTCGAGCGTTAACCGTTCTTTCATAATCTGTTGTTGAATTGTGATTGGCAGACGCTTTTCTGGTTCGCGCCTCACTTTTTTTTACAGGAACGGCCCAAAGCGATCTCCTAACACATGGATGTGTTGCTTCCTGATCATGTGATCTGTGACGTATGTGGATGAAGATCGGCTTCAGGGCTGAGATGTTTGTTCTCTCAGCGCGGGGGCTCGTTCCGATGCTCAAACAGTAAAAAAAAGTGCAAATGGTGACTTTAGTCATCAATGGCAGTGAATGAGTTAAAATCTTAATTTCTAACTCTGATTATGTCTGTGTCTCCTGTTTAGTGGCTAAAATTCCTGTTCAGACTCATTTCAGTGTGTTTCTGCAGAAAATGAAGTTTTCTGTGTGGTTAATTAAATGTTAGCGCGGTAGGTAGTGTGTGTGCAGCTGATTTAATGAGATACAAACCAACAGAAGTGAACATAAAGCGCTTTCACCACTTCTCAGGAACGACACAGCTGTATTATTTTAGAGGACAGGAATCTCAAATTTTCCAAGTTGGAATCAAGAATTTTGATCCCACCCCTCTGGTAGCTAATATTTTCTTCATTTTTTTTCCCCCTTTTGTGCTAACTGGCAAAATAATTCTGATTTCATGGTGGAGTCATAAATTCAAATTTCAGATATTTTACCTGAAAACGACAACCTTTCACCACACGGCACACCCAAAAACTCTGTGGAGCCTTCTGGGGATGATGAATTTCATGGATGATCAGAGCAGCAGGATTTCTGCCTTTGTGTCCGCCCGTGACGAGCTGCTGTCTTCATGGGTGTGACACCAGCACAACACAGAACCACACAGGCTTCACTCACAGCTGTCCTTGTTCTCCATCTGGGACTTCCTACGCAGGGCTCCAGACCCAGATAATAAGCACACAAACAAGCACACACAAAACGCTGATTCGGCTTGTTTAATGTGATTATTGGTTCTGTTTCATCATGATTTTGATGCTCGGCCTTTAGTTCTGACCTTAATATGTTTCCATCAGTGTTTTTTATGTTGATGTTTCCACCTCAGTTGTTTTTGTGTTCCTCCTAAAAAGAAGTCAGTTATTTTATTTTATTTTTTGTTACAAAGGATTTATTATATATATATATATATTTCTTCTCATGAAGGTGATGGTTTACTTTATGGATTCTCAGGTTTATGGAGATAACAAATAGCAACACTTTATAAATCTTCCTTGCCGTCAGCTAGTTCACCTGCAGATGTTTATTCTCATATAGATGAAGCATTAAACTTGTACTCCAAAGTTAGATTGTGTTTGTTTCTGATGCATTTTGAAGTTAAATGTACTTTTTTGTATCTTGTGCCAAATGTGAGTGCCATTTCCTGATTTCAGTTTATTGTTGCAGCCATAATCACTGACAGTTTCACCAAGTTTAAATTATTTTATTTTATACCTGAAAATTGTTCTTTCAAGAGCTAGTCACCCCTACCAGAGTCTTGAGCCTTCGGCGTCCGCCTCTGGTGAGCCTTGGGCACACCAGAGGCGGACGCGCCACACCCGAGATTTTGAGAAGTCAAGTGGTCACACAGGACGCACCGTGCCTCTGAGCGCCTCTTGAAAAGTCGTGCGATAGTCACAACATCACGCGGGACTAGAGAACAGAAAGCGGGAAGTCACTCTATTGTTTATATGTGATCCGACTTTCCATCGTGTTTTTTTGAGACTAATTCATTTAAAATGGGTAAGTACGCTATTTATTTGAATATTTCAAGATTAATGGTACTTTAAAGTTATCAAAACTGTGGCAGGGTTTGTGCCGTAAAGCCGTTCCACATTGTAATGTCTGTTGTAAAGTACTCCACAATGTTGTGAACAGCCGCTACGTCACTAGAGATAGAACTGGCAGCTATCTTCAGCGCCTCGGCGCTTCTGGGACGCGGCGCTTCGAGGTCGCGGTGCTCTCTGTGTGCCCACTCTTAACTATAGTGGCTTCTACTTAAAATGACGACATGGGCGCAACGCTGCGTGGTGCGTCCGCCTCTGGTTTGTCCCAGGCTTTACTCCACTCCCTGTTTGAAAAATGCAATAAATGCTGTTGCCTGGCAGACTGAGAGGGTGGAGCGGCTAACCAATACGCATGATATGGTACCAGCTAACGTCATAGTGTACCTCTAGCGGAAGCAGATTTCAATTCAATGCAGTGCAGAGTTTTTACCTGACGACGGCACAACACTGACAGTTTTAGGCAGAAAAGATCAATTTTAACTGAGATGCACTAAAGTGCCAAATGTATTGTCTACACGTGTCTACAGCACGATTGGACAATCATTTATGCTAAATGAATAAACATAAGCATAAACATTATATAATTTAACAGTAAAAAAAAAAAAGTTGATTTGGGGATGACTTGCTCTTTCAGTTAAAAAAAAGTTGTTTTGTTTCTCTGGTACAGTGTTTTACCAGAGATGTTTAGCATTCTGTGGATGTTACTACAGTATATATGTGTTTTTGTTACCAAATCTTCCATATCTGTGTAGTCTGGATAGAGGAATTGCTGATTTTGTTCAGGGTTATGTGCAATTACAGATCTATAGAGGCATTATACAATAGAGAGACTAATTACAACATCTGAGTTCCTTATTAAACTGTGTTGGAAAACTTGCTTGGGGTTTCTCCTTTACGTGTGTGTGTGTGTGTGTGTGTGTGTGTGTGTGTGTGTGTGTGTGTGTGTGTGTGTGTGTGTGTGTGTGTGTGTGTGTGTGTGTGTGTGTGTGTGTGTGTGTGTGTGTGTGTGTGTGTGTGTGTGTGTGTGTGTGTGTGTGTGTGTGTGTGTGTGTGTGTGTAAACTGATTCACACACACTGAAGGTCAAACTGACCACCCACTTATATCACATCATCCACATCCCCAGGCAGATGTTTGTGTGTGTGTGTGTGTGTGTGTGTGTGTGTGTGTGTGTGTGTGCCTGAGGGAGTTAGAAGTAAAACTCACTTGTCCTTCGATTTGTCTGAGTCTAAATGTTTCACGGTTGGGGAGCAATGATAGATTTAAAAATAAACACTCCTGGATTAGGAAGCGCTTTCACAGCTACCAGAGAAATAACTGTTAAGCGATGCTCACACTTGCATGCTCTTGCAGAATTGAAAATCCACTCGTAAACTACATTAGTGCCACTAAAGAAACTAATCTCCTGAATTTCACAGCCATTAAATGTGGCTATTTGCATAGAATCCTATGGAATCATGTGATGTGTGTCAGCGTTCAGCTCAGGCTGCATAAGCCTTGAACTGCTATAACATTTTTTTTTTCCATTTTCAAAAACAAGGACTGGAATTTGAACCGGACCAATATAAGAAGGCCCAGTATAGTTGTGCTTCTTTTCTCCATTAGATGTTGAGCTGCTGCGTTCTGAACAGCTTATTTAGCTAAAGTGAGGAAACTGATTGCTAATTAAATTGAAGACATGAATCAGTGTTTTAAACTGATTGGGTGTGATGTAGGGATTCTCTTTATTAAGAAATCAGGACTGGAGAAATGTAATTGTAACGGATCTGATCTGCTTATCAAATTTTTAATCTATGTAAATTCTGACCTTGATAAAGAAGTCAAAACTATCACCAAGGGAGTCAGACAGATGATAATATGCTGCTTATAGTCAAATTGCTCTGTCATAAACACTGAGGATGTAAAATGGTCCAAATACAATAAATTCTCCATCTATGTTTTCTCCTCTCTGATATAGTTCAGTGAGATCTGAATAGATACAGTTGTAAAAAACAATCACAGATAGATTTGAAGACCATTAAAACCAATGCTCTGTTTTTTTTTACACGGAAACATGTTAAATGAGAATGAGTGGGACCAAAGATGGAGCCTTGAGCAACTCCATGATGAAAAAGGGACACACAGGAAGAATACTAGCTTTTCTGGCAGGTATGACTGGATGTATTTAAGAACTTTACCTTTATTATTAATGCATGAGTGAAGATCTGAAAGTAGTGTGGTTCTGTTAAAGGCTATGGTCAGAGCCTGCAGTACCAGAGATTGATATTTTTCAGAAATCCCATCAAAATTAGGGTGTGGCCAACTGGTCTAAAAAAGCCTTTCCTAAAACATTTGATTAAAAAAAGTTGATTAATTAAAAAGGCATAGAACAGTTGAATCCAGAAAATTCTTTTTAGTAAGAGGTTCTAGAGGAGGTTTAAAGATTGTAATCAGAAACTGTTAGATAAAAAAAAAACTAAAATGTAGATGCATTAATTGCATCTGGACTGATTTGGAAACTGAAAAAGCATGTAGCGTTTTCTAAAAACACACAGAAATTATTAAGTACTTGTACCCGTTCTTGTAAAAGTTTCCCCTGAACTCTGATCTGTCCGGAAGATGTATGTTCCTGTGCTGTGGTACATGTCTTTGAACTCTCCTTCATATCGTGTTCGAGAGGGATGCTGCAGGCTCCCTCTGCCCTGCATCTGGAGAGAAACGGCATGCATCACAAACTGCCTCTAAGAAGTATGACTGTACACGTTTTTAATAAGAAACATACTTTGTCATCACACCACTCTTCGCTATAAACAACACCACTTGCTGAGGTGTGTGTTCCCATCCCAATTCCCACCAGAGCTCCAGATTCAGATCAGCTGCTCTCTCCCTCTGTGGGGAACAAACACATGACATGTAAGTGTGGTTAATTAATGTCATTGTTTCAACACCATTTTTCCAACATGAGTGTTTTACTCTGACTTAGAAACTTTCATGAAACAAAGCTGAAAGAAACCAAAACAGTCACCTTACTGGAAGAAAGGAGCCTTTGCATGGAGTTTACATGTTTTCTCTCTCTGTGTGTGTGTGTGTGTGTGTGTGTGTGTGTGTGTGTGTGTGTGTGTGTGTGTGTGTGTGTGTGTGTGTGTGTGTGCAGGAGGTTATGATTTCCTCTCGCAGATCAAAAACATGCATGTCTGGTTGATTGGTGCATGACTCAAAATTGTCCCTGTGTGTGAGTGAATGTTTGTTGATCTCAGAGTTATTGTGATGGACTGCAGAACTATCCAAGATGTCCCTCACATCTCACCTGATGACTGCAATAGATTAGATGGGCATCAGCACCCTGTGACACTACTGAGGAAGTTAAAGAGCAAGTCATCCCCTACCAGAATATTACCCCGCTCCCACTTCCTGTTTGAAAAATGCAACAAATGCTGTTGCCTCACAGACCGAGATGGCGGAGCCGCTAACAAATACACACACACACACACACACACACACACACACACACACACACACACACACACACACACACACACACACACACACACACACACACACAGGCTCATAACGACATTGTGACATCATATGGTACCAGCTTACGTTCTAGGGTATCTCTTAGCTAATAGCCTTGGCAGATTTAAATTCAATTGCAGTGGAGAGTTTTTACTCCAAATTTTTGACTACACTTGTCAACAGCACGATTAGACACTCGTTTATATACTTAATCAGCAAATAAATAAATAAATAAATAAATAGATAGATAAATAAATAAAACGTTGATTTGGGGGTGACTTGCTCTTTAAGAAATCAAAACCTCCTAGTGGCTGTCTGAAGTATAACTGGCTTTTTAAATAACTGGTTGTTTCATACGTGCTCTTACCAACTGTTCCCATTTGGAAAAATTTAGGAAACCACCAGAAGTCCCTCTTCTGTAAACAAACATATGCAATCTGAGTTAAACCTCTCTGTTGTCACGTCATAAATGTTTACCTTCGGTGTTCTTCTTTCCAGTTTCTGGAAAATATAAAGTGTTCATTCAGCTCAAAGTAAGTAAAAATGGAAGAGCGCGTGTGTTTGGTGTTTCCTGACTGCTAGCATTAGGATTCAATCACACCCCACCAGACATCCGTGACAGCTTTCCCCGGCTGGCAGATGGCGATCGGAGCCGACAGCAGACGCTGTTACCGGACAGCTTCGATGTGAAATTAGGTGACAAGTCAAACAAGCGAACAGTTGTGGTAATGTTCAATTTGATGCTCTGTTTAATGGGTAGTTTTAAAAAGAAAAAGTAAGAAAAGACCAATATTGTTGTTCGCAGCTCTTCACAGATGCAGGGTGCTACAACAGCCGGGGTTGCCACCATAGGCATAACGTTCTTCTTCGATCTTTTTTAACGCTGTACCCATTAACAGCACAAGCTAGATTTATTTATGACAGAAAAAGTCTGAAATTGAATATTTATACGACGGAGCACTTCCACTATGAATAAGGTTGTTTGTTTAAACGTCCATCATCATAAACCTGTGTTGTTTAGGGTTATTTTTTCAAATATTTATTTCACATTAAATGAAGTGTTTGTCGTCTTTAATTAATTCAAACTATCTGTAGTTGTTGTATGGAAACTATTTTTAACCGGAAAAGAAACTCTGAACCCTAAGCTGTGGCCAATGAGAGAGACTATTCCTGCCGGTGGGTGTTAAACAGCAGCCGAGTCCAGGTTTGTACGTTTTAAACTCAAAATTTTAAAGTATTTTTGGACTTAATTGTCATTTATTTGTCAGTAGTTTAATACAATAAACCAGTTAAACTGCTCAGCATAACGTGAGAGGAAGCTTTTTAGTTTGTTTGTGCTAACCGAAGTGAACTAGCTGCTAGCATGTTAGCATTACCCCCTATATGTATGTAGAGACTGACTTCCGGTCGCAACAAACTCCTTCGTGACGTGTTTTGTTTTTCTTGTCTTTCCGCTTTGTTAGTGATGCAGAAACAGTTAAAGCGCTTGTAGCCCTGCTGGGTTGTCACCATGCAGTTTGGTTGCACAATTGTTGCCACTAGCGGTTTGTGTGTGTGTGTGTGTGTGTGTGTGTGTGTGTGTGTGTGTGTGTGTGTGTGTGTGTGTGTGTGTGTGTGTGTGTGTGTGTCTCAGCCACCATCTCATTGCTTATTAAACCCCCCCATCTCCCTCAGCTATATACGATGGGCTGTGTTGTACAGTAGCTGCCTGCTCTGCCACCAGCAGCAGCAGCTCTCTGCTGTCTCTTGGATTAAAACCTAAAATGAAGAGTCAGCCTTTGCTTTTTGTGTCCACAGATGGTTCGCTGGTTGCTGGTAGAGACGCTGATTGAAGGTAGAGGAGTTATTTATCTATTATTATTGCTACTGCAAAGCTAGATGGTGTTTAAGAGAGTGTGTTTCTGCAGAAAGATGAACGCAAGGAGGAGAGGTGGGAAGCCAAACAGAGGAGGAGGGAAATTTAACAAACCAAGAGGAGGAGGAGGACGAGGGAGTCGTAAAGGAGGAGCAGGTCAATTGGATTATGACGATGATATCACCCTTGATCTCGGACCTTCTCGTTCCAACAGGTACAAAGGAATCAGATGTTAGTGACAAGTTTTTCTTTTTGCAGCTTGTTTTTATGTTAACTTCACTGTTTACTTTTCAGATCTGGTAAGGGGCAATGGAGAGATGGGGGACGAGGAAGAGGACACAATGACAGAGGCAGGAATGATAGAAGGCATTCTGAAAGTGGCAGAAGGTCTCTCCCGCGGTCCCTGGAGAGTCACAGTCGTCCCCTAAAGCCAGCTGAGCACGTCAGATCAGCGGTGAGCAATGTGCCCCTGCAGAGGATCTTCATGACCAGCGAGAATCAGGAACAGCTCAAGGAGTTGCTGCGGGAACTGCAGACGCAGGATTTTGATGAGCCCTTAGAGTGAGTGGGTCCTTAACTTTTATTTTAAAAAGACATAAAATGGAAATACATTTATACCTGTTTGGTTCAGGGAATCTGGCTCAGATTATTCGGGAGTGGAGGAAGAGGAGGAGGAGTTTGATGAATTGGATCCCCGTGAGGAAGGCCAGTATTGGACAACTAATGACGAGCCTGTAGAACGAGCAGAAAGCCCTTGTAACAGGGAGTCCGATGATGAGCGCCCCACACCTGAACCTGTTATCTCTTTATTTGCAGTTGGAAAACTCTGCAGGTGATCATATTATCAAAACTGGACTTTAATTCTTTTTCAGAGGCTATTTAGTGTATTTTTTATGTCACTAAACATCTGTTTGTTTACGTTTCCCTTTGTAAAGATATGGATTTGACAGGGAGCGAAGCAGACTGGCTTTAGAGTCTGGTGGAGGAGAATTCGGAGCGACCTTGGAGCAGCTCCTTCACCAGGTTTATGTTGAGCGCTTTGGGCAGAAAGCAGTCTACCCCAGTGATCTCCAGGGTTTGCCGATGGATGAGTGTTTAAACCAGCGGGAGGAGGAAGCTCTGGCCCTTGCTGCTATTTATGGGGATCGCTTCAAGGAGCGCATTACCAACGCAGTGTGGACGATATCCCTGGACCTTCCATTCCTCTCGGAGAAAGCTGCCAAGAGCAAACTGGAGGCTAGAAACGGGGAGGGAGTTGCAAATGTTCGTGGAATCTGCAAGTTCTATCTGAAAGATCAGGGCTGCCGCTTTGGAGACAGGTGCAGGTTCAGACATGAACTTCCAAGTAAAGAGAGGTCTGGGGCTGGCTCCTCAGAGCTAAAGGGCCCAAGTCATCCTGGCTTCAGCAGCTATTCGCCTCCTGAGTATGAACTAGAAGTTCGCTTCCCCAAAGGAAACCGTTACCCACATCAGGCACCGATCGTGGCCTTCAGCACCAACGATGAGTCCGTTGAGGCTGCAGGGAGGCTCTGCGTCACTGAGAGGTTATTTGGAGAGGCGCTGGCTGCAGCTAAAAGCAGTGAACCTGTCGTTTACACTCTGATCACCTTTTGTGAGGATGAAGCTGACATGAAGGAGCTTTTGTCTGTCAGTCATCACAAATACAGCTCTGCACCACCTATAGTGGGACCTCCTCCGCCCACTCCTGCTAAGAGTAAATTTGTGAGGGGTGGTGTGTCTGAGGAAAGCAGAAGTAACTACACAAGCAGCAGGAGGGCTGCTCCACCCACCAACCAAAGAGCCGTAGACGGTGAGTGTTCAACGCGTCGATGTTTCTGACGCTTTGTTTGTCTTCCATTCCTAATCTGTGTTTCTGGTTTTGTTCTCAAAGTAAAAGAGATGGAAGAGACAGAGGAGCCGGACGAACAGGAAGAGGAAATGGAAGCGGTCCCAGTCGAGAGTGAGAGCTACGTCAATCTGAGGAAGAAGATGTCGAATAGGCACAACCAGAAGATGGACAACTTTCTGCAGGAAAACAAGAAGCTATGTCTAGAATTCAAGAGAAAACAGGTAAAATGATCAAAAACGGGAAGGAACACTTTTTCTCCTAGCCCACATCCTAATCTAACTTTCATCCAGTCATCCAGACTCTTCATGTCCATGCTGGAGCAGAGGCAGAACCTCCCAGCTTGGCAAGAAAAAGAGAACATTTTGGATGTGCTGGAGAGGTGTCAGGTGCTGGTGGTCAGTGGGATGACTGGGTATGTGATCCAAATCAGGACGTGCTGCCGGGAGTCATAACACGCCTTAAACACGTCTTATTCTTTGAACTCTGCAGCTGTGGCAAGACGACTCAGATCCCTCAGTTCATTCTGGATGCCTCGTTGAGTGGTTCGAAGGAGCAGGTGGCCAACATCCTCTGCACACAGCCTAGACGTATCTCCGCCATCTCCGTGGCTCAGAGAGTTGCACAGGAGCGGGCGGAGTGTCTGGGACACTCGGTGGGCTACCAGATTCGCCTCGAGACCGTCAGGGTACGGACGACTTTCACAACGTTTAGTCATGCCTGGCACGGTCTGATCCAGAACTTCTATTTTGTTTTCTCCTCACTCTTCATTTTAAAAATCTTTTCATAAGTCTTCGGCCACCAGGCTGCTGTACTGCACCACCGGGGTGCTGCTGAGACGTCTGGAGGGTGAGTCCGACCTCAGGGGCGTCACACACGTCATTGTGGATGAGGTTCACGAACGGACAGAGGAGAGGTAGGGGCCGTGCATGTGTTATTTTATCTTGCTGTCACATGGGTAACGTGTTTGAAGCAAGATAAATAGCACATGTTTGTGTTTCCTGTAGAATATAAATCTACAGCTAGTTTAGAAGGAGGAGGCGTGCTCAGATCCCTCCAGAGCTTCCTGTAAACTTGTAGAATTGTCTTTAAGGATTCATTATTAGTTTTAAAAGTTCTTTTTTTGGCATTTCCTTTCATATTTTGGTGCTATAATTTCCAGGTAGAAAGGTGACCCATTAGTGAAATTATAGGTTTTTTTTGGGGGGGCTGTTTATTTTTAGTCAGCAAACCTATACTATGTCACAGATGTGATTCACTCTGTGGTTCTTTAAACAGTTCGGCTCAGCTAACCCCAACAGTGATTATCAGTGATGCTGGTTATCAACGCCATCGTTGATTCTGGCTTTCCACATTTGGGTCTCTGCACCAGAGTTTCCCAGTGTGGCTTTGTACATAAAAATATCTTACAGATGGTCTCATCCGGCAGCAAAAGGCCATAAAACCAGATCCTACAGCACAGGGGGGTGCTTAACAGTGAGTCTGATATGAAACACGACTGATAAACAGAATCTAATTGATGGCAGAGGAAGGAGCGTGCATACAATAAAGTTACAAAGTCAAGAACATGGCTTCACAATATTAAAAAAAAACATGCAGCTGAGGTGATGTCATTAAATGTGATGATGTCATTTGAGATCAATTTTCTTCCCCATTCTCTGAGAATCTGTGAGTTAATTGTTAAGCTCAGTTTAGTGTTTTTCCCCCCAAAATAAAAGTTTTTAAACGTTGAAACTCTTGAGTTTTTCCACAGCAAATGTTTTCTCAAAAGCAAGTCACCCAGCTAAATTCCTAATTATTATTAAGATGTTTTTTGAAAATATTTATTTAGTGTCATTTAGTCCTGTTTTATTCTGTGAAGCCCTTTAAAAGCATTCCAGTTGAAAACAAGTGAACAGCTACAGATGTATCTTTGTTCCCGTTATCATTCCTCTCAGAGTGACGTGTGGCACAGGAGTTACTGTAAGTGCTCGCCCCGTAATCGGAAGGTTGCAGGTTCGAGCCCTGCTCAGTCTGTCGCTGTCGTTGTGTCCTTGGGCAAGACACTTAACCCACGTCTTCTGCTGGTGGTGGTCGGAGGGAACGGTGGCGCCAGTGCTCGGCAGCCTCGCCTCTGTCAGTGCGCCCCAGGGCAGCTGTGGCTACATTGTAGCTCATCCCCACCAGTGTGTGAATGTGTGTGTGAATGGGTGAATGACTGATTGTGTTGTAAAGCGCCTTGAGGGGTTCCAGAACTCTAGAAGGTGCTATATCAAATACAGGCCATTTACCATTTTTCAAGCCATTTTTGTTGAAATTGTCCATTTCAGTGATTTCCTGCTGCTGGTGCTTAAGGACCTGATTGCACAGAGACCAGACCTGAAGATAATCCTCATGAGTGCCACTCTCGATGCTGCCCTCTTCTCAGATTATTTCTTTGACTGTCCAACAATCCACATTCCTGGTAATCCCTGTTACGTTTATAAAAATCACATTTACCTGGAACCTCATTCTTCACATCTTCCTGTTTACCATTTCCAGGACGAGCCTTCCCTGTGGACCAGTTTTTTCTCGAGGACGTGATCGCTAAAACTGGGTAAAGCGGCTTTTAATTAAACCCGACCCGTGACTGCAGTCTTAATAAACGATCACTAATCTGTGTGCAGCTACGTCATCGAGCATGGCAGCCCGTACATGCGCTCGGGGAAACAAAGCCTGTCTTCAACAAGCAAAGGGGATCCCAGGGACGTCGTGGATGACTTGGGAGATGATGTTTGGAACTTCATGTCTTTTTGTAAGAAGGATTTTGTTAAAGACTCGATTCCTGACCAGCAGTTGGGTCTGCAGGAGCTCATCATCAGATACAAAGGTGAGTTTAGGAGCATCGTTTGGTGTTGAAACAAATAGAAAGGCTCCGATTATCCTTTACCTCGGTTTCCTCGTGTATTAATCCTTCGTCAAAGTGTGGAATAAGTGTGAGAAATGATTAAGCTGTAGCTAATAAAGGGTTCCTGCTCCTCAGCCTGATTGTTTCATCTAAGCATCTGTCTGATTGAGCCTGCAAGTGACTCTCTTTAATCAGCGGTGCAGCTGTTCACTAAAACCAGCGGGAAAATGCAGCTTCGTGATTGGCTATGGCTGCATCCAGCTGTCTCCATAGTTGTTCCCTGGGGCGTCATTTATCAGACGTACTTACGTACTTAAGTATTTCATGCATAGGAACAATTCTACGCATTTTGTGGTATTTATCCTTTTGAACTTGTGCGTAGAAACGTTCCTAAATGTAAGAACATATCTGACTGAGCGTACGCACAGCATCTAGTAGCAGAACTGGGAAGAACAATACCAAATGTCTCAGTCATCCAAATGTGTTTCTCATCCACTAATTTTATTAATCCAGTGTGTAGTTTTGCCAGTGGAAAAACTGCTTTTTCACACAAATGGTGCTAAAATCAGTAAAAGACACCTGTGACCGATGGGAATCTGACATTATATCATGGCTGATCTACCAGAGCGTGCTCTCTGGAGGGAACGCGTTCTCCGTGAGCGCACTGATCTCAAAGGAAATCCTTCTGCTATGCTCTGATGTGGGACCCTTTGTGGCGCGACAGACAAACCTCACGAATCCGATTCCAGTTCAAATTTTATTTTACGACTGTGAGAACCCCCCAGAACCTCCTCTCCCCTATCATACATGCCGTGTTGCCAAGGTAACCAGACTGAGTGACAGCTCGGAGGCAACAGCTCAGCTCAGACAACATTTCCAAATAAAACGAACTTCAAACAGAATGACTCCTTAAATGTAAACGACAACCTCTCCTTTGTTCCCACCACGTTTTTAACCTCTGTAACTTGTTTGGTTCTGTTGCACTTCGGCAGCCAGCGTTTCAAGCTCGTTGTCAATGAAGTTTTTCTTACTTTTTATAGAAGAAGAAAAAAACAGGGAATCCACTCACGTGCTTATGATGTAGCGTGACCAAATATGGTTAATTGAGGGCTTTTCTCTATGCAAATGGCTGTCAACAAGCACGAGCGCCTGAGTAGGCACAAGTGGGATTTATCAACAGCTGATTGAGGAGGAACGTGTGTACGAGAGGCCACCGCATGTCTCATAAACCAGACTTCGGGCTGTTTGTACGAACATTCTAAATTCCATTCGTAGGGTAGAACATGAGCACGTTTCCACCAATGTTTGATAAATGATGCCCCTGGTCTCATTTCTGTGTCTCATGCAGACACGGATGCTGCTGAGGCTGCAGGAAGCTGCTCCCTAACTTCTGCCGTGTGTTTTTAGTTTAAGATGTTTTGTAAAACAACAAGGGAAATCACATCCTGCTCTCGTCCTCGTTCATCCTCGCCATCATTCATTTATGTTTACAGCAGGCCAAAAGCAGCCTTTAAAACTGGTGTTGGATATCAAGCAGCATGGGGCAGGCACCAATGAAGTTGTTTTTATTTCTTCCGATAGACACTAAGAAGTCTGTGCTTAAAACTATTTCTGCTATGGACCTGGACAAGATCAACATGGACCTGGTGGAGAGCCTGCTAGAGTGGATAGTAGATGGAAAACACAACTATCCACCAGGTAGGAGTCAGCCGAGTTAAAACTCGACTCGTTTCTCTGTGCTCATCTGTTACCATGGCGATCATGCTTGCAGGGGCTGTGTTGGTGTTTATGCCAGGCCTTGCTGAGATCAAGATGCTGTTTGAGCAGCTGCAGTCCAACAGGATGTTCAACAACAGGGGCAGATCCAGGTGTGTGTGTGTGTGTGTGTGTGTGTGTGTGTCTTCAGAGACAAGCTACATGCTGACTGTATTTGTCTCACACACCAGGTGTGTGGTGTACCCACTCCACTCATCCCTCTCCAACGAGGAGCAGCAGGCGGTTTTCAGCCGCCCCCCTGAGGGCATCACAAAAATCATCATCTCCACCAACATCGCTGAGACGTCTGTAACCATCGACGACGTGGTGTATGTCATCGACTCTGGCAAGATGAAGGAAAAGCGGTAATCTAGACTTTCAAAAGAAGAACCACCTGTTTATATTCTGATCAGAGCTGAGCAGTTCTGTGTGTTTTTTCCAGGTATGATGCATCCAAAAGCATGGAGAGCCTGGAGGACTCGTGGGTTTCCCGGGCCAACACGCTGCAGAGGAAGGGTCGGGCGGGTCGCGTGGCCTCAGGGGTCTGCTTCCACCTCTTTACCAGCCACTGCTTCCATCACCAGCTGTCCTCGCAGCAGCTGCCTGAGATCCAGAGAGTGCCTCTGGAGCAGCTATGCCTGCGGTAGAGCCATCTGTTTGCACCAAGTAGCTTGTTTTTGTCTCTGTTAATCCAAATAATGGAGTTCTTATGTTGCTTTGACAGAATTAAGATCCTAGATGTGTTTGCGGAGCAGCCGCTGGAGTCGGTTTTCTCTCGGCTCATCGAGCCACCGGCTGAAGGAAGCCTGGAGGCCGCCAAGCAGCGCCTGCAGGACCTGGGGGCTCTGACTGCAGACGAGAAGCTGACCCCGCTGGGTTACCACCTGGCCTGCCTGCCTGTCGACGTGCGCATTGGAAAACTCATGCTGTTCGGAGCCATCTTCCGCTGCCTCGACCCGGCGCTCACCATCGCTGCCAGTTTGGCCTTTAAATCACCATTTGTAAGAAACGCCTTTATCTCTGAAAAACACTTCATTTATTCTTTTTTATTCATTGTGACTGAAAACAAACTCTTTGATTATTTATGTAACAAAGTTCTGGTTTACTTCCAGGTGTCTCCGTGGGACAAGAGGGAGGAAGCCAGTGAGAAGAAACTGGCCTTTGCAGTGGCCAACAGTGACCATCTGGCATTGCTGCAGGCGTACAAGGTACTCACCGTGCTTATTCTGGTTTTATCAAACCTACGGTGTAATCACGCCGTCTGTGTGTGCGCCAGGGCTGGTGCTGTGCTGCCAAGAGCAGTAACCAGGCGGGCTTCGCCTTCTGTAGGGAGAACTTCTTGTCATGGCGCAGCTTACAGGTCAGGCAGCAAATCTGAGTGCAGGTATTGATCCTGGCTGTAGAAATGACCTAAACCATGGGACGTGTGCAGGAGATCGCCAGCCTGAAGCGTCAGTTTACGGAGCTGCTGTCCGACATCGGCTTCGTTAGAGAAGGACTGAGGGCCAGGGTTATTGAGCGGATGTCCTCCAAGGGCACGGATGGCGTTTTGGAGGCCACTGGGCCTGAGGTGAAACAAGTGCACACACTAAATCAAACATTTTACCCTGATCGTCACTGTAAAAAAAAAAAAAAAAAAGATTCTAAAATGGTACATTTTTTTCCATCCAGGCCAATTTAAACTCTGGCAACATCCGGCTGATGTCGGCCATGCTATGTGCAGCTCTCTATCCCAACGTGGTGCAGGTGTGTGTTTGTCGTTTTCAGTATGTGAGCGTGAAGCTTTCATGAACCTGAACAGGTGTTCGGTGTTGGATCCAGGTACGAGCTCCGCAGGAGAATTACAAAATGACCAGCAAAGGGGCGGTGAAGATGCAACCAAAGGCCAACGAGCTTCGCTTCGTGACCAAGAACGACGGCTGCGTGCACGTGCACCCGTCGTCCGTCAACTACACGGTGCGATGAAACGAAACGGAGCGGCTGTTTTTACAAATGTGTGTATCCTGAGGTTTCTCCTGTTTGCATGTCAGGTTCGCCACTACGACAGCCCCTACCTGGTTTACCATGAGAAGGTGAAAACCAGCCGCGTTTTCATCAGAGACTGCAGCATGGTGTCCGTCTACCCGCTGGTGCTGTTGGGAGGAGGTCAGGTCAACGTGGAGCTGCACAAAGGGGAGTTTGTCATCTCACTGGACGATGGGTGGATCAGATTTGCTGCAGCCTCACATCAGGTCAGGAAAACCGCAGCTTAGACCAATTCCTGCATTTTTAAGGTCTTTATGACTTTATGGACTTAAAAAAAAACTAAGTGCAGGTTGTGTTTTTTATTTATTTATTTTTTTTACCTCTCTTTAAACATTAATACTCTCCCTGTCTAGTTTTATTAAAGGAGTCAAATGAGTCGTTTTTGTGGTTCCAGGTGGCTGAGCTGGTGAAAGAGCTGCGCTGGGAGCTGGACCAGCTGCTGGAGGACAAAATCAGGAACCCAAGCATGGACCTATGCAGCTGCCCCCGCGGCTCACGTATCATCCGCATGATTGTCCACCTCATCACCACCCAGTAGCTCGGCTGCTAAACGCCTCCATTTTGGTTCCCTCACAGGCTTAAAACGCACTGAGCTCTAAATAAAAACATCCATCACCGCCACAAAGTGACTCTTCAGATAGATTTCTGTAATGACTGGAAAAAACCCATGAAACTTAGTTGAGGTTTCTTTTAAAATGAACTTAGCATCAATTATATTTCTTTATCTGATATTTTTTAATGGAAATTCTGCCTTGAAAGTTGAACCCACAGCTCTATACTGACTTTTTTATGCACAGATAACAAAGGTCTTGTGTTCAAATGTCCAGCTAATACTGCATGTGCAGTAAACTGTCAGCTCTATTTAAGGTTGTGTTTTACTCACAACCGAGATCGTTTCTCGAGTCCACATTGGATTTTTTAAACTGAAGTGGCTGCATGCTGATGAGTATTCATTTATTTGTGATGCATGACTGGAAGATCCCAGAGTGCTTGCATGGTTTTCAGGTGATTACATTTAATGAATGTATTTTCATGTCAAAACAATGTCCGAACTACACTTTCACAATGTGAATGAAAGGGCTTATAAAAGTAAGCTGCCAAAGAAAGCTAATGTTTTCTTAGTAGTGATGACTTTCACTTCACAATGCACCTCAAATGTGATTAAAGTGATGGTTCTTTTCTGGCTTTGATTTTCTGGTCCTTTTTTTTATTTTTATTTTTTTTTATAGTGATGAACAGAAAATCTCCAGAATCGGGGGTGAATTCGGAGTTTGTATTTTTTTTATGTGCATTGTACAACTTGCCCTGTTTTGTTGGGTTTGTGTTCCTGATTATTAAGGCCAAACAGGCAGGGCCCTTACTGTTATATCTGTTGCTCTGCACCACAAGTGTCAAACTCCGGTCCTTGAGGAACGCTATCCCACGTTTTAGTGTTTTCCCTGTTGCAACACACCTGATTTCGATCAGCAGGTGGTTAACGTGCTTCTGGAGCACTTGATAAGCTGTTGAACAGGTGAATCAACTGTGTTGGAACTGGAAAACAAGAAAAAGATGTATAATACCGGCCCTCCAGGACTGGAGTGTGACAACCCTGGTCTACACACTCGTTCCTTCCGCGCCGTCAACCCACCAGGTTTGGTCCTAATTTACTAATCAATGATGGCAGGCTGCGGATGGAAACGGGTCCATTTCTGAGGCCTTACTCTGTGTCTCCCCCTGCTGGTCAATACGTTTGAAACGCGAAAGGATTCCTGCAGTTTTATTGGTAACGGTGTCACCGGTGTTCCGTTCTGAAATGGACAAAAACGACATACATTTTCTAGCTAATCCCTTTAATTCGGAGTTTTGGTTTAGATTCTGAAAGGGAAAAAGGCTGGATGAGTTTAAGTAGAAACACATTTCGACGTAACATCAGTTAGGTGCCCTTTGCGAGATTACGAGCTATTTTTACAGCCTGCTGTCATCTTTCTTGAAATGTATTAAAGTTTTGGCAATGTGTTTGATAACTTTGCCTAATGACATGACGACTTCAAAGAGTTTTTAATAACATTTGCAGCGTTTCCATCAGGCGCCGACACAGCCACCTAGCCTTCCTCACGAGCTCTACCTGTTTCCATGGCAACTGGCATAAACAAAGTGTCAGCTAATAGAATTTGCCAATGAATTTAAACAATGCCAAAACTGCTAGTAAAATTAACTTAATCTGAAAAATCGAAACTGATAGTTTGCTTCTGATCATTGTACGTAGAAACATACATGTATGAATTTATTGTCTCACAGATGCCTAAAATAGCTTCTATCAAGACGGAAACCGCTCATATCAAGACGGAAAGCTGTCACCATGGTAAGGAATTCAAACATGACTCACTGGTTTCAAGTTCAATGACCAAACAAATGGTAATAAAATTTCATTTATTCAAAGCCCAGCAAGAAATCCAAGCGTTCCAAGTCCACCAGGAAACCAAAAACATCAAAGAAGTCATCATCTCCCACTGAATGCAAGGAGGAGGTGGACTTCCTCACTCCTGCAGCCATGGAGAATCTCTACTACACTTGCCATAATGCAGCAGACTGTCTAGAGTTAACTGGTTTTGGGTGGTCGAGCACAAAGGAAAAAAGGAGAAAACAATGAAGTAGATAAATTCTGACAAAGCAGAAATGTTTTGTCACCTGAAGATACATGTGCTGATAGCTCAAACACACATTTGTCAGCAATTTTCATTGCAAGCTGGGAAAATGTGCCAATAAAGCCTGACAAGGTCAGTGCAGCGAAGATCTTGTATTTCATTACCTGCAACTTTTACTGCAAGCTGAAAGTCTGAATTGTTTGCCAGTATGACAAAGACTTTGGTGGTTACAAGTTGGAATGCTGCAAAAAGTATTTTCTCACACGTCAGTACATTTCCAAGAACATGAGAGAATATTATACACTGAGATCATTCCACTTTGTATAATAAAAAATGGAAACACTGTACCACAAAACTGGACTCACACGGACCCCATTATAATTTAAATCCAGTTTTTTTGCACAACTGACCTGTTAAAATACTTTCAAACTAAAGACACAATCACTTTTTCAAGCACTGTTTATATATTCATACGTTTAAATATTCTGTTTTGACCATGTGAACCTTGTTGAAACTGCTCAGCTTGATCTTGTAACATCGTCTCACTTCGCTCACTCAGCCGGTGGCTTCTTCTTGGCCTCCACATCCTTCTTAAAAGCTTCAATTTTCTTGGCTATGTTGGGAACCTAAAAAAACAACATTTAGACTTAAGTTTTTCTCCAGGATAGACATAACAAGCAAATTGCAGGGAACTAAAACTGTGTTTTAAAAAATCCAACATATCTGTAAATGGTTAAAGAGCAAGTCAACCCCTACCAGAGTCTAACTCCACTCCCACTTCATGTTTGAAAAATGCAACGCATGCTGTTGCCTGGCAGACCGAGAGGGCGGAGCTGCTAACAAATACACACACACACAGGCTCAGGACAGCATTGTGACATCATAATGTACCAGATGACATCATAGCATACCTCTTAGCCAATAGCGGTGGAAGATTTAAATTAGAATACAGTGCAGAGTTTTTACCTGACAACGGCACAACTGCCAGTTTTAGGCAGAATATTTAAATTTTAACTAAGATGCACTGAAGTGCCAAATTATTGACGACACGTGTCTGCAGCACGATTAGAAACTCGTTTATTTAGTTTATCAGCAAAAAAAAGTTTATTTGGGGGTGACTTGCTCTTTAAGCACTTTGAGAACTCAAAAGTGGAATAAAATCACTGGAAGTTATGAGATCTGTATAAATGTCATTGCAGAAAATTAAGTATTAATACATTTTTTTAAAGTTAAATTTGTAAAACTATCGATTTGGAGCACCACAAGAACATTTTTTACAATACTTACTTCATAATTTTGAGCGAGGTACATCCCCACAATATTCCCCAACGTGAAGCCAGCCTGAATAGAGCATATTATTAAAAACAGGATTTCAATTAACCAAGTGTCATTTTACACTGTTCTTTATTTTAAGATTTAAGATTATTTGTCATTGCACAGGTGTCCAACAAAATTCCCTTTGCGCTCACAAAAGACAGCTCGCATAATTTCCGGAACTGTGCTGCTCTGGGTGGATGCATGTTGGAGTAGCTCTGTTGACGATATGTAAGTTTAGCCTTTTCTTGGGCATTTTTTCTTCTAGTTTCTCTTGAAAAACGGTATTTTTGGGACACTTTACTTTTCTGTTTCTGGTGCTGTGAAGCTTGGAGGATTTTTACAGCTATTTTTTTTAGCTTTTTTCACTTTTTGAGCACTTGTTATGATGTGTAACCATGGCAACAAGCTGGTTTACAATCGGAAGCAGTTGATTAACATTGGAAAGGCTGAAATAATACCTCAACTGAAGCCACAAATCCCAAATGAGCTAAAACGCAAGAAGCGAGGGTGCAGAGCGGGAGCAAAACGGAGACAGAGAAAGAGGAAATTCAAACCATCTCTTCCATCGATCATAAAGGGCAATGTGAGATCACTGGCCAACAAGATGGAGGAACTCCAAGCCCTTTCAAGGACTCAGCCAGAGTTTCAGCAGTTTTGGAAACACTGGAGGAGATGATGCAGAGAAGGATTCTCCAGATAATCAAGAAAATTATGGACAACCCTGAGCATTCTCTTCACAAGACTGTCCGACAACGGAAGTGTGTCTTCAGTCAGAGGCTTCTTCAGTTTTGCTGCAACACTGACCGCTACTGGAGATCCTTCCTGCCAACAGCCATTGTAATATACAATAACTCTTTGATGACGTTAGGGCTGCTCAATTAATCGAATTTTAATCACGATTACGATCTGAGTTTTGAACGATTATAAAAAACAAAACAAGCCGATTATTTGCTCCTCCCACTTGCGCTGCCCTGAGTTGCAAATGAAGCGCTCCTCCCACAGTGTTGCCAACTTGGTGACTTTGACGCTATTTCTAACAGCTTTTCAGACCCCCTTCTTGACTTTTTAAATCTTAAAAGTACCTGGCGAACACCTCAGAAACATCTCTGGTAAGTTAACCCTTAGCTACTTTCTGGATAACTGTCGTCGACATTTCCTGCAGGTTAGCTAAACACTCCGCCTGCGCTCCGGACCGTTCTTCAGGACATTAGGAAAGGGAATGATGCAGTGATGTGTCGGTCGCTAAAGAAACGGCTCTCAGAGCCGGTTCCCTGTTGGAGTAACCAGAGTGAGTGACACACACACCACACCTGCGGACTCCTGAGCAGCTAAAAACGGCTAAATGTGTGCGTGCGGCGCGCTAAACACACGTACAGCTTGCCCCGATTGCTGAGACCGGGTTGGGGGGTGGGGGGTGCAGCTGTGGTTGGGACAATTACATTAACTTGTAAATAAATAGTTTATAAATAAGGTAGAAATAAGTTCCTCACGCTGATAACTGATAATAACTAATCTCTCTGAGGACACGGTGCTAGTGCACTCTCCTACAGCACATTGACATGACAATAAATGTTATGCAACATTTTGTGAACATCAATTTATTTGCGTTTATTTGTTATAAATGCCACTGTATAATTCTCGCTGTCAGTATTTGCAAGATATTGGTATTTGGGTCTGTACTGGTTAGACTTTCATGAGTTAAACCAAGGTCTACAGCCCTTGGGTCATAAACTATGAGCTGTAAGTATATTGGTCTTTTTATACTGGGAATCAGGAGTTATTTTAGTGATCATCTTGTTTCTTATTTTTGTCCTGATTGTGCCCTGAGCAATTTTATGACTGAATAAAAACAAAATCAACATAAATAGAAAAATCGTCCTAAATAATCGTGATCTCAATTTCAGTCACCATAATCGTGATTATTATTTTTGCCATAATCGAGCAGCCCTAGATGACGTGATTATTATTATTCTGAGCTACAGCAATCAATTTCCCTCTGGGATTAATAAAGTATTTTTGAATTGTTGCCATGGTTACGCATCATAACAAATGCTCAAAAAGTGAAAAAAGCTAAAAAATAGCTGTAAAAATCCTCCAAGCTTCACAACACCTGAAACAGAAAAGTAAAGTGTCCAAAAAATACAGTTTTTCTTGAGAAACTAGAAGAAAAAATGCCCAAGAAAAGGCAAAACTTACATATAGTCAACAGCTACTCCAACATGCAGCCACCCAGAGCAGCGCAGTTCTGGAAAAAGTCGTCGTTGTTGTGCTTTCTTTATCAGATATTTGGTGTTGTGTGTCCATGTGAGGTGCTCTGATATGTCTGTGCCCAGGAACTTGAACTGTGACACCCTCTCCACCTGCTCCCCATTTATTGACTGGTGCTCCACCTTTTTTCTTCTTGGGTCAATGCTGCAATGGTGATTTCTTTGGTTTTGTTGGTGTTCAGGGTCAGGTTGTTAGCTGTACACCAGTCCACCAGCCTTCCACATGTACCAGAACAGTGTGGAGGGTGGTAGAGATGGCCTCATCTTTTGATCTGTTGGTTCTGTAGGCATATTGGTAGGGGGTCTGCTGTAGGGGGAGAGCAGCCTTGATGTGTTGCAGCACTAGTCTCTCCATGCACTTCAAAATGAGAGTCGTTAAGGCTACAGGCCTGTAGTCGTTGTGGCTTATTATAGCCAAGTCATAATTATGAGATAATTATTTTTTCTACGAGTGGCGGGAATAGGCTTCCATACATCTTAACCCAGCAACATCGTACATAAGTAGTCCTTCGAGTTTTTGCTCAAGCAGGAAAAACATAGCGCGCACAATGCTAATACCCGTAGCATCTTAGATAAATGTCGAAGTTAAACATGAATAAAAACAACTTACCAAAAACTGCAACATGGTGAATTAAAGAAAACCACAAAATGCTATTTTCACGCAAAAAAATGTAAAGAAAGGCTTAAACTAATTGTAGTTTCAAAATTAAAACAGTTGGCTAACACAGCGTCATCAGCACTGCACGCATGCGCGAGAAACTCTGACTGTGGCGCTCGCGATATTTTAAGATCATGTAGTCCTTTCTTTAACTTTTGTCCTCTAATGTCGATTGTCGCTCCTTTGTAATAAACTACAACTCCCATCTAATCTTCAACTCACAACTAACGAGCGCTAGAGCAATGGTGGTTCCGGTGGGACATTGAATGACTTTGGCTGCATCAGGAAAAAGACCAATTTTAACTCATTTATTATAAACGCAGCGACTATGGAGGCCCTTATCCCCGTAATTAATAAGCTCCAGGATGTCTTTAACACCGTGGGGGCGGATATCATCCAGTTGCCGCAGATTGCAGTGGTGGGAACTCAGGTAAAATGCTCTGGTTGTGTCTGCTCCATGCTAGTATCTGCATAACCTTGTTTAAATAGGCAATAATGTAGAACAAACACTAATTAGAACAATTATTTATTAATGTCATATTATTTTCTATTATGTATTTGGAGTTGGGGTTGTCATAGGTTTTGGGAGCTCTGTTAAAACGCGTCATTTTGACACTTAACGCATGTTAGTTACAAAACAGCTTCAACACTTAAATCGATCGAATCACCTTCATTTGTGAACATTATACTGTAAACACACCAGCTCCTGGTAGCTGAAATCAGGTCAGAACTCGAAAGAAAATGTAATATTATGGTTATCTTTTGGGTATCTGTGTCACATCCACTCCACCAAGTTCTGATCTGTTTGTGTCTCCAGAGCAGTGGAAAGAGTTCTGTTCTTGAGAGCCTTGTGGGCCGGGATCTGCTGCCCCGTGGGACTGGGGTTGTAACCAGACGACCTCTCATCCTCCAGTTGGTCCACGTAGATCCTGGAGATGCCAGGAAAAATGAAGATGGAGGTAGGTGCAACTCTCAAGGCTTTCTCATCAAGCGCCCACTGATTATCCATCCATCCACCCGCTTTTTCCTCAGAAGGGTCGCAGGGCGCTGGTGGTGAGCAGTCATTGGGTGAGAGGCAGGGGACACACAGAGACGAAAAACCATCTACACACACTAACACCTATGCACAATTCATTCTCCAATCACCATCAGATATGCATGTATTTGGTCTGTAGGGAGGAAGTCATGTAATCTACAATCTCTGCACAGAAAGGCTACAGATGGGATTTGTACCGACAACCTTCTTGCTGCGAGGCATCAGTGGATCCAACTCACCAGCCCTACTGATTTCCTAGAGGCAGCAACTATGAGAGTCAAGGGATGAGCCAGTTACAAATGGCAGCTGAAGTCTTTGTGTTTGAAGTGAATGTAAAACGTGTGTCGCAAATTATTAGTCTAGAAATCTAGACAAACAGTAGCAGAAGCAAAATGATTTGCTCTGCATGTTGTATATGTTCACAGATCTAAGACCGCTTGTCAGGCCACCCAAATATTTCAGCAGCTGTAATAAATGTCATGAGGGAAGTTTAATTTTCCTCTCTTAGTGTCATCTCTGCGTCAACAAGAGGAGTGCATGAGTTTTTAAAGTGCTACTGAGGCAAAAAAGGAAAAGTAAAGCCTCTGAGGCTCAATTCCAACACTCACAATTCTACCCTTGCACTCTGGTGTGAAGTTTTAGACACGACATGTCAGTCACTTAATCACTAGGTTTAATATCATTCAGTGCGGTTTTGCAGACTGCAGAGCCAGCAGTAAAATGTTAAGGTTAAAAATGAAAAAGAGGAGTGTTCCCCTTCTGATTAGGAAAAAAAACCCATTTGGAATGTTTATGGAAAAATCTAATCTTCAATATTAGAACCACATTTTTATAATTTCCTATTTTACCCAAATTAATATTTACCATGCTCTGAATGTTTGAGACCAAGATTTAACGTGAACCGCAATGAATGTAAATTTAGTTTGATAATAGTTGTTTAAAAGTTGTTAATATTAAGATAAAGAAAGAAAAAGTAGCACAAGCAGCTATTCGGCAATTATTTACACACACGTGCACTATGCACGCAAAGCCTTACTGCACGCTTCCTCCAAGTGCCCTTCGCTGAGGACCGTAGGGTGCAGTGTGAGTATTGGGACCAGGCATGAATGTGGATCTGCTTGTCTCACTCATAACTCTGATTAATAAAAACTGACTTTACATGGGAGGGATTGTCTCATCACACCAAATGTTGATGCAAGTCCCTCAGATTGAATTCAATCTGCACCAAATGTCACATAAATAATGTTAGTCTTGATCCGATTATATTTATGATTATAAAACATGATAAATAAATATTTATAATAAATCAAGAACTTGATTGACCACTGATTTAAAGATCTATTTGTTGTTGTTTTTAACCTCCTGCAGGTGAAAACGCACCAAAGAGATGAACAGACCAGGTGTTTATGTATTCAATTAACATGTTAGCATCCTTTAGCCCCGCCCACTCTCCCTCTCTCAAAGCCACGCCTTTTATGTCCGGCAGCTTTAGTCGAGCGTGACTCCTCAGGTTGACCTCCGTAGAGTTGAAGCACTTCCTGGTTCTTCCTGCTGGTCAGAATTCCAACCTTCATCTGTGGCTTCATGGGTTTTTATTCTGCCCACAGGCAGGGACGCTGAGGAGTGGGGCAAGTTTCTACACACCAAAAATAAGGTCCAAATGAGCACACCTCTAACTGATGTTATTTATTATCTTGACTATTTGTTCTAGTTGTAGCCTTTTGCTTTTCACAGATCTACACCGATTTTGATGAAATAAGGCAGGAAATTGAACAAGAAACGGAGCGAGTGTCAGGAAACAACAAGGTGAGAACATTTCTAAATAACTAATTAGTAGTGCATCATTCCTGCAGAAGAAATATATATTAAGCTGTTTATCAGTCTGTAATCTCTGTATATGATCTGATCAGATATATTCCCTGATATGTTCACAGTCTTTATTATTTGTGATAAAACTCCTTGATCATTCATCATCAGAGGAGATAGATTTTTGCCTTTATTCATTTTCGTACCACTTTACATAAAGCTCTCCTTTATAAATAACTGAAATAGTTTATAGATATGTTATTAATGGTAACACTTATAATTCATTAATAAGGATTTACCGTGTAATAAAATGTTGAGAAAGAGACAAACTGACTGGTTTTTCACCAGTTTTCCATTTACAATAATGCTCTTTGTGACAGATTTTTCTAACGCAAAGTACTAGCCTGGCAAGCCAGACTAAATAAATGTATTATTTAAAACTTTGCAAAGCAAGAATTTGGTCTAGTTCACTAGGCTAGCAAAGTACAGCAAAGTACAATATTGTAAGTTAAATAATTAGGTTTACACATTAGTAACTTGGTCTGAAGTGTTTAATTTAGCAACTCTAGAAGAGATAAACGTGTGAACAAATTTGGGTCTCTTTTTGACAAGAATCAGGTCATTTTTCTCTTTCTTGTCAGAAATGATTTATGAAATGTTACAGATTAAAAACATTTCTTATAAGGGGAGCTTTTTTGTAAAGTGGTACCTTGTTTTTTTATATCCTGATATTTCAGTTTGTTGTAGTTTTTAATGTTACATCCAGACTCGAACTAAAAAAGCAAAAGTCTGTATTTGTGTTGTTTCTTTCTGTACAGCATGTAGTCCTTTCATTGTGTGTTTTCATGTGTGTAACATTTAAAGGTAGACCGATATATTGGTCAGCTGATGTATTGGGCAAATAGGACAGGAAAACGCGCAGCTAATTAATTAATTTGGTTCTGTACCTTTCTCTTCAGCACAGCTGACAAAGATTTATGATGGGTCAGTCCTCCTGCATGCTCAGATCATTCCCTTCCCTTGCTTGAAAAATTGTTTCAAAATGAAAGTTGAACCCACATCTTTTTTATCTGTGAATTCAATGCCATTCGGCGAGTCTCAAATAATAATTTGGGCATCTTACTGTAAAAAAATATACCATTAATGTAAAAATAAACTCTAAATAAACTATTCACATCCAGAATCGAACTTGGGTCTTCTGCACGAGAGTCCGATGTCTTACTAGGTGAGCTATAGCACCAGTGACGTCTTTTGCATCTGTAACATTTATATTCCTGATAACAGCTGAAACAACGTTCAAAGAACGGTTCGGAGCGAAAATGGCTATTTTGTTGCTAATTTGCAGGAAATATCTAGAAGAAAGTAGCTAAGGGTCCTCAGAAATGTAGCTAGGTTCGTCACTAGGCGTTAGGAACAGCGACAAAGTCGCTGAGTTGGCACTACCTCTCTCTCTGCTGCTGCTAAAGCTACTGATAGCAAATGCTACGGGCTATGCCTGAGCGTGAACACGCATGAAGCAGCCTGCTCGACCCGAGCATCTCTCTTTTTCTGTGGTTTTTCAGAAAAACAGGCAATCACAGTAAAAATGCCAGGGCTCATTCTACAGGACCAGGGCATTGCAGGAGAATGTATGAAGAAGAAATTTATTATTTCTATACATGTTTTGACTGTCAAATTTCCATAATACCCCTTTAATATCTGTCAGATTAACTGGGTTGGAGCCAATTTAGTGTTTGTTCAGCAGCAATCTTGAATCATGTTGACTGTAAACATTAAAGTGAAGACTTGTGGTGTTTAGGCGTGTGAACTTTGAAGCTACATCCTTCCAGATGAGGACCGGTCCTGAAAACGTTTGAGACATTCCCTAAAGCAAAGCTTGTTCCTGTGCAGGGAATCAGCGATGATCCGATCCATCTGAAGATCTTTTCTCCTCATGTGGTCAACCTCACACTGGTGGATCTGCCTGGGATCACTAAGGTGATGCATCTCCTCGAGCACAGAGAGAAGTTTTACACTCTTGTCTTTAAATCATTAAGAAAAAGAATTGGGACCAAGATTTACCTGAATTGTCTGAACACTGGTGTTTGTCATGTTTGTGTAGCTGATCATCCATTCCAGTCCTCTCTGGTCTTGTTGGTGTTCATCCATAGAATCCCGTGATGTGTCTCCTCCTCAGGTGCCTGTTGGGGATCAGCCCAAGGATATTGAAATTCAGATCAGGGATCTGATCCTGAAGCACATCTCCAACCCAAACTGCATCATCCTTGCTGTGACGGCAGCCAACACAGACATGGCAACCTCGGAGGCCCTGAAGGTGGCCCGGGAGGTGGACCCCGACGGTGGGAATGAACCCCTAACTCTCACAATCTCGACTGGAAGGGGTTTGTTGTCTTTTCTGACCTTTTTCTTCTGTGATGACTGAATCATCAGGCAGGAGGACGCTGGCTGTGGTGACCAAACTGGACCTGATGGATGCTGGCACTGATGCTATGGATGTGCTGATGGGCAGAGTCATTCCTGTCAAACTGGGCATCATTGGTGTAGTTAACAGGTGTGTCATTTTAGAACCAAAGCACTCCAGATAGTACCAGATAATGTAAGGTTATTATGTCACATGTATTGTTTTATTGAACTGAGAGGACCTAAAGTGTTTCTGGGTTTATGTTGTAGGAGTCAGCTGGACATCAATAATAAAAAATCAGTGGCTGATGCAATCCGCGATGAGTATGCTTTCCTGCAGAAAAAATACCCGTCACTCGCCAACAGAAATGGAACCAAATACCTGGCCAGAACCCTCAACAGGTAACCCCAACCTCCAAACCTTCAACTCACAACAGCTTTTTATTTTGCAGCAGGAGTTCAAGAACTATAAAAACCTCTTAAATTAGATTGAATGTTGTCTGATATATCAGAGAATTCCTTTATTTTGCTTTTTACATTCTTTACATCACAGACTTGCAAAACTTGGATTACGTTCATTAATGTCATTGTTATTGTTTTATGTTGCAGATCACAATGTAGGGAGACAGTTTATCTGCACAGGGTTGCTCATGTTATTCCTGCAGTCAGACATTATGATTATGACTTTACGGTTGCCGTTAACTCCTTTTATGGATCGTTAACTCCTTTTATGGATCTCTGATCCAACATGGATCTTGTCCTGTGAACCCACCTCCAGAGCCTGAGGTAAGCTGTTCTCCTGTCCCCGACCCAGTGGACAGTCGGTGTCGTATTACAACATAGCTGATCAGATCGCTTCACTGATCTGATACAGATCCATTGAAAAAATTCCTTTTATCATGACTTCAATTTTAGTTCTTTTTATATTGTGTTCCACGTCTCTAAGTCTTTCAGGCCTCTTTATTTCACTGATCCTGCTGAACTGAACCCTTAAGCTCATCTTTCTTCCCTTATTTTATAAAAAGTGTTCCCCATCTAACATTCATTTGGATAAGTAATAACTCAAGTAATACAATATTATTACAGTATTAAAGAAAATGTGATGAAAATAATTTATTCTTAGAGGTTTATAGATGATAGCTGTGCAGTGGTTAGAGCTGTTGCCCTGCAGCAAGAAGGTCCTGGGTTCGCTTCCCAGCCTGGGATCTTTCTGCATGGAGTTTGCATGTTCTCCCTGTGCATGCATGGGTTCTCTCCGGGTTCTCCGGCTTCCTCCCACAGTCCAAAAACATGACTGTTAGGTTGATTGGTCTGTCTAAATTGCCCTTAGGTGTGTGTGTGTGTGCATGATTGTTTGTCCTGTGTGTCTCTGTGTTGCCCTGCGATGGACTGGCTCTCTGTCCAGGGTGTACCCCACCTGATTGCCCATTGACCGCGGGAGATAGGCACCAGCCCCCCCCCACGACCCTACGTGGACGAGCGGGTTCAGAGGATGGATGGATGGATGTTTATACAGATTTTTGTAGATTGGGGCAATGGTAGTTCAGGTGGTAGAGCGGGTTGCTTCATGATCGGAGGGGTCATGGGTTTGATTCCAGCTCCCACCAGAGGTATTCTGCTGTTGTGTCCTTGGGCAAGACACTTCACCCAACTTGCCTGTGTTGGTGGTGGTCAGAGGGGCTGACGGCGCCAAATGGCAGCCTCGCCTCTGTCAGACCGCTCCAGGGCGGTTGTGGCTACGTAGTAGCTTACCATCACTGGCAGTGTGTGAATGTGAGAGTTCACGCAAGCGTCTTTGGGTGTCCTAATAAAGCGCTATATAAGTTTGATGATGATTATTAATATTATCAGTAACTATTTTTACTCAAGTCAGATATTTTGGGCTGCCAGGTTAGGTATGCAATTCTGCTGGTTTACTTGGATTCATTCTTGTGTTTGGGTCACACTTAGACCTGAGCTTTAGCTTCCTGAATGTTGTCTAGAGAAATTGTTTGCAACAAACGTTTAGAAATGAACCAGACTCACCCATGATGCTACCACCGCCGTGCTTCACACTTGAGATGTTCACTTTTATGAGCTTAAAACATTTCTTTTAACATAATCGTATTCAATAGAGCCAAGGAGATCTTGGTTTTTACTCAGTCCAGAAGAAATTTCACCTAAAACATTATCTACTAAAGTTACATTTTTTGCAGCAAAAAATAAATAAAATAGATGTTTGTTGAGGATTTTATCAATCACCTAATACCTGCAGCGAAGAGAAAAGGGAGACGAATAACCACACAAGTTACTGTTTGCAAAAAGGGCAGACGCTCAAGCAAAAGGTTTGAGGCTTAAACTGCAAAGAACGTCAGCCCTTCAAGTTTATTTATAACATGAGATAAGACAGGGACAGAAGGTGTGTGTGTGTGTGTGTGTGTGTGTGTGTGTGTGTGTGTGTGTGTGTGTGTGTGTGTGTGTGTGTGTGTGTGTGTGTGTGTGTGTGTGTGTGAATGGTTACAGGAATGTGTGGGTGTGTCTAAATGAATGAGAATGCTTTCAGGCATAGAGTAATACATTCAGTTAATAGGATTAATGATCAAGAAATAATAAAACATAAAATTTCTATAACACTGTTCCAGGGATGTTTTGGTTTACTTAGTCTGGTTTGAAGTAGCTCTAATGAATTCGTTAAACTTTTGTCTCCTGCTGTTTTCTTCTCCACAAGAGCAAATTCATAGTTTCATAAAATGTATGAAAACTGTTGTTTTCCAGCTTGAAATATCTGTAAAAGTGTTGAAAGCAGCTTCAAGTCGGACCTGTGGAAGGATTTAAACTTCCTGTCTGCAGGGCAGCGTGATGTCAGCAGTCCAGGCGATAGTCGGAGCCATCAGAGATTTGTCTGTCGCTGAAATTAACACGCTCTGCCCTTTCCTGTCATAATGTCAGGTTACTGATGCATCACATCCGAGACTGCCTCCCTGAGCTGAAGACACGGATCAACGTCCTGGCAGCTCAGTACCAGTCCCTGCTCAGCAGCTACGGCGAACCTGTAGAGGATCAAAGTGCCACCTTGCTCCAGCTCATCACTAAATTTGCCACAGAGTACTGCAACACCATCGAGGGCACTGCCAAATACATAGAGACCGCAGAGCTGTAAGTATCAGCTTGACCACACGGTGGCGATGTTGGCTCAGCTCAGAGATGGGGAGCAGAACAGCTGCACTGGTTTCATCATTTAATATGATCCAACTTGTGAGTTGAGGCACGCACAGCGTCTGTGAAAGGAGAGCTGACAGGAGCCGGCCTCCAGGTTCACATCTCAGCTAATATCCCCCCCGCCGGTGTTTTTCAGGTGTGGTGGAGCCCGAATTTGTTACATTTTCCATGAGACTTTTGGTCGAACGTTGGAGTCTGTGGATCCTCTGGGAGGACTCAGCACTATAGATATCCTAACAGCCATAAGGAACGCTACAGTGAGTTCAGCTGCTTTGTGTCAGGAACAAAACCCAGTCAGATGCAGCTTATTTTACCCCCCACCTTCCCGCTCTAGGGCCCACGTCCGTCCCTGTTCGTGCCCGAGGTTTCCTTTGAGCTGCTGGTGAAGAAGCAGGTGAAGCGGCTGGAGGAGCCCAGCCTGCGCTGCGTGGAGCTGGTCCACGAGGAGATGCAGAGGATCATCCAGCACTGCAGCAACTACAGCACACAGGTACAGCGCGCACACACACACACACACACACACACACACACACACACACACACACACACACACACACACACACACACACACACACACACACACACACACACACACACACACACACACACACACACACACACACACACACACTTACACACACACACACACACACTTACACTACCACATTCATGCTTTTGTCTGGCAGGAGCTGCAGAGATTCCCGAAGCTGCACGAGGCCATTGTTGAAGTGGTCACGTCCCTGCTGAGGAAGAGGCTGCCCATCACCAACGAGATGGTACCTACCCACATCTCCACAGGCCTGCATGTTCATTTCAGCTTCTAGAGTCTGAACTTGGGTTTTGCTGTTGCAGGTCCACAACCTGGTTGCTATTGAGCTTGCATACATCAACACTAAACATCCAGACTTTGCAGACGCTTGTGGGGTCATGAATAACAACATAGAGGTCTGAACTCGCAGCAGATTACCCTTCCTACTTTTGAATTTCTTCATATTTTTTTAGATTAACTCAGGCTTTTTATTTGTTTCACAGGAGCAAAGGAGAAACAGAATGAGAGAGCTGCCCGCTGCCGTTCCTAGAGATAAGGTAAAAGCAGTTAAAGCAAGCGTGAATCTATTATAAAAGCAGCTGTTTTATTGCCTCGCCGAGGTTCCACCCAGGAATTTCATCCTCCATGTCCTGTCTCACTCTCGGGGTCTTCTCAGCTTTCCACTTCCAGCCCTCCTGTTTTCTTTCTTCCGTCTCTCCGCATTTCTTCTCAGTGCCTTCTTTTTTCCCCTTTTCTCATATTCCTGCTAGTCTGTTGGCAAAGGCTCGGCTGTGGTTTCTGGTGAACCCTCTGCATCAGGAGCAGACATGGACAGTGCCAAGGTGGGCACATGCTGCAGCTTGCTGGCTCTGTGGCTGGCTGTGGGTCGGATGGATGGTTAGATGGATGTGCATGGGCTGATCTGGCATGCATTTGCTCTTGTTTTGCTCCTCAGTTTGAGCAGACTTGAACTAACTTGTGTAACCCAGTGTTTGCCCCTTTGTTCCTTTTTTTAACCTCTTAACTCCTTTAATCCTCTCTATTTTCTTCTTAGACATCAGGAAATGTCCGAGTTACCCACCTCCGTTTACCCTTAATCCTGTTGTTTAAATGTGTCTTTTCATAGAAGCAGCCTGGCATTCCAAAATGAAGGTCAGAATAGGACTGTTGACAAATTATTTGGGTCAAAATGATCAGAAGCATCAACGATGAGCAAATGAGATGCTGTAAAAAAGTCCAAACACTTACATATGGCCAGTAAATGGTGCGTCTTTGTGGGTTTTTATTTGTTGTACTGAATTTCCTCTCACAGCATGGCTTTACTGATTAGTGTTGAATCATGCCGCCTGCTGTGGTTCTACCGTTCCCTCCTGCATCACTAGAGAGAACAACCTGCTAAAGGTGGTTTTGTAGTGGATGCAGGGTTCTTACTGGAGAGGCTTTCAAGGTTGTGAAAGAGCCTGAAACTGCAGCGTATATGTAAAGCATTAGATGAATCTTCTGCCAGGACCAGTTTATGAACATTTCTGTTTCTCCTAAAGCAGATTTTAATCAACATTTGAGTAAAACACCTGTGAAAAGTCGTCTAGAGTACTCACCTTGAAAGTGTGATTTCGGCCAAGATGTAAGAACCCTGTGGATGCTAATCTGACTTTGATTGAAGGAGCTGTTCTAACAGGCTAGCGGTTTTGTGTTGTCCACGTCTCAGGCCCCAGCGGGAGGATCCCAGGGCGAGCAGGACAGCACTGGGAACTGGAGAGGGATGCTGAAGAAAGGAGAAGACGCCTCGGGCTCCGGACACGAAAGTCCTCTCAAAGGAGCAGTCAATCTGCTTGATGTGGTAACGAAACCTAGACCTGCGTATATTCATCTTTGTGCTTTTACAAGATTAAAAACCCTTGTTTTCCCCACCAGCCTGTTCCTGTTGCGAGGAAGCTGTCGTCTCGGGAGCAGCGGGACTGTGAGGTCATCGAGCGCCTCATCAAGTCTTACTTTCTCATCGTGCGGAAAAACATCCAGGACAGGTAGAGACCTGATAGAATAGCATGAAAATGCATTTATCTTTGGAAAACCCATCTGCAAAATGGAGTGGGAGTGCATTTCACTTTGAAAACTCAGAATTTCTGTCTCAAAGAAAAAAATCAATAAAAAGTCTCCCAGTAGTTCTGATTTATTAGTGCGATGCCTGAGTGAGGGTCCCATGTTGGTGGAAACAACCACCTTGTTCTCACTCCGTTTCCTCCCCATGTGCCTCAGCGTGCCAAAGGCGGTCATGCACTTCCTGGTCAACCATGTGAAGGACAGCCTGCAGAGCGAGCTCGTCGGCCAGCTGTACAAATCGGGTCTCCTCAATGATCTGCTGACCGAGTCGGAGGATATGGCCCAGCGACGCAAGGAGGCTGCCGACATGCTGCAGGTAAACAGCTTGCCCCTTGTATTTCTGTTTTTCTCCCAGTGTGTTTTTTATTCGTTTTATTTTTATTTGTTGTCAACAGGCGCTGCAGAGAGCCAGTCAGGTGATTGCTGAGATCAGAGAAACACATCTGTGGTGAACAAAGAACCTCATCTGATATCTCCTCGTGGTGCCCACAGGCTCCAGATCATGTCTCAACTTGATGTTTTTGATTTTTGCAACCATTAAAAAAAATCTGCTCCAATGTACAGTTTATCATGATAGCTTACAAGCACTGGAGAGATGCACTGAATCTGTTTCAGACTGAATCTGTCAGCCCTAAAGGCGTTTTTAGAATATCAAAAATGTTATGGAGCTCATTTTACTTTGATGTAGAACTGAACCCTAATCCCTTCCATTTTGCACTTTTGTCACCACCGTGTACAGCGGGATCTTTAATTTATTACTGTTATTTAAATGTGTGGACAAACTCCTGTTAGTTTACATTTGCTGCCTATGTAGGAAGTTTGTGTTGCACTGTGGCTCTGTTTGGTTCTCATAAACCAGGAATAAATGGAGGGATTTTATTCCCACTCCCCTGCCTCAGTCTGGATCCCTGAAAACTCAGGAAACAATGTCTCCTGAGTTGAAATACACAGAATCTCAACTACACTTAACAAAAGCACTTTATTATTTGAAAATTCAGCACTGCTGTTCATATTCGGACTCCTCTTCTGAGAACATGATGGTGCCGCCATCTATCTCAGCCTGCCTTTGGCCTTCCCTCTTCCCTTGGTGCTGTGGAGTTAGACATAGGTATAATACCAGTGAAATAAATATAATCATACATTGTCAAATTAAGGTTATTAGCAATAAGAAATCAATAAATATAACAAAAATGCATGAACTATTCTCCCATCCATCACTTGTGAACATTGAATAAAGACTCAGATACTTTTATAAGCTTCTGTTGTAACTTCAACATGACCTTACATAAACACATGCTACAATGCTTATCACACTATAGTATGATGTATATTATACATGAACATGATACAATGTTACACACACTATAGCATGATGTATAAATGAGGTTACATGAACATGCTACAATGCTGAACACACTATAATATGATGTATAAATGATGCTACGTAACCACATGCTATGTTACACATTATAGCATGATGTATAAATGACCTTACATAAACACATGCTGCAATGCTACACACACGTATATTATACATTACATAACCACATGATACAATGTTAAACACACTATAGTATGATGTATATTATGCATTACATAACCACATGATACAATGTTAAACACACTATAGTATGATGTATATTATACATTACATAACCACATGATACAATGATAAACACACTATAGTATGATGTATATTATACATTACATAACCACATGATACAATGTTAAACACACTATAGTATGATGTATATTATGCATTACATAACCACATGATACAATGCTAAACACACTATAGTATGATGTATATATGACGTTACATAAACACATGCTGCAATGCTACACACACGTATATTATACATTACATAACCACATGATACAATGTTAAACACACTATAGTATGATGTATATTATGCATTACATAACCACATGATACAATGCTAAACTCATGATGTATATATGACGTTACATAAACACATGCTGCAATGCTACACACACGTATATTATACATTACATAACCACATGATACAATGTTAAACACACTATAGTATGATGTATATTATGCATTACATAACCACATGATACAATGTTAAACACACTATAGTATGATGTATATTATACATTACATAACCACATGATACAATGTTAAACACACTATAGTATGATGTATATTATACATTACATAACCACATGATACAATGTTAAACACACTATAGTATGATGTATATTATACATTACATAACCACATGATACAATGTTAAACACACTATAGTATGATGTATATTATGCATTACATAACCACATGATACAATGCTAAACTCATGATGTATATATGACGTTACATAAACACATGCTATAACATTACGTGCTATAGTATGATGTATATTATGCATTACATAACCACATGATACAATGCTAAACACACTATAGTATGATGTATATATGACGTTACATAAACACTTGCAATAACGTTACACACGATAGTATGATGTATATTATGCATTACATAACCACATGATACAATGCTAAACACACTATAGTATGATGTATATTATGCATTACATAACCACATGATACAATGCTAAACTCATGATGTATATATGACGTTACATAAACACATGCTATAACATTACGTGCTATAGTATGATGTATATTATGCATTACATAACCACATGATACAATGCTAAACACACTATAGTATGATGTATATATGACGTTACATAAACACTTGCAATAACGTTACACACTATAGTATGATGTATATTATGCATTACATAACCACATGATACAATGCTAAACACACTATAGTATGATGTATATTATGCATTACATAACCACATGATACAATGCTAAACTCACTATAGTATGATGTATATATGACTTTACATAAACACATGCTATAACGTTACACACTATAGTATGATGTATATTATGCATTACATAACCACATGATACAATGCTAAACACACTATAGTATGATGTATATATGACGTTACATAAACACATGCTGCAATGCTACACACACGTATATTATACATTACATAACCACATGATACAATGTTAAACACACTATAGTATGATGTATATTATGCATTACATAACCACATGATACAATGCTAAACTCATGATGTATATATGACGTTACATAAACACTTGCAATAACTTTACACACTATAGTATGATGTATATTATGCATTACATAACCACATGATACAATGCTAAACTCATGATGTATATATATGACGTTACATAAACACATGCTATAACATTACGTGCTATAGTATGATGTATATTATGCATTACATAACCACATGATACAATGCTAAACACACTATAGTATGATGTATATATGACTTTACATAAACACATGCTATAACGTTACACACTATAGTATGATGTATATTATGCATTACATAACCACATGATACAATGCTAAACACACTATAGTATGATGTATATATGACGTTACATAAACACATGCTGCAATGCTACACACACGTATATTATACATTACATAACCACATGATACAATGTTAAACACACTATAGTATGATGTATATTATGCATTACATAACCACATGATACAATGCTAAACTCATGATGTATATATGACGTTACATAAACACTTGCAATAACTTTACACACTAAAGTATGATGTATATTATGCATTACATAACCACATGATACAATGCTAAACTCATGATGTATATATATGACGTTACATAAACACATGCTATAACATTACGTGCTATAGTATGATGTATATTATGCATTACATAACCACATGATACAATGCTAAACACACTATAGTATGATGTATATATGACGTTACATAAACACTTGCAATAACGTTACACACTATAGTATGATGTATATTATGCATTACATAACCACATGATACAATGCTAAACACACTATAGTATGATGTATATTATGCATTACATAACCACATGATACAATGCTAAACACACTATAGTATGATGCATATTATGCATTACATGACCACATGATACAATGCTAAACACACTATAGTATGATGTATATTATGCATTACATAACCACATGATACAATGCTAAACACACTATAGTATGATGTATATATGACTTTACATAAACACATGCTATAACGTTACACACTATAGTATGATGTATATTATGCATTACATAACCACATGATACAATGCTAAACGCACTATAGTATGATGTATATTATGCATTACATGACCACATGATACAATGCTAAACACACTATAGTATGATGTATATTATGCATTACATAACCACATGATACAATGCTAAACGCACTATAGTATGATGCATATTATGCATTACATGACCACATGATACAATGCTAAACACACTATAGTATGATGTATATTATGCATTACATAACCACATGATACAATGCTAAACACACTATAGTATGATGTATATATGACGTTACATAAACACATGCTGCAATGCTACACACACGTATATTATACATTACATAACCTCATGATACAATGTTAAACACACTATAGTATGATGTATATTATGCATTACATAACCACATGATACAATGCTAAACTCATGATGTATATATGACGTTACATAAACACTTGCAATAACGTTACACACTATAGTATGATGTATATTATGCATTACATAACCACATGTTACAATGCTAAACTCATGATGTATATATGACGTTACATAAACACATGCTATAACATTACGTATTACAGTATGATGTATATTATGCATTACATAACCACATGATACAATGCTAAACACACTATAGTATGATGCATATTATGCATTACATGACCACATGATACAATGCTAAACACACTATAGTATGATGTATATTATGCATTACATAACCACATGATACAATGCTAAACACACTATAGTATGATGTATATTATGCATTACATAACCACATGATACAATGCTAAACACACTATAGTATGATGTATATTATGCATTACATAACCACATGATACAATGCTAAACACACTATAGTATGATGTATATTATGCATTACATAACCACATGATACAATGCTAAACACACTATAGTATGATGTATATAATGCATTACATAACCACATGATACAATGCTAAACACACTATAGTATGATGTATATATGACGTTACATAAACACTTGCAATAACGTTACGTGCTATAGTATGATGTATATTATGCATTACATAACCACTTGATACAATGCTAAACACACTATAGTATGATGTATATAATGCATTACATAACCACATGATACAATGCTAAGCACACTATAGTATGATGTATATATGACGTTACATAAACACTTGCAATAACGTTACGTGCTATAGTATGATGTATATTATGCATTACATAACCACATGATACAATGCTAAACACACTATAGTATGATGTATATTATGCATTACATAACCACATGATACAATGCTAAACACACTATAGTATGATGTATATTATGCATTACATAACCACATGATACAATGCTAAACACACTATAGTATGATGTATATATGACGTTACATAAACACTTGCAATAACGTTACGTGCTATAGTATGATGTATATTATGCATTACATAACCACATGATACAATGCTAAACACACTATAGTATGATGTATATAATGCATTACATAACCACATGATACAATGCTAAACACACTATAGTATGATGTATATATGACTTTACATAACCACATGATACAATGCTAAACACACTATAGTATGATGTATATTATGCATTACATGACCACATGATACAATGCTAAACACACTATAGTATGATGTATATTATGCATTACATAACCACATGATACAATGCTAAACACACTATAGTATGATGTATATTATGCATTACATAACCACATGATACAATGCTAAACTCATGATGTATATATGACGTTACATAAACACATGCTATAACATTACGTGCTATAGTATGATGTATATTATGCATTACATAACCACATGATACAATGCTAAACACACTATAGTATGATGTATATATGACGTTACATAAACACTTGCAATAACGTTACACACTATAGTATGATGTATATTATGCATTACATAACCACATGATAC